TTTATTCGCGACCTTCACTAGCAAGTTATTCACACTGCGATGATATTAATTTTCATGCTTCGCCTTTTGTAGCTATTTTTAGCGGGAATAGCTGGAATAAAGCATAAGACGAAAGTTCACTTAAATACTAGCAAGATATGTTGGGAGATAGGTTGGCACGTAAATATTATATTTTGCCAAAATTTTAAATTTTTGATTTCTTTTCTTTTTGGCATATAGAGACGTCCGGCCGAATATCGCTTCGGAATATATATATAAGATTTTTAGATAAGATATATAAGATTTCTAGATAATATATAGCTCTTTAAGTGATTTTTCGCCTAATATTATTACGGAATATATATGTGGCGGCTACCACATTAGGTGGTCTAATTGTAGGGAACACTCATCAAAAATCAAGGGTTTGGCTCGGCCGTTAAAGCGGTTGCAAAACGGCCATGCATGTTGTTGGCTGTTGTTTTCAAAAAGAAATAAACGCATATAAATTAAGGTTATGAGCAAGAATTTCTTCTTCAAAACACCGCCTACGCGATTATAGTCGAGATAACAACATTGCGTCATTAAATTCACGAGATAATGGGCTCACCAAAAGTTGATTGTTTCGTTGACTGTATGGCATGATGCGCCGGCTTTTTGGAACCAAAGCTCGTCCACATCAACATCCTCCAAATCAGGTAGGTAGGAAGAAGTCAGTAATCAGCGTTTCGATTAACTTTAACGTTATGGTCGGGTTCATTTTTGGTGAAATGTGGATCTGTCCATAACGTAACGTGAGGAAGCAGCGGCGCCCCAGCCATGGTTTGTGTTTATTAACGCACCCAACCATCTCGGCTGCTTCGCCGAGCTTTGATCACGACCGTTTGCGCTCGATGTTGTCATAAGTGACCCATTTTTCATCGCCAGTCACAATCCGCTTCAGAAACGGGTCGATTTTAGTTCCTCAGCAATTAAATAGGTGCTCACGTGACTGTATGTTTCCACAGGCCTCCCGACGCGTGGTGCATCTTTGACATCGAAATTAGCGGAACGGAACCTAGCAAACCATTTTTGTGCTACACGTTCGTTTAGAGTATCGGGCCTATAAACTAACTTAATGTTTTTAGCCGCTTTGGCTGCTTTTTCGCCTTGATCGAAGAAAAATTGTAAGAGATAGTGAATTTTCTCTTGGCTGGTGTCCATCTTTTACAAGCGCTCACAACGTACTGAGTTCATTAATCGAAAAACTGTCAAAGACAAACTTTTAGCGCGATCAAACACGTTTTTAGCGCCGTACAGTATGACATGATGCGACACGTAACACCAGTACTATAGACAATAACGCCATCTCTTAGACAAAACCGAACGAACTTTTTACTTTACCCATATTATATATGTATATAAATAATGGCTATGTTGCTACTGGGCAATATTTTGTCTTTCAATAAAGTCAGTATGAGCCCACACCTTTCCATCAAATAAACGAAGTTCATACAATTTTTATGCAAATTAAATCACTTATTCAACCATTTAGAAGCGATTTTATCTTAGTCAGCAATAATATTGACAACTCTATATGTATAATATATCAGTTCACCGTTATTTACTATGCACTTTCTGCTATGGTCTGCCAACATCTTATCATCTTTTGTGGAAGGCGCCTACCTAATCAATAAACAGCTCATTGCTTTTGCGTAACGGTAAAAGAAAAGGTGTACCATGCATATATTTATATTCATACATACAATGACAGGTATTCATAAGCTTGTGTCGGTATGTGAAGTTTTTGATTTGGTAGCTGTCTAAAAGGTTTTAATCTCCTACACTTTTCATGAAGTTAAAATGATGTATCTTTGATCCGAAGTATTATATATATGTACGAGTTTGTTAGTACCAGAAAGAGATGTGAAAACCGTACGCGTAAGTATATGGTATGGTTAATGGTAAAGTGAACAACTTTCTGGGATGAATATTCAATAATATTCTAAATATTGCCAAAGCTTTGTCCTGAATGAATGACGGATCAACCCACCGACTAAACCACTGATCGTAGAGACCTGAAGCATGAAGTGTGTTGAGAAATAGTGGGAAGATTGACAAAGTGGGAACATAAGTTATCAATATTCTGGCCAGACGCCAATATCGAGCGGTCATCGACATATGAGATCAATGCAAGGACCTCTCTTGGAGAAGGGAGCTTTAATATGTAAAAATTAAACAGAAGCAAAGAGACAACACCATCCTACGGGCTTTGAACTTCGAAACTCAACCCATGATTGCCGACCACTCAGGTAGCCTATAGTCCACCTTTTCAGACCTGCTAGGCACCGGAGCTGACATGGATTTTACTCGGTCAAAGTCTCTCAACCTTTCGACGATCTATCCCCGTTTAAGTCATCAGATAATTCTAGTCAGGTAGCTCGAATGAGTGGGTCTAACTGGTTGGCGAATCCATGATCAAGCACTTAGTCCTGCTGACCTGTGGTGATACCTGCGGGGTGACTAACTCTTGCTGAAGTGATGTCGGGCAGTATAGAGAGCAGTTTGGAGAAGGGTATAGCTCTCAATTCACTCCTCCTCTTCTAAAGAGTATATATTTGAGGTTAAGAGTGGGCTTTTAAAGTTTACTGCAAAATGGGTAGATGCTAATTCTAGCTAGCTAGCTTTTATTCTAGTCGTACATGTATGTATGTATATGCCCATTTAAATTTCTGTATTACGATGACAAAGGCGAATGCCCTGTGAGCAGTAATGCGTATGCTAATCAAGGGACATTTATATACATACATATATAAAAGTCTAATCTTAGCTGGTTCGCAAAGCACATTCAAGCACACATACATACATGCTATATGCATGCATATAATTTATGAATTCTGTTGCAAAGCCTGCTCCGCAATTGCAGATTTCGGAATGTAGCATACTTACGTGTACGCACAAATTTAGCAAAGGAGATCCAAAAATAAATTGTCTAAAAACACAGACACAGTTGATGGCCACCATAAAAAGCTCTACCATTTGATGTAGTCTATTTTTATTTATTAATCTCTTAAATGATTATTTTGGTTAATTTAGAAAATAGAGAGGATATTAGAATACATTTTTATAGCGTTTAAATTGGCTTCACTTCACTTCTTCACCAACCAAATCATTCGCCCTACACAGATCTATTCCTGTGGTAGTCACTTGATGCGAGGTTCGAACTATAAAAAAGACGCATAAAAAACTTCCGATCAGGCTCTCGGAGCTTCTACCTCCTTAAGACGAATTAAGAGTTTGGCCGTAGGGGATCAGCGTACAGTGGATGATTCCTTGTCAAAACCACCAAACATTAAATAAAACCTTTCTGTTCGCCAATACTGGCTTGGAAATCTTTTGTGCCTGACCACTGCCTTTAGCCACCACAGTTTTCTTTTGAGAAGGGCTCGATTTTATTACGATTCAGCGGCGAAACGAAGATGGAAATTCGGTTCATGAGGTTTTTTCTGTTAAGTTCATGTGGTACCCATACATCTGGTTTCTTTGTGTATCTAACCTTTTTCAAGCGGTTCCAAACTCCTGGAGTAAGAAACGGTCTCTCATTATTTTCGTGACTTTCATGCAATGGGCAGAGCTAGACTGTGGAAGCTGCCTTCCTCGAAGATCCAAGTGGATCTCCTACCCACCGTATGCATTAGTGACCCGAAACCGCTAGTCTGGATAAACAGTTAATTTTCATATTTCAATTGCTGATAAATTGTCTTTATTTACCAAAATGTCATTCGCTCCGATTTATTTTCCCAATGATAGAATATTAATGATTTCTCTTAAAAATTCGCGGCGATAATAAAATAAAATTTTTACGAAGCTTTGCAATGATTACAAAAAAGTTGAAATATAATAAAAAAAAAGAAATTAAAAAGACTTGCATAATCAGAGAACAGTGTAGCGGTACTTGCTTCACGCGGTAAGCGCAACTGAAGTTGTCAATCACGACGAAGAGGGGCGTGTGAAATTGTATGAATGCATATACTCGTATGTACGTGTATGTCCTCGTTTAATAATTAAAACTTGGGTATTTATATTGAAATAATGTATGTATAAGCCGACAGTAATACTATGAAACTTTGGCTTTACTGCGCAGTTGAAATAAGGGAAAAGATGAAGGCATTCCAATGAACGAGTTTTATAAATTCATTAAAGCCTGTTATACATTTGTACAGGCAAGCAAGGTAAAGGTGAGCTATAAAGGAGCCCATTGCAGACTAAATGTTTGAGTTTTGACAGGTGGATAGCAGCAAATATTATGTAAATTTCATAAATTTCATGCTATTATATCACGGGCATTTCAAGCCAAGACAACTTCAATATGAAGTGATAGCACTAGCATAACAACAAAAACCTTACATGTATTTTGTTTGTTTTTTCGGGAATGTTTTGGCCGAAAATTTAGCTTTATTTTATATATAAGATTTGGCCATTATGTTTCAGTTAAGGGACCACGGCGGCTGGCGCCACTTAATTCAAGTTCGAGCATTTCTTTGGCTGTATAGTACATATGTAGCGCCATCTTGTTGGAACGAAAGGTCATTCGCATAAAATATTCTATTTCAGGCATAGAAAAATCATTAATCATGGCTCTATAGCATTCCCCAATATGGTCAATTTCATATTTGGAATAGCACCCATAGAGCATACCAGCCAGTGGCTTTTTAAGGTTGTAACTGCGTCCGAACAATGGCTTAGATTGAAGTTTATTTACGCATATTTTACATACATATAACTAGAAAACCCGCCCACACTGGCTATAATCAACTGTCACTTTCAGAGAAAATGTTGTTCAATTTGACAAAAAAAAACATTTATTCCGTGTCGCACGGGACAACTAAATAAATTGTAAGTTTTTACAACAAAGGTCTGCATATATGTAAACAGGGTGAATTGATTTACCCCTGATGTTATCTTCACCCACCGTTCTGTTGTACTTATAGCGGCATCCACTGTTGGTTTATACTATACATTGTATATATTTCCTATCTTTGCAGGCGACATCTTTGTGTCCAACAACGTACCATCACTACGCCCGTTAAAACAACTGAAGTTTATACCAGGCCGATTTGGAAACATGTGAATACACCATGCAGCGCAGTTCAAGTGCCAACACAGCATCCAAATCAGATGTGCACGAGGGTGCAACTAGTGCACGAGCAATCATTCCGTGACGTCATACGCCACAAGTCAGCGCAACAGATTACGTACGACTGCTGCAACGGCTGGGAACGTGAAGAACCAAAATCAGAATCTTGCTCGAAACGTAAGTATTGCTTTATTTATACGCAATTGTTTCAGTTGTTCTAAAAAATATAACGAATTGGGTAACATTTTCCACCCCACAGCGATTTGTAGCGCACATTGTCAAAATGGTGGTATCTGCACTTCGCCGGACACCTGCAGTTGCGCAGCAGGATTTACAGGAAAATATTGTGAACACGACATAAATGAGTGTAACGAGGAAAAACCCTGCGATCAGACTTGTATTAATACAGTTGGCTCATATTTCTGCAAATGTCGTGAAGGATTCGTTCTACAGGCGGACCAACAGAGTTGCAAAAAGTCGGGTAAGCATTATATGCATACATACATACAGATTTATATGGAAAGGCAATGAAATTTCTTCTCCTGTAGATTTGAAAGACGATGATGCCTTTGAAGCGCGTGATCTGGAGAATGAAATCGAGTCGGGCGATAATGAGGATGTAAGTGATCGTCTTCAGAAACTCGAACGTTCGTTAGCAAATGAACGAGTACACACGAATGAGTTGCAGAAGTCTCTGCAAGCGACCTACAATGTTGTGGATACACTGAAAAGTCGCTTGAGCACAATTGTAAGTGTAACGTCTTTTTAAGTGCAATGCAACGCAAAACTTTTTATCTCTGAGTGCCATTCACAACTTTGTAAAAAATTGTTAAAAATATTTTATATTATATAACATGGGAGTTGGCCAACTCAGAGCCAGTGTTGCTTAACGTCAAAGTCAAAGTAAATCTGTCACGCAACGTGGTGCAAATGTTCCACCTGCCACCGCCTGAAGCTCCAATTTGAATTCCAAATATGTCACAGAAACAGTGCTAGTCAATAAAGAAAAACAAGTATTTTGGAATTTTTTTAATGTACCGATCGTTATCCATACACACAAACATACAACTACCAACTTGCCTTAGAATTCCAAAGAAGTAGAATCAGCGGATGTTCAGGCATTTACATAATCCAAAATTAAAAAAAATAGAATGGCGTTGTATCACATTACCACTAGCATAGCTATTAAGTTTCTCCAGTTTACAACAAAATCAAAACTTTTACAACATTTGTAGTCTCGTTAGTGATTTCTTTATTTTAATTTAGGATTTAAATCGAAAATTCGTACATTAAAACTTGTTTGAATTCATAAGTTTTTAACAGTCGTCAGTCTGTACAAAAATATTTTCAAATTTAAAAACTGTATTTGCTTTTTTAGTATCTTAAAAACTAATTCAATTTAACATTTCGTGCATTAATAGGAAAAGCAACAGCAGGACATAAACCGATTGCAGTCGAATCTTTTCGCAACCGAATCTCGCACTAACAGACTTGAGGGAATGTTAAATCTCTTGATGAAGTGTCGAAATGGACCAAATGCCTATTGTCCGTAAAAGGAGTTACGCTAAATTCATAGCAAACCGAATTGTATTTTTAATTAAGCTATTAGTTTTACTTTACATTTTAAGGTATATAAATAGCTGTAGAAAAATTAGACATGAGTCAATATGTTCTTTTCTGGAAGCATGATTGCTTCGAAGAGTTATCCCAGAACAACGTGCCTGCATTTTATTCTTTGTTCCCTCTGTAGTCTTCACTATAAACTGTCATACATGCATTGTCATCGTCATTTTAGTATGTAATTAAATTTTTCCTTACGTATGTATGAATGTAATTGTAAGTTTGTATGTCAAAAATGATATTTTTTCAATGTTTTCATTAAAATATTTCTTTAATTATAGACATATGTACATACATATGTATGTATTATTAATGTAATATAAAACAATTGTAAATAAATAAATTTAATTTTTGTACGAATATTTTATCTAAACGAATTTTGAAAAACAAGTATAAATAATCTAATTCCACTTAGCACGAATATTTGCACATCTATTCATGAGGTAAGCCGTTGGAGCTACAGTTACTGCAATTGAGAGGATGGTTTTAAATGTTTTCCTAAATTTCCCTTGGGAGGAGAATATTCTTAATTATCGAGATCTGAAATTTAGTTTCGATAGGTGCCGTCGTTCTTAAAAGTCCATTTGTACGTATTCGTTTTTCTGCATTGAAGCGTTACTCGAAGAAAAAAAAATATTTAGATCTCGCTGGCTAAGCAAATTTTAGTTTTCAACTGAACTCTTATTACCCTACAGCTTATAGAAGTGAGGCTAGCATGAATTATCCTCCAAATTAAGTACGTTTAACAGTTAACCAGTCAATTTATTAAAACATAAAACCCCCGAATATAATGGCAGACATGTAGATCTTTGGCGTCAATCATCAAAGCTTCTCAAAAAACCAACTCATTTCAAAAAGTTAGCCAACTCTCCTATTCTTAGATTTTATCAGGAAAAATTTAAACTTTGTTCAAATTTCGCTTAATAAGAGAGACTTTTAACTTAAGAAAAAACCAAAGTAAAATGTTTATTTGATCATACCTTTAGCGACTCGATTTTCTGAGCTCGTTGTATATAAGCTGACACCCCGCAGCAGTTGGAAGACCCATAACGCATAGTAAAATCATAGTCATAAAATTTTACACTACTTTAAAAACTTGTTGTGGACTGCATAGCAAATAGGTTAACGTAACTACGGCTTTGAAGATCAGTTAATCAATCGGTTAGTTTATCACAACCAAATCATAATAACTACTCATGACCGTTGTACCTTCAACTCTCACGACAGCCGGTTCTACGCACCGGAGTTGACCCGGATTTTATCCGGCCAAGGGCTGTCACCCTTTCGGAGACCTAACCCCGTTTAGGTCTACAGGTAACCTTAGTCTAAGTACGTCAACGGAGCAACACCTCGCAGCTGGGTTGCTCCAAATCCTTCTGATCAGGGCTGGTGTAGAAACCAACCCTGGACCGACGGATTACTTCTGCTGCGTGTGTCAAAGAAGACTCCACCATTCATCCACCTCGGTTAGATGCACCCAGTGCAATGGCTGGAGTCATCTTAAGACCTGCTCAGGCCTTAAGACCCACAGGGAATGGACCACAAGTTATGTGGCCCCATGCTGCCAGCGTCCAACCGCCCCCTCAGCCTCCACGGCAGTGCCTTCAGCACACATACCCACTCTGGGTAATCTGCAGACCTCCACGGTCTTACGGAGCTCCCCGCAGCATGATTCCCCCCAACCTCCACCCCCATCCCCACCCACAACCAGCTCCTCATCCTCCTCCCGTGCGAGGGCTACCCAGCAGCTCCTAGTCCCCCGCACTGTCTGTTCCGTGTGTCAGACCATAGTGCGTCGGAACGTGACCTCAGTCAGATGCAATTTCTGCTCTGGCTGGTGTTACTTTCGGACATGCTCTGGCCTGCGCACCACCCGTGAGTGGAGCGATGCGTACGTTGCCCCTTGCTGTAGGAGTCTGCCCCCGCATATCTCTACAAACCCTCCGCCAATCAACACCAATGTGCGGAACCAACTCCCGCGGGTAGTACAGCAGCAACACACATCATCCACGCATCACTCCCTCACTCCCCGTATCACGAACGTTCCCCCGAGACAGACCCGACTTCTACAATTTAACTGCAACGGACTCCAGGGAAAGATTGACGAGATAGTCGACTACATGAGCCGGGAGCACCTGCCAATTGCTGCGATCCAGGAAACCAAGTTGACCGCCCGATCAGATCTTCTGAACAGGGCCGGATACAACATAATCCGCAAGGATCGCGAGCGAGACCATGGCGGGGGTTTAGCGTTCATCCTGCACAACACCGTGCAGTATCGTCTTATCGATGGTAGGGGCGAAAACCGCTTGGTTTTGGGCGACTTTAACGCGCATCACGATCTTTGGCATTCTAGCCTGTCAAATGACCGTAGAGGAATGGAGCTGGCTGAACAGATAGACGATTCGACATTCTGCACAATGAACGATAACACCCCCACCAGAGTTATGGGTAATTGCCAAAGCTCGCCAGACATAACAATTGCGAGTGCTGGTCTGATAAACAGTATAGTCTGGCGACCTATACTGACGTTAGCATCGGACCACTTGCCCATACACATCTCGATTGACAGGCCTCCCGACTTTGTTTCCGCGGACCACCGGACTTTCGTTAACTTTAAAAAAGCTAATTGGCCCGGATTCACGGAATTTACCGAGAACGCCTTTAGTGCTCTTCCCACTCCAACTGACGTCACCGCTGGTGAACGCTCATTCCGCAGGGTCGTCGTGACCGCTGCCGCCCGCTTCATCCCGGCAGGCCGAATTGCGGAAATCCGCCCTAACTTTCCGACAGAAGCGGCGGTACTAGCAACCAGGCGCGACACCCTTCGAAGCTCCGATCCCGGGAATCCCCTAATCAGGGATTTAAACGCGGAGATTCGACGAGTCGTAAACAATCATAAGCGGAAAAGGTGGGAGGAGCACCTAAGGACCTGCAACCTCTCCTCTGGGGCAACCAAGCTCTGGGCCACAGTCAAGTCGCTGTCTAACCCGACGAGACGCGATGACCGGGTGGAAATTTCATTCGGTGATCGCGCCTCGTCGGACCCGAAGAGATGCGCGAGCTATTTTAGCCGTCTTTTTACACTGCATCCCTCGGTAGATAAAGCGAAACGACGTGTGACCCGCCGTATGCGCAAACTGCCAAACACTAGCGCGGTGCTTGATTTCTCCAGGGAGGAGGTTCAGGGGGTCATCGGGAAGGCGAAAGCCTCCAAATCCATCGGCCCCGACGGAATAAGCATGCTGATGCTGAAACATCTTGGACCAGCGGGAGCAGAATTTCTCGCGAGGGTCCTCAATCTGTCCCTGACCACCCTAAAGATACCCGACGTGTGGAAAATGGGTAGGGTGGTCCCGCTACTAAAACCGGGGAAACCAGCCAACAAAGGAGAGTCTTATCGGCCGATAACTCTCCTCTCCCCAGTAGCGAAGACGCTTGAGGCCTTACTGCTCCCGACCTTCACTCACCATCTGCGTCCAGCAGCGCATCAGCATGGCTTCCGAAAAGTGCACAGCACCACAACAGCACTTAACGCCATAAACACCCAGATAGTCCATGGCCTCAACCAAAACCGACCCTGCGCGCGAACTGTCCTAGTAGCACTGGACCTGTCAAAAGCCTTTGACACAGTAAACCATTCAGTGCTACTAACGGACATTGAGGAATCCTCATTACCGCCGGGGTTGCAGAGGTGGGTCATGGGCTACCTGAGTGGTCGACAATCATCGGTAATATTCCGAGGTAAAACATCTAAACCCAGAAAAATTAAACAGGGGGTTCCGCAGGGTGGTGTCCTCTCCCCGCTACTGTTTAATTTTTACATATCGAAACTCCCTCCACCACCAGAAGGAGTTTCCCTAACCTCGTATGCCGATGACTGTACGATAATGGCGTCTGGCCAGGATATTGATGACCTCTGCTCGAAAGTAAACGGCTACCTCGCTGATCTCTCCCACTTCTTCACTGCAAGACAACTACGAATCCAACCGACAAAATCCTCGGCTACCCTTTTCACCAGCTGGACGAAGGAGTACAGGCTTGAACTAGATGTAAAGGTCGATGACGAAAAAATTCCGACGATAAATAACCCAAAAATATTGGGAGTAACTCTGGACAGCCTGCACTCCTTCACTCCGCATACGACCGCAATTGCCGCAAAACTCCAGAGCCGCAACAAAATACTCAAAGCGCTAGCCGGCAGCACCTGGGGTAAAGATAAAGAAACTTTGCTGGCTACTTACAAAGCAATTGGCCGGCCGGTCGTAAACTATGCTGCTCCGATCTGGACGCCGGGGACGAACGGGACGCAGATGAAGAAGCTACAGGCTTGCCAAAACACCGCCCTTAGGACTGCGACAGGAAACCTCCTGATGTCGCCGGAGCATCACTTGCACAGGGAAGCATCTATGCTACGAGTTAAGGAGCATAATGCTTTGCTGTGCAAGCAGTTCCTACTGGGATGCTACCGCAGGGAGCACCCCAGTAGGCACTTAATAGAAGCTGAACCTCCACCTAGGCACATCAGGAAGGGAGTACTAGACCTCAAAGACACGATCCAGCAACACACACAACAACCGCTGGACAGGACGGCGTATCGACAGGCACTGAACGCCATTCACCAGGAGTCAGTTAACACCTTCATGAACTCCCTTCCAGTGAATGGCGTACTCGGAGAAATACCACCACCCATAGCAGACAACGAGCTCGAGCTGCCTCGAGAGACCCGCGTGACCCTGACACAACTTAGGTCTGGATATTGTAGTAGGTTAAACTCCTACCTATCCAGACTAGACCCCAGCATACCTAACGTATGCCCGGCATGTGGAGAGTCCCCGCACGACACTAACCACCTCTTCACATGCCCCCTCAAACCTACTCATCTAACACCCCTCTCCCTTTGGTCCAACCCCGTCGAAACAGCTCGTTTCCTGGGGCTACCTTTAGATGACCTCGACGACTTAGACTAACTCAAGCCTGTGCCTAAGCGGGGCTAGCGAATCCGCTACAACAACAACAACAACCGTTGTACCTTTTTAATATTTTTATTTGACATTGGAAATTTTGACACAAAATTAAAAACAAATACTGATGTAAACAGGCAAAGATTAATACAACTCTGTTCATGAGCAATGAGTCATAGCAACCCTGTATTGCGAATAATGACATGAAAACAAAATTACAATACAAAAGAAGAAAATGTTTTATGCTTATTTATCAATAACTTACATTATTAAAGAAATCGTGCGTTTCATTGGTAAAAACTCCTTTGGTGATTAGCAGTAATACTTCTAAAATAGCATTATAAAATATAGAAAATTCGTTTGCTGTAATCACTTCTACATAGTGCACAAATAAAGTGAAATATTTTTTGTTAAAAAATTTAACGTTGTAAAAATTACGTACCTATCTATATGCAATGACTTCAAGCGATAAAATACCTTTGAAGCAGGCTGAGGTTTCGGTTCGTCGATTTAACGACCTTGCTATTCCTCATCACTTGGGCTTACTCAAAAATCATCGTAGCAATATAGAGAAAAGCCTTGCGCTGGGTGACTGGAACAAAATTAAGAAGGAAGAGATAAATGCAACTCGCGTTATTAAACAAATAAAAAATTTGTTGTTGGAGATGGATGTATTGCGAGAGAAAGTTCGACCAGAGGATCTTAAACGATTCGACAGCATGATGGAAGAAGGAAAAAATAAAGCCTTTCAAGGCATGAGCGAATATTTAGGTAAGTTGAAAGTATTTTATATACAGTTAAATTTATATAATGATAAATTTTAATTTAAAGAGCTCAAATTGAAAACACCAGCTTATAATAAGTACTCTGAATCTATGATAAACTTTGAAGAGGACGAAACGACACATCCAGTAGAAATCGGATCAACGATGGCTCATCGGCAAGTTCTGCCTGCGATAGAGGCGAATTTCGAACAACAGGAATACCAGTTGCAACAACGACAAGCATGTCTAGATGAATTGGAACAATTGCAAAACGAAATACGCGATCTGAATGGAATGTTCCGTAACGTGCATAATATTGTTCACGAGCAAGGAGAAAGTGTGCGAGTAATTGCTGATAATGCAGAGGAAGCGCTTGAGCAAGTGCAAATTGGTGAAAGTAATTTGAGGAGAGCACTAACATATAAAAAAGCAATGTATCCAGTGATGGGAGCATTGATAGGAACATGTGTGGGTGGGCCTATTGGATTAGTAGCCGGTTTGAAAGCAGGAGGACTTGCGGCCGTAGGATGTGGGTTGCTGGGTTTTACAGGAGGTTCTGTTCTAAAGAATAACCCATCAGCTAATCCGGTTGTAATGCAAGGTAATATTGAAGAAGAAAGTTCTCAAGATACTATAGAAATGGAAAAAACAAACGAATGACGTTTAGAATCAGTTGATGCCACGAAAAATCGAATGGTAGAAACTCGTCAACTATCGCAACTGTCTGCAGGCAGAAATAGGCGATTAGATCCGGTAGCACAAGCTACCGCAGGTGTGATATGTAGCGTACGCAATTACTGTTCTATACAATAAAGACTTATTTAGTTTTAGTTTGTATGTTTTAATATATATTGTGAATTTTTTAAGTTTTGACTAATCATATTTTTATTAAATATCTATATTCAAAAATAAAAACGCAATTGCAGTTTCCCTTCATGGCTGCCAATGCTTGCACAGTTCTAAATCAAACTGGAATATCATTTAACTAATCTCTTTTGTTTTAATTTAATTCATATATTTTTATTCTTAATTTATTATGTACAAATACATAAAAGTATTGGTATTAAAAAACCTTAATCCTAAAGACTCATAAAATTTTATAGCGGCACATTTGCTGTGGTCCACGTCTGCCTGAATCGCTTCTTCATTGCATGTGCCTTCTTTCGGATACGTTTAGCGGTTTTCTTTGGTTTGTACCATGGAGGATAAGAACCATGTTGATCTTTCATGGTTTTACTATTGTAAACATGAACCTTTCCAGTCTTCTCATTTACTTCTGTAAAGTTCTTGCCAGGTTCCCTACGTTCCTCCGCTTCATGCTCTAGTTCTTGTTCTTCCCGTGATTTTTTGTCCTGAAAATTTTTGTGATATAACATAAGCTAGTAGTTTATTTCTATTTTACTAAATTATTGTTCTTACTTGTTTCAACTCTTTAGCTGTTTTCACTGTAACAACATCCGATACATCTTTCATGACTTCATTTCCATCCGCATCAATAAGACCAAGGGTTTTCTTTAAGCGTATTAACTCTTTGGCCTCATAACGAGCCTTTTTTATTTTGTTCATTTCATCACGGCGTTTGCGAGATCGGTTCGTACGGCCCATTTTAAGCTAAATTCAATTATTTTAAATGCGTAAATGTACAAAAATAAATGTAAACACGTGTGATACCCCTCAAATATTAAAAACTAAATGTCAAATTGAGCAGAGTAGCCAACTCTCCACAGAACAAGAATTACAAGAATTACATAGAGCTAACACTTTTAGGAATGAAGCATATCTCTCCGTAACGAAGAAACTCAAATCAAGTGGCGTGTCTCACCGCGGCATTTTAACTCATCCCTCATTTCTATGAGCTAGTATATCGACGGATTAATTAACAATTTCCTGAGAGTTGTTATTGTTGTAGCGTCTGCGTTTACCCTGCTTAGTTAATCTAAGTCACCGAGGTCATCTAGCGGGAAGTCCAAAAAACGTGCTGTTTCGACGTTGGGTATGTTGGTGCTGAGCCCGGATAGGCAGGAGTTTAACCAGCTACCGTATCCAGACCTAAGTTGTGCCAGTTTCACGCTTGCCCCTCAAAGCGAGCAAAGGCGAGTACGCCATTTACGGAAAAGGAGTATTTGAAGGTGTTGACTGATTCCTGGAAAATTGCGTTCAGTGCTTGTACTTACGCCGTGATGTCCAGTGGTTGTTTCACGTGTTGCTGGTTGGTGCTCTTCATGTTTTGTACTCCCTTTCTGATGTGCCTTGGTGGAGGTTTGGCTTCTATACGATGCCTATCGTGGTGTTCCCTACGGTAGCTTCTCACTGAGGATCGGCTGCACAGCACACAACACTACCTCACTCCCCGCATCACGAACGCCTCCCCGACACAGGCACGACTGTTACAATTTAACTGTAACGCACTCCAGGGAAGGATCGACGAGGTATTCGACTACAAGTCTAATATTATGTTATGCTATGCCATTGATATGACTAACTCAACCTTATTTTCGATTACGTTCCACTTTTCAATCATTTGACACTTTATTGACATTTATTGTGGATGAATCTAGCAAAAAAAGAACCTGCTAAATTTCAAGAAAATAACAATCAAAACAAGTCCATTAGCAAAAGCACTTTCAGATATATTCTAAATATTTTTCAGCAAAAATATTATTCTGTGGATGAAGTAATTTTGAAATAGTCATATTTCGGAAAAAAATGGTGCTTCGATCGGGTATAATAATTCCTTTTCAATTTCGAGACAGTAAGAAATTGCTCATGATCGGAGTGCCTGAAGAAAACCGTAATTTAAATATCTGGGACTTAAGAAACGTTGGTAGGTAAAAAAAAATTTAGATTACCTGTTTGAGAAAGAGTATTGAAATCCTTAGTGCGTTATATTAAGTAAACGAATCATTATTATTATATCGATTGCAGTAAGAGCCGCATTTGGAATTTACAACTTTGAGTTTCGAAATAAAAAAATTGGGTTTAATATACCTGATGAACTGCTTTTGCACTACTTGGCACAACGCCGCGATCTTACCAATTTCGTTATAGAAGTCGGACAAGGTGAGTTAAATCAGTATCCTTTTTAATTGATAAAAATTTGCGTGTATATACTTCAAAGTATGTACAAATCATGAATTGGTGAAATAATTACTGCATTTACGTCTCTAGATGAATTAAAAACAGTTCTAAATTTAGTATTTGTTTACATGAACTGTCGAGAGTTATTAGCTAATAACGGTTTGTTTACGTTAATAAAATCGCGCTACAAGAGGGCGATATTAGCTTTGCATGATAACAAAGTATTGTTATAAATATTATATGAATCAATAATTGTAAATGTCTAAAATGGAGCTGTGGACAGACTTATAAATTTTCAAACAATGTCCGTCCGTCCGTCCGTATAAAGGGACCCAATAAATTTAAAATATGAAATATAACTTTTATTTCATTTTATACATTTTCTTTTATATATACTACCTAAATTCTTTTTAAATTTGAAATATAAAATAATATCTCTGCCTCTTAAGCTGATAAGTACAACGACCATGACATATATAAAGTATTCGGTGTAACTAGTTTGGTGTTTATTTTGTTATTATTATAGTAATAATTAGGTTTATGTAACTTTTTTTAACAAAACATTTGTGTAATGTGTATATGGGCTTACATACATATACACAGACGTTTATATTTTAATAGATCTCTATAAAAAAATGATCTCAAACAGAAAATTATAATAATTTCACGCTCATCGTACTGCACATCCTCTAGTAAGTTCATAAACATATTTACATTAAAACTAGCAACTTTAATATGCTCTTTTTCCAGCTGATCCAAGCGACGTTGTGCAAGATAATGGATTGGTTGACTCGTCTTCTACAGAAAATTTTACCACCACTGGTAGCTCTTTGCAAATGAATGAAAGTATGCATATGCCAGAAACACCTGGACAAGAATATAGAGATTCGTTTGATAGCAAGCAAATAAAGTACACAGATGCGCTAACAAACTCGGATGTACGAAACGCGTTTACAAGTGCTTCCCAAAGTCTTGATAAAGAATGTGGTGTGTACGAAGGATATGCAGAGCAAACTCAGTCAACTCCCAAATTACACCCTATTGGCGAAGAACATGCAGCTGACAAATGTGAGCAAGGTGATTGCGGAATAGAACAGAACCAAAAACCTAAGAAGCAACCGCCTGAAGTTGATCCGATTCAACGGCAGCTGAATGCAGGGAGCCAGATATTTTGTCCGCGTCAAACATTTGAACTCAGAGATGACAATGACATTCATCTTAAAAAAATAAATTATCAACAACATCAATACGCTTCCTGTGCAATGAACCGTTTTAGAAGTAGGTATTTTAGTTTTTACTATTATGAGTTTACCTCTAAATTCTATACAAATATTCTCTACAGGGAGAGGAGAAAGAATGTCTAAAGATCAAAAAGAGGTATATGTTAAATATTTCGAAGAAAATCCTTGTATGCTGTCTCAGCGGCGTAACGACACCGTACTGGAGTCGCATTGGAATAAATTGGCAGCGATTTTAAACAACGTACCACAAGGAGCGGTTAAAAATGTAGAGGAATGGAAGCAAACCTTCGATGCGTGGAGGTATAGAGTGTTTATGTACTATCGCTATAATTACAAACTCGCTGGTTCTGTTACGCACAATGTAAAAAACTTCAAACCACTTACTTCCACCGATCAACGTGCTTATTCTATGTGGACCAGCTACAAAAGTACACCGCCTCAACAAGCAGACAAGCCTGATCCATTCTGCAAATCAGAAACAGTACAAACAAACTACAATTATTGATGTAAATGAAATAGTATTGGAAGAATCGGGAATTCAAAGATATTTTTCAAAACTTTTACTATTCATACCTATAATGTACAATTTCAAAAATTGCTGTAATAAAAGTTAAAAGTAATATAATATCTATAAATGCTGATTTTACATATATGCTCTTTTATTATTTTAACACAAATGGATATTTATTTAAGAAATATATATATACATACATACATCCACTATAATTAATTTATATATGCCCACTTTTTACTTAATAGTTTATGACCCTTGCAAAGAGAACTTCACCTCAATGGGTAGCTGTAACACATGCCACTGTCCAGCAGCACAAAAGTCCTCATTAGAATTACATGACAATGTAAGCACTTCCATTTACAATGCAGCGGCAGGTGGACGCTCGAATGCCAGTGGCACAAGCTCGCAAAATTCACAAAACGCTGATGAATTACCAGTGATGAAAATGCGTATGCAACATGCGAACATACCTCCGAGTGAGATCAGTCATATGGAAATAGAGCCGAAAATTGACTATGATGGCACGATAAATACGACTGGTGCAAATACGGACGCGGATGAATCTTCGCCCCCGCCAATGTCGCTTCATGCCAAACCAGGCGTCTACCTTGATGAAGAGCACCATCAACACCAACAACAACAACAGCAGCAGCAAGAGTTACACCTAGAACGTTTGCAACATGAATATGCGTTGCAACAACACCAGCAGCAGCAACATTTCGAAGCTATGATGCAAGAAAATACCACTGGCAATAGCTTTAGGCGTAAGAAGTTTGCTTATATACCTACGTATACATATTAAATAAACTATATTTTTGATGAAATTTTACCGTTAGAACGAAAAGAACGCATGTCGAAAAAACAAAAAGAGATATATGTTAACTTTATGGAGCAGAATCCCGTAATTAACGAACATCGCCGTGGTGACCCGATTTTGGATCAATATTGGGGGAAATTAGCTGATATTCTCAATTCAGTGCCACAAGGTGCAGTTAAACATGTCGCAGAATGGAAACAGGTATAAAGTATATACATATTATGGTATATATGAATTTTATTGTAATTTTCATTAGTATGCTTTATTTTATTCCTTAGACGTTCGATAATTGGCGCTACCGTGTATTTTTGTATGCTCGTTACAATTCGAAAATCACAGGTGCCGATGCCTTAAACCCAAAAAGCTTTAAACCTTTCACACAAACGGATAAGCGGGCTTATCACTTTTGGATAAGAAATCCAGATACAGCTCCACCAGATTTGGAAAAAATGCGAAATGTATTTGTGAATTTAGAGGAGACACAACAAGAATAGCTAAGACGCACAGTAAACATTTACAAAAAAAAGAATGTTAGGCTAATTGATAATCCTAAAATATTATAAGACTTATAATACTTTAAAATGTAAGTTAATGTACTAATTTAACGAAAAAATATAAATTCAAAACGAAAATATATTAGGCAATGAGATAATATGTATATATTTTATTTTCAATTTTATTTTACAGAACATAACTTTCCAAGTTCTTAATAATTCTAACCTTATTGGACGCCTATATACTTACTTACTTTACTGGCGTAGACACCGCTTACGCGATTATAGTCGATTTAACAACATTGCGCCATTCGTTTCTTTTTTTTTTGCTGTTTGCCAATTGGAAATACCAAGTACAGCCAGGTCCTTCTCTACCTGGTCTTTCCACCGGCGGGTACTGCATCGATAACTTTCAAAGTTGGAGTATTCGCATCCATACGGATCACATGACCTAGCCAGCGTAGCCACTGCTTCTTAATTCGCTGAACTATATCAATCTCGCCGTACAACTCGTACAGCTCATCGTTTCATCGTCTGCGGTATTCGCCGTTGCCAACTTGCAAAGGACGCCCATATACGCTATGGGCAGTTTTGTTTTAAACATCCATTCAAATACGCGTCGATAAATCCGTAAAATATGTATGGATGTAGCTGTAGTCGGTCTTGAAGCAAACGGATCTATATAAAAATTTATCTTATAACATACCTTCTCGTTCAGCGATGTTGTGCACTGGGTTTCGAACCCTAAACATAAAAATAAAGAAGGTGCCGTTGCTCAGCTGGTTGATTACTATTCATGCTCAGTCGCTAATGCATCTAAAGGTTTTTGGTAATGTTGAGGAGGTGGGATATTGTTCTTTGATTCTATGTTATTGAATAGCTACACCAAATATATTATTTTTGAAACTTTATAATATTACCTTTGGCCGCAAAACGTGGTCTCGTGTAGTGCTTACTTAGGATTTCGGAAGTAAAAAAATCGTAATAATAATAACAATGGGCACATTTGTATTTCGATGTTTTATTCTTTTATTGTTTCCACATTTTCTCCTAGTTACAGTAACGATTTTATGTATGTAATAATATTTTTTACTCTTTAATTCTAACATAACTTGATAACATCTCAATAGTAGTAATCGTAACGTTTATAACTAATCAGGTTGATTTGTTATTTATATTATTGTTATTTTTATTACTTTTAAATATGTATGTATGTATTTCTTTCGTTATATCGTTATTTACACGCTCAGATAACTTTTAAAGTTTAATATAAAATCTTGAATTCTTTCCCATAGCTCATTCTGAGCTAGATTTTCGAATGCTCTTCTATATCTTATCATCTAAAAGTAATTATTATAAATAACTAAAAGTTAATAATTGAATGGTGCAACTACAACTAGGAGTAATTTAAATTAATTAATTAATTTAGCGGAAGTTTTGCACCTACAGTTAGCATTTGAGGCACAGCCATTTAACCTCTTATTTATGTATTTATTTATTTATTTATTTATTTATTTATTTATTTATAATCTTCTAATAAAATTGTTAACTTTCTAGTTCCTAAAGTTCTTAACTTAAATTTAGTTACATTTGAAGAAATATACTCGCTATACACACACTGGTTAATTAATTAATACCCATACGCTAAATTATTCATGCATCACATCACATTGCGAATTACTTCTGTAAACAGTTTAAAAACGGAAAGAATACGGTAAATACTTGTTTATTCCTTCATTTTAATATTTAATGGCAATTGTATAGCGAATTACTCTAAAATCGATTGATCTTTGAAAATATTAAATTTCTCATATATGTACATATGTACATACGAGTATATAAAGCAATACCAGCATTAATAACACACAAAATTCCAACTCAATAGAAGAGTTCAAGAACATTGAAATGTTTGTATGTATGCATGAAGGGATGGCCATTCTTGTGTAAAAATTAAAAGCCATTTTTTTCAATAAAGAAAAAGCACTCAAATCGATTCTGTAATCCTAGTAGAACAGTACAAGCGTACATATTATTTATTTTTATTAAAAATCATATTTAAAAAGGCATAAAAATCATTGAATTTTAATAAAATAAAAAGAAAATAAAAATAAACAATATAAATGTATTGTAATAAACTCTGTTAAATGACTTTCTATATAAATATTTCATTGCAGTTTCTATTGCATTAAGAAATCGGACAGGAGTAGCTTTTGCCTTTTTTAACTTCTACTAACTTTATCTGACTTTACCTGAATTCTTGTTTATTGTATTATAGAAAGAATATAAAAAAAATAAAATTCTTAAGTGATGCTTTGTAATAACGTAAGAACCAAGTAAAAATTAATTGATATTGATAAAGAATAATAAAATATGAAAAATAATAACACAAACTAATAATAAAATAATAATGTCATAAATACTAAATAAAAAAATAGCTGATCGGAGATCGGATTCATCGTTAACTGTAATGCCCTGTTTAGCTGATTTTTTTTTAAAGATTTTGTGCGTTGTGTTATGGCATGTGTCGGAGGCAAATGTTTGTCTGCATTTAAGTATTTAAGCACTTGTAACATTCGTTTGTAACGGCCACAAGTTCCATTGAATGGTCTTAGATCTTATCTTACATAAATTATTTTTAACATACGTGTATATATACATTTGAATGTACACATCATATATCCAGGGAATTACTTTTTTTTTAATTTACGATAGCTGTGGCGCTCCTTTCACTAGGCATGACTGTGAGTTATTGCCCAAGCTAGAGCCGTCTAAGCTATCCAAATCGAGTGCAGTGTTTATCATAGTTGTACTATTTAGCATACGTAAACGATTCAATTTATTTATTGAACTATCACCCACTTTTCCATTACCAGATAGAAATTTCGTATCTAGATTTTCTTGTGCCACAAATGATGCACTAACTGGATCATCCAAGTCTAGATCGTCATTTAGTAAAGCTGACGAAAGCAATACACTGGCTGGCGTACTATTCTTCTGCGTTTTATGCTTGTGTTGCTGTTGTTGGCTCATTTGTAGGGAAAGTTCGTGTTGCTTCTGTTCATCCATTAAATTTGAGTAGACATGCAAATTTGTGCTACTTTCCTGTGGTGCAACACTCAACGCATTCCCAGCCATTTGTGCAACGTTACTATAGAGATTTTCCGTTGGAGCGCATTGTTTCAACACATGCGTATGTTTTGTTTCGCCTAATGCATCGTGTTGAGTGCGTTCCGTAAAATCTTTAGAATCGTTCATATCGATACTAATCGACAGATTTGCTATACTTTTTTCCAGCGGTAGATCAGGTGATTCTTTATCTAAACGTTCCATTACCGAAACACTCGTGGACAATCCCGGGCTATTCGTGATATTTGTGGCGTTTACGGCACCATTTTCTGTATAAAATAAATTATTATAGCTGCCTGAGCGATTTTGGCGTTCACGTGCATGATTTGTAGCAGCGATGGCTGCCACAGCGGCTACAACCTCTGTTTTGCCTACAATTTCTATAACATCCTCGTTAGAGTCGATGGTGCTCATAATATTATTACTATCGGGCGAGAGGTTGGACTGTGCACGATCTTTATGGTGCCGGAATTGGCGTTGCATTTGTGCAGTTTGTGTTTGCGGTATGTCGATCTGAGAAAGTGGGATTTCGTTGTCTACCAAATGCGCAAGGCTATTGGAGTTTCCTGTAAGATAATTGATGAGTAGAACAAATATATCATATTAGTATACAAAGTGTTAGAATCCTTTCATTTTCATAAACACTAAACAACTCTAATACACATCTGTATGTATGTATTTATCTATTTATGTATATTATTTAATGGGACTTTAATGCAAAATAAATATCCAAAGCTAACATAAAATATAACGACAAGAAGAAGCTATTTTTAATCCAGTCAAATCGCATTGAATATATGTATGTATGTATATATGTATACTAATCATAAACATTTTCCTTTGTACGTGAGATTTCGAATTTTTCCTGTTTTGGAATACCTTTAACCGAAATCAACTAATTTACTGTTCGTTTTCGTCCTGAAAATTTGAATATACAAAATATATCACAAAGTGGTCGTCAAACCACGACATAATAAGGGCTTTGGTTGGTTGGTTGGTTGAAAGGGAGGTTGATGACCTAACCGCGAAGGTTTAGCGGCTTAAAAATCAACCTGGCTCAATTGGATACTGATGCAATATACCCACCACATAGCTTTAAGCATCAGATGAAGTTAAATTTTTATTTATAAAAAATTCGGTTCAGATCAGACTGTTAAAAAATTGGACAAGCTTGGTTTATAAAAACTTTAATAATGCACAAATGTAAATAAATACATTCCTTGTTGGCGGTCGCGGTAGCCAAGTGGTTACCAATATCCAAATTCTTTTTTTAGATTACGGTCACCCCCAACAGGGAATGTCAACACCTCTGAGTGTATTTCTGGCATAAAATAAAAGCTTCGCATTTAATTCCATTAGCCTTTCTGCGATCGCTATATATATATGTATATATCTTTCTTAAAAAACAACGGAACAACGTTTTCAACCGTGCAAATTTATTACCGAAATACAGTGATAATCCCCAAAGCCTTGTGAGACGTCTTTACATCCTCAAAAAGCCATAATGTTACAGTCGATGAGAAACGCTATAAATAATGTTAATGTGGACGAGAACCCCATCATCTATTTGGACGCGTCTTAGAATAAACTGTAGGAAAACCACTAGACGCATGCCTCAAATTGGATTGGAGCTGTACCGAAAATCACTTCGGAGGTTGGCTACAAAGCGCCTATTACAATAAAAATTATAATTTAAGTCACCGGTATACGCAGATAGGTTTGAAACATTTTTTGCCTTGAAAGGGATTATTCCGTACGCTATTGCTGAAATACGGCCCCATTTGCTGTAAGAAGTTGTCGAAAATTTCACCTCCTACTGGTATTTATACGAGCCACCCACTTGCCCGAATGGCCATACCGTTAATGTATTTGCGTTTTACTTCTTCGTGAAAACCACATGTCCTTAATCTCATCACTCGTAATATTGAGAATAATAAAAATAATGCACATTTAAGAAGAATTTTTGTTGGATTCCTTGTTTCGAAGTTTTGAAAAAGAACAATATCTAAAGTAGGTTAAAAAGTATTCCAAACTTCGTTTTATATTTTTAGGTTTAGAAAACCTGCATCATTTCAATATTTAATGCAATACAAAAATAAATTTATATGATTTTCACAGGATTAGATAAGACTGGTATTTTACTGAAAAATTAAATATGTTTACACCGCTTTCTCTGCGTATTCTCTATGAATCGAATGAGCCGCGTAATTCTATATATGTATATGCAACTGTAAATATATGTATATGTACTATATTTCAAAAGTGATTTCAACGCCATGTGTAATTAAAAGAAAATATATGTTTATATTGTATGTATATACGAGTATATATGTACATATTTATGTAATTTGATAACAATTTAACATGGAATTTTCCATTCAATTTGCATAAAATGCATATAATATAATATATTTGAGGGAGTATTCTATCCATATTAATTACATGTATAATTATGTTTATATTTATGTTGGTATGAATGGTGTAACTATGCATTGCATCAATAATCTACTTAATTTACAAGTCTTGACACTTTTTTTTTAAAGAAAAGCATGCATTTGTTGTTGTTTTTGGAATTTAATACACATATGTATGTATGTAACTGGTAATACAGTACGAGTACACAGCATGTGCTATGTATGCATTTATGTATGTATGTATGTATGTATTTAAGCATATCGCAAAACTTCTTAGCGAAAATACCGTATTCGATTTAGACACTTTGTACTCTCTCACCATCTTCAAGTAAAGGTTGAATCAATTCGGGAGCTTTAATTATATTAGGAATTTTTTTTCGTTGGGGTTAAATATATATATATTTATATATATCGATATAAATGAATATATTTTTTATATTTATTTTTTGTTGTCCAACATATAAACATAAAATACAAATCATATGTGTATATACAGGGAAGAAAAGAAAAGAGAAAAGATAAAGAACATAATTTAATTCTATGTATGTATGTATGTACCTCACTTATGAAATAAAAATTAATTATGTTAAACATGCGATTTTGTATGTATTTCTTTTATATACATATTTGTATATGTACATATGTACATATACTATAAAATATATGGGAAACATCTGCCAATCGTCGAGCAAAGTTTGGAAATCGTGGGGAATTTGAAGCGAGATGGATACATACATATACTACATACATATCATCTTAGAGAAAGTACATAAATCTATCATCGAGCATGGCAAGCTTTTCACGTTATAACATGTATATGTATACACATATGAACACTATTATGGTGTTCTTCTTTCGAAAATACTTTAAATAAATAAAAAATCAAGGAAACAAAAATTACTTTGAATAATCCGAGGCTTTTTCTTTACCCTTCACACGGTGACAGTCACATATACATATGTATGTACATACATACAGCTGCAAACGAAACAATTGGTTTTTTGGTAGGGTTAAAAAAGAAACAACGGTAAAATGAGAATTGAAAAGATCGAAATTCTTGAGAAACTGGCCGACGGGGAGGCGATTTACTGGAGGTTTCAAGGGACAGATGGTTCATTGCCCTACTATGAATAAGTTCGAATAGCAACTGTCCGCTTGAAAAAGACCCTGATATTGCAACACTAAAAGGGTGAATCTTTAACAAGTGATTTCTTCATTTTTAAGCTGCAGAGCTAAATAGACAAGGTACAAATAACATTCTATAAAAGTGTACAATTGATGGCGTAAGCCGATAAGTTGTGCTTAGCATTAACACCGACAACAGTATCAGCTTAGAAATCCAACGAAGAATCAATTAGAATCAATCAGAATCATCAGTGGCGAATACCGCAGCCAATGTAACGATGAAGCGGTGTCTAAGCCAGCAAAGAAGGAAAATAATAAATATAAAAAAAGATTTTTTGAATTTATCTAATAAGATCCCTTTTGCTTCCTTCCACATATCAATCAGTTCAACGATCGATTTAATTGTATATTTGTATTTTATTTTTAAATCAGCCTACCACACTTCAAGCCTAATTCATAGACCCGAGCAACTTGTCGGGATTATTAAGACTATCGAGCATAAAAACACACAAACATGTACATGTATATATGTGTGTATTGTGTGAAGGGCAATGCAAAATGAAAATTAAAATTGAAGCAAACGTTTACAGTCAGCACAAATTGTAAATAGCCATTAATTATAATAATTACGTGCAAATTAAACTCAATTAGAATCAACAAATTTATAGTTTTGATTTTTTTTTCAAAGGAAATTGGCAAAATATAAAATTAAGCGAATTTTCGTAACATCTTGGAGAGAAAATTAAAATTCCAATAATTCATAGATACAATAGTACGCTATTATATATTTATGTATGTATATACTACAAGAAAAATTTCAAATAAACAATATACTATGTTTCTAATTATTCGCAAATAACTGTTATGCAAGTATCAGTTGCTTCTTTTCTATATTGTATTTTATCATTTCAAAATCATTATTATTACAATTCAAAATATTAAACAACTCACCCAATCTAGCATTTTTCATTCTTTTTACTGTTATTAACGCGTCGCGGCTTATTTATGGTTTGACTCAAGTTTGATTTTTATTAAATCGATTAGAAAGTTTTTTTTTTTCAAAGTATTTTAGATTTCAATATGAAACATGACGACATGAGAGGACGAAATGCAAAAATAAGAGAAAGAGACAGATAATAAAAGTTAAGTTAAAAAGAATATGAAAATCGTAAACGGGCGACAACTGAATATAATTTAATAAGAAAAATAATTGCTAATAATTAACTTTACAGCAAAACCGTTAGTATGTGTTTATATTTAAGTAGTATGTATATATATATATGTATTTAGGAAGTGTTAAAACCTAAGGAGCAAATATAAACTCTGAGAGAAATACCAAGCAGTGCTAAGCTTTAGTCAGCTCATCAGAAAAAATTCAGTTCTCATGCTGAAATACTTAATTGGATGCGACGCTCTTTTCCTGCATGTGCAGTAAGCGCAGGTAAATTGTATTGCCGATTTGAAAGTCATAATCAAAAACCAGCATGTCTTCCAACCAGCACATTAAGTTCGACGACAGATGAGATCTCAAATTACTTGTGAAGAATTGGACAACAACACGATTAAAGCTTAAATATAGATAACTATTTACTCGCACACGTACCTAATAAAGAAGTTCGATAAAATGGATTTGAAATTTTTGATAACGATTTTTTTTTTATTAAAACGGATAATAAAAAAATAGCAAAGGAGATTTCTCAAATAGCCGAAATTTTCAGTTTTATATATATTTTTTGCAAAAAACAAGCTCATATTTTACTTTAAAATTTTGACAACATTATTTGATTAAAATAATCTTTAAGTCATAAATTTTGTTATTTTGCTTATAACGTTTTCAATATTTTGGCTGATTCGTTAGCGGCCGTTGTCAATTGAATAACATTATTTTTTAATATGCACACATATGTATGTGTATGTAATAACCTTTCGTGCTGTTTTCTGTTTTATTCATTAATTATGTATTGTATATGCAATTCAAAGGAACATACAAAATTACTAATGTTTGATTAAACTTCTGCTACTACGTTAAACGTATTAAACTTTTTATGTTTGACTTCATATATACATTTTGAAATATTTTGGGCTAGTAGAAAATACAACAGTAAAAATGGCAGTATTGAGTTATTTTGGGGGGCTTTCGTTAATTAATTAATTTTTTTTTTTGCAATTTTAGTTTGTTTTTTTTGTGGAAATGGAAATGCGTAACTATATTAATCAAGAAAAATATGACAATAGAACTATCCATATATTATGGGTTTTATAAGACGTTCTTTACTCGACTAGTACGAGTATTAAAAAAATTGCATTATCCTCTAATGATCAAGCTTAAGTAAAATTCAATATGCTTACGCATTTTATTTGATAAATTATTCGTCTATGTGGGTTTCATTAGCTTTGAAATTTGTTTCAATAAAAACGTATGTTTTCCTTTAAATTAATTAATACATACATATATTGTCGCACACTTGTATAAAATAACCGTTGAATATATTGAGCCCTGAACGCCGCAATAGTCGAGTGGTACGCAATGTGTGCTATAATGCAGAAGATCATGAGTTTGGGCACTTTCCCGACTAACAACCAAAATTATATAAAACTAATTTAAATAAAACAAGAAGGAAGAGCTGTCTTCGGTCATGCCGAAGGATTTAAATTTGGGATTCAAAATGAATTCTCGGTTGAGGTCAACCCTCGGTAGGCAATGTCAACCCCTCCAAGCGTATTTCTGACTTGAACTAAAAAGTTGGTCTTGAAAATCCGCCAACGTTTCGGTGGTGGCTTAGAATAAACTGGAGAGGAGTTAGTCAGCGGTCTATTATACATAATCGCCGAAAGTACAGTACAAATGTGCAAATTGCTTTTCTCATAACTTTGGAATGACGTTTCGTAAGGCTTTGAATGATGGTAGCTTATCGCTGTGTATCAAAAACAGAAAATAGAAAATATTGTTGTTGTCGGTTATGGCTCGATATAATATATATTTTCAAAGAAAACATTTTCCCCTGCCTGAGTTTAAATAAAAAATTAATATCAGACCGACATATTTTATAGACTATCATTAAAGGACTGATATTTTTACATATTTTTGGGCATAAGCATTAATATTTCTCTGCTAAATTTTCCCCCACGCAATGACAGATTTGTTGAAATTGAACTATTTCGTTTGCATAATAAAAATTCCCCTAAAATAAAATATGCATTGCAACTGTTGTTGTTGAACTCTTATAATATAAAATTAAAGCTGTTTGTTAAATACATTTAATGCCGCCTACTATCCTCTGCTCATCTTCAAAAATTGTTTAATTTTTTGTTTACTACTTTCGCCATTCCATACCTTAGTGTTAATGGAAATAATTGGTTGGCTTTATTTATTAGAATTCTCGTAGAGGAATTTTTTTAGGCATGGAATTTTTAAAATATTAAATTGAAATATTTATTTGCGTTAAATTAAAAAAAAGCATTATATTGCCATTTTTACAACTGTGGCACACATCACCCAACATATAAGTATACATATACTTATTAACTTCCGACTCAAAATTTAAAAAAAAATAAACACAATCGAATTCTATTATACATATGTATCTATGTATGTATATAATAAATCTTTGTATATATAATATAATTACATTTGCAAGTATGCGTTTATACGAACTTGTGTAATATATATATATATATATATGTATGTATCTGTGTAGATGCATTAACTTGCACTCATATATGTACATAGTATTTATGTAGAGGATCGTTAGTATTTATCGAAAATGTAATTGTATTCAACAATTATGTAATTTTACAACCTCATTTCAAAAATGTTCGCTTTGAAAAATTTCATTTTTTAGCTAATTCTTTTTAGTATTTTTCGTTGCTTTAAAAACTCTACACTCATATAACAATAAATATAGTTTGTTTATGATCGTGCTTAATTGAGGTTATGAAAAATACTGACATTATTTCGCGTTCTCCCATAAATCTAAGCAACATCAACAATATAATAGACTTTAACGTTCTCGCGTAGACTACTTCATACTATGAAGAGTCACTTCCCGCAGCATCCTCTATTATTGAATTTAAATCAATATTGAACGAGTATTCGTACAAATTCGAATAGCGATCTCTTTCTTTCCACGGTGACCGGTGATTCATATATAGATTTCTTTTGCTAACGCGAAATATTTGACTATCCTTAATGGATTGATCGTCGTCACAGGGTTCACCACCGCCGCCAAAATCGCATTCTCGAATAGTTAAGCGATTTGTTGGTGATTTCAATTCAAAGAGTACTTCTTGATGTTTATATCGAGGTCTCATCGGTAGCGGCTGATAGCCGCTTATGTTAACTTTTTGCGAATCAACCGATTGAGTTGATTGACGACGCATACCGCGTATTTTATGAAATGGATAATTACGCATTAAATTAGAATCAGTACTGCGTTGTGGCGAGTAGTATTTAAAATCGGTCGGTGCCGGTGCCTGTGGTGCAGCAGTATGTATAGTCGTTAAAGTTGTTGTACTGGCCGAATGGGCTGCAGTCGCCTGAAGTTGTAAAGTAGATGGACGTTTTGCCACCGGGTGTGGCGCCACAGGCATGGGCGTTGTTAGCGTTGATATGGGTGAAATGGCAACACCATTTGTTGTCGCTGCTACAGCTAGAGTTTGTGAAGCTGCAGGTTGCATGGAGTGTATGTGTGGAGGGTGATGGTGTAAAAGTGGAAGAGGAGAGCTGCTACCATCATAGGAGGGGGAGAGTGGCAGATGAAGCGAACGCTTTAAATTTAAATGATACGACGATATGGCAGGTGAATGTATGATTTGTGGGGTTGCATAAGCACTATGCGGTTCGTGGAGAATTTGTCGCTCTGGTTTTGCTTTTAGTAATCGACTTTTAAATTGATGAGTTGTGGGTGGTAAGAGTGTTTGCAAGGAACACTTTTTATATTGCTGCTGTTGCTGTGACTTACCGTTTTGTAGATTGTCATAACTTCGCGGCCGATATATGCCATTACTGACGCCCAATGTTGTCGAGGAGGGATTGGACTGCAATCAAAGCCAAATAATGCGTGTTGTTGTAATTGTGCAATATGATTGTAATTGTAATGTATGTGCCGGATCACGGTGCAGAAAAAAATGACAACAAAACAAATAAACAAATTGAAAAAATTGTTGTAAATGAAGAATACACGGAAAAATATAGAATTTGCTATAAACGGCGCAAAACATAAAAATGATCTATCATTCATTTTCAAGACTCACCTCATCGTAAAGGCGATTCTTTATGTCATTGCCTCCAATGCTAATACCACCACCAGCACCGCCAATCACTGGTTGTGCCGTAATCATACCGCTGGTACCAACATGAGAGGCACTCATTACATCGCTTAACGGATGGCGGGGACTTGTATGTTGTTGCATTTGCAAAATATAATCATCCGTCGCTATGCCGCGTCTGCAAAACAATGATTTTATAATATTAGAAACTGTACGACTTATTTTTTATGATTAAACGTCAACGAACCGGTCTATCAAAGATGGTGTCATAGGACCACAGAGTATATGACAGCAATTAAGACATAAATTTCCTCGCGAATATGGATTTATTGAGCGCTGTCCGCCCTTCGACGAGAAAGATCCTTTGAGCTGCGATGGGGAATTTTCATTAGCAAAGAAAATTAGGTACATATGTACATAATATATATGTATGCACATTTATATATGTGTATGTATATATTTGCATAGAAATTGGAAATATGTAAAAGAATAACACTAACATCTTCATTTGTAGTTTGATCACTGGTGGTCAGATAGGTATGAAATCCTGCCAGACCAATAACTGACCAAATCGAAAAGAAGCAAATGAACACAACAACCACCGTAAATGGCGCCTTCTTTATCACCTCAAATACTTCTTGTTCTGCCTTGATCACTGTGGGAAATAAAAGAATTAAATCAATAAATATATGTATGTACATATTTGAAAAATGAATATATTTCTACTTACATAACACTAAATGTGTAACAGAGCACGCAAATATAAATACAGCTAAAAATGCTAATGAGACTAGAAATAGGTAAAAGAAGCGATAATTGCGTTTCCCCACGCAGTTACCAACCTAAGGAATTCCATTGAAAAAAATAAATTAAAAGAATAATGAATACATTTTATTTACATTCCTCTGCTGCTCAGAGCAACAGAAAAGTATTGCAATATATCGTACTGATTTCTAAAATCGACGATACTCACCCAAGGACAATGGTGATCAAATCGATCGACACAATTGTCGCATAAACTGCAATGCGACGCTCGTGGTGGTCGGAAAATCTTACAAGTAAAACAATACTTTAATTTCACTGTTTGTCCCTTGACAAGCACCTCCTTCGTGCGTGGCGGAGGCCGGTATGTAGGACTGTTCAGAGAATTTGGCACTTCTGTAAGAGAAAGTAGGTAAATCTTCATAAGTCTTTAATACTGGAATAAAATATTTTCGAAATTTTCTACCAATTTGCTTTTCTATATAGGCAGCCTCGTCGTGAGAAGCACGGGGTATAACACCAGGATCTGTAAAGGTTGTTCGTAGCAAGGAACTCATTGTAAAGAAGTAAAGCACTGCACCAACAATAGGAATGATAGGATTTATACGTGTAGCAAGGAACGGGCAACTGCAATTTAACAAAATAGTCGTTCATTTTATTTTATTTTAAAAAATTTTAGCCAAAAGATGTTGCTGTTGTAAAAGAATAAAAGAAATATTAAAATAACTGAAAAAAACACTCATCGTTAAAAAAGATAATAAAACCAAAAAAAAAGTGTTATCTAGTTATAATATAAGTATAAGTATGTATGTACATATGTACGAGTATGTATAAAAAACATGCATTCTCATTTAGTGGGCTATTTAAAAAATGTATTCATCACACTTTCCCTATAAAAAAAAAAGCCTGCAAACGCACAATTGATACATATGTATGTATATACTTATGCTCATATAGACTTTTGTAGTAATATGTACAATATTTATAGGCATGTCCTTAAGCATAACGGTAGTGTGATTTTACGACACGCATGTACTATGTATGTAGGTCTGTCTGTATGTTGTACAAGCTCAAATACTATATTAGCGTCATACTTATGCCTTTTCAAATCAGCAATCATTGAGATGTACTATTCACAAGCCAGCAACAGAGAGTGCCATTCATGCAAAACTATACAAAAGAGTTGAAGGGATACAAACAATGGCTATGTACACACATATACATACCAGAACATAGAGTATATGGCCATGTCGAAACAGTTTGGTGCAGCAAAATATATTCGCTTTACAAATACAGCTAATAATTTGTTTTAGTATCTTTGGGGATATTGCGACTGGGGAATTTCATATGTACATACATGTGTATGTATGTATGTATGAATACATCTGTACTTTTTGGCACTGACTGTGGGTTTTGTAATGATGACACAATAATACCACCTGACCTAAACGTAGACTTAAACTAATTTATGCTGATTGAGGCGCCACAATGATCCGGCCAAAGTTTGGACGCAGAGGCCCCAAAAAGCGTGAATATTCAGCGTTATTTTGCGATGAAATATTGTTGTTCTTGACTAAGTAGTCAAGAACTGTGTTCAAATATCGGTATAGATATGTTTTTAAGTGGCCTTATCGTGAGTTTAACGTGAAGAACGCCAAAATAAAAAAAAATTTTTTTGCACTTTTGCTTTCTTGTTCTATTTATGTATATATATCAAATAAAAGCTTTGATAAGGCGAAATGGCTTTTGATTAAATAAAAATCAACGATAGAATGGTAGATATGAGGGTGAGTCAATTGCATTAATCAAACATAACCTGATGGCATACGGGGACCAAACTATTCCGTACAACGAAGAGATCTTCGACGGAGCTCTTACTACATTTTGTGTTGTGTGTTGAACAATTTTTATGAGAAGCTTTTTATTTTATGTCGGAAATACACTTGGAGCAGTTGACGTCTCCTGCAAAGACGACCGCATTTCAATTTTGCTCTGAACAAGAATCGAACCAATGGGTCATCGTATAATAGCAAGCTCTGCCAACCACTCGACTAGTTGACATGCATAGTTCCGTGATTATCTTGTTAGGTCTTGTGGCCTGGATGGAAGAAAAACTATTTAGCATCCTGTGAGCTCTATTACATTGAAAAAAAAAAAAAAAAAACAAGTGCAGGCTGTCATTCACTCCATCAATTGGCGCCGTTCTGCGAAGAGAAGCAGTGTATGTTCCATTATTGTTGACTTATTTTTCTGGGCGACACATTCCGTGCACATTTCGAATATAGGAACATGCAACACGAAAAGGAACTGACCCTCAGCCCAACTTGTATTAGCAATTATTAGATTAGATATTTGTTTGTGGCTTAATCTTTCGAGCATAAGCATGTGTGCTAACAACTCGAAATTTCATAAAAAATTTATAATAAACATTTTTTCAAACACTTTTCAAATGATATGATATATGATGGGATATAATGCATTGTAAATAATGTTTAATTTTAAATTTGTTTTCTACTCACTCAAATGCAAAGAAAAGCGCACTGGTGCCCGTAATCAGTATGCAAGTTAGGTAGAAAACTCCCGTATGCGGTGCGGACATCAGCAATCCATCGCAGTAGAATTTATTACGCCCAGCAAATAACTCCCACTTGCGAGTTATTCTCGTGTTTGGCGCCATGTTACCGCAGCAGCAGCAGAGCAAGTTCATTTATACTATATGCTATTTCCTTTATATTTTATCCAATTTTTACAACAAACCTACCAATGTGCGGATGTTTAAGCCCAACGTGCTTTCACCAAGCTCCAATAGTAACTTTTCAAGGATCTCTTCGATTTAATATTCGATGTTTATTTATTAGTTGATTGAATCTGTTCGCCCCTTTTTTCTTGTGTTTCTTGTTAGTACAAGTTTATTGTCGGTTTTTTAAAATGCAACAATTTTAGACGATTACGTATTTGTTCATCTCGTAGATAAGTAAATACATACAGTTAAGGGGATTTATAAGAACATTGAATAGATTCTTAATCTTAATGATATTTCGCTCAGTATTTATTCCTCAAATGGCATTGAAATCTTTTTTATCTTCTTCTTCTTCGGACTGTACGTCTATTTTATTTCTTATCACTGTTATTTTCGCTTCCATTTTGCTCTAGCCATAATTTTCATTTCCTTATTTCGCCATTGCCAATTTGGACGGCAGAACATTATAAGAAAGCGTTTGTTTGTAAAAGAAATCTTTTATTTTGAAACCAAAAACCATCTCTTCTGGTAATCGCCTATCATCCTGCATCGCTTCCTTTTTGCCATTTTCTTTTTAGTTCTTGAATTCCTGTAAAGTAAAGACATCAATATAAATGTTTGTACAAATCACCTTGTGCAAAGAGGCTTCTTTCGGTAGGTTGGCAATGCATGGAACTCCCTATTATTATGATAAGAAGCAATAAACCAAATATCCCATCCCACCGATCTTAAATTTAAAACAAACTCGAGCCTTGCTACGAACAACTTAAAAGTCATCCACTTGGAGATCAGCAAACAAGCCACGTTTTAGGGCCAGATTATGTTAAGTTTAAGTGGCTGTTGGACCATCAAACGGGCCCATTAGCCCATACCCGCTAGTCAAACCACCGACGACGTCAAGTCACTTCTACCTAGCTCTCTAAAGTGCGGGGCATTCGCAAAAAAGTGCCTTAAGGTTTCGGTTCTACCTTCCCCCTACAACTCCTACAAAAGTCTTTTGATATAATACCCAGACTAATAGAATATGTGCCGTAAGAAGATATAAGTCCTCTCTAACTTACTTTAATCCATGCCAACCACATTACCCTAGCCACATACCAAAAGCTGAGAATCTTCCATACGAAGATGAAGAACTCTCTTATAATGAGTTTACATGTGGAGGGCGACATGCCCAAACTCTCCATGATGGCGAAAGTGGAAGGGAACTAAATTCCCCTTCTTGCAAGCTCGTCCGCCAACTACTTAGCCATCACGTTTGGAGATTTTCGACACTTCCCTACCATGTCTGATTGCTGATTTTACTGTCACAAAATTCTAAGGCTCCTAAGGGCTGCACGGCTGCACGGCTGCCCGAGAAAATATAGATATAATTTACTGAGAGTACCTAGAATTGAATTGACAGTCTCATGTATGGCGGCCAGTTTAGCCTGAAAATCTCTAAAGTGGCCGAGTAACTGAAGGGACTCTTTTCTAGTTTTGATAAACACGTTATAGTCATATGTAAAGTCAATGAAGATTATGCAGTAGTCCGTTCTTGCCCTCCGTCGTTGCGTGCAACAAATGGAGTTGTGCTAATCCACTTAATGGAAGGTTTTAAAAAATTACCTTGGTTTGCAGGCTTACAAAATCCAACGCGTGCAAGAATTGAAGCCGAACGATCATCAAGTGCCGCACGTTCGGTGAATGGGCCCATAACAAAATGGGCACCGATTCCGATTCTCGCAAAAAATTATTGCTTTATATTTCTTCAAAAATGAAGTCGGCCATCATCATATCATAATCTATAGAGAACGCTATAGGATCATGCTTAATGACTTTTTCTTGTCTGAATTGGAAAATGTTCAAGTGGACGAGCTTTGTTTCTAACAAGCCGGCGCTACATGCCATACAGCCAACGAAACCATGAATTTATTGAAGGAAATTTTGGGTGAGGGTTGAAAACCACATGACCAAAAACCCTAATCGGCATTTTGTAACCGCCAAACCGATTTCGGGTCGTGATGTTCATCTTAATGTTTCTAACAAATGAAGTAACTTACAGTTCATTCTAAACGGTCTGCAAAGGACTGATGGTTTTTTATGAACAGCCTCTATTTATTATAAAACTGAACTTAATTTTTTTATTTAATTTAATTTTCTATGTTGGTCGGACAAGAACTCGAACCCTGGTCTCCCGAAGGTTGTAACACAATGTATAAGTAGAATTTTTAAAAATGTGTTCCAGGCACAAGACCGTAGTCAATTGGTGATCCATAGCGTCAGAAGCTTGTAGTTTTCCTTGCTCGTGGAACCGAAAGAACTTTTAACTTGTCCACAATAGTGCCTTCCTGGGAATCGGTTCTAGCGCCAATAGTCCTCTCAGTTTAGACTGGGTAAGCGTTCATGAAGGAAAGTCCTCTCTCGACGAACAAAGATCAAACTCTACAAGTCACTCATCGTTCATTTCGAAGCAAAATACATAAAAACCAATTTTGTTTTTTATTTTTATTTTTTTCAATTTGCTCTGTCTGTTTTAAAGGTCAATTTTTTCCATTAGAAATACGTGCATACATATGTATGCACAAGTATGTACGTGTATGTATGTATTCATGCATGACATATGTAATTGTTATTAAATCAAGTGATCGCATGTGAGTATCTCTATGACCGCTTTTAGCACTTATTGCCCGAACTATTGAAAAGATATTTATTTTTTTTTTGTTCTCAATTCACGGTGGTTATTGCATTCGAGTTGACAAGCCATCGCATGTATGTGACAGCGTAAGAAGTAAAACGCAAAAGATTGCACGTGACACGTCGTACAATTGTCCTTGTTTTGGGATGCTGAGAGGCGGGGATGCGCACGAGCTTCATGTCAACAAACAGAAATTCTTACACACACTCAAACAAATATTCGCACAAAACAAAAGTCTTACACTTGTCCATATGTACATAGTTTGCTACAGTTTACACACCACATATGGACGTACATACAAACATATATATATTGTATATATATATATAACACGTAAACCGCATATTCGTTAAAAGTTTTGTAAACATTAGTAGATGTTTTTATTTTTTTAACAAATATGTACATATATACGTGTAAAAATCGATGTTCTGCGCTCACACATGTACAAACATACATATATGTATATATTTATGTATGCATGTATGTTTGTATGTAGAGCGACTGTGCTTAGTTATTATCAAAGTAGTGCTTTGCTATTCATAAAATCTATATCCAAATGCAATGACTGCATAACGAGATTCCTGATGATTTCTTTTCTAATTTTAATAACCAAAGAGATATGATACATATGTATGTATGTATGTGGCATGCCTGCTGAGCTACTCCGGATTGGCGTCACCGATTCTAGATGGAAATATGGTTACGGCTAAAACATACATACATACATGTATGTGTGAATATATAAGTTCGCTAGGATGCACGTATGTACGAGTATATAACCCAAAATATTCAGAATTTGGATAATGTACCATATGTATGTACGAGTATGAGTTTTTTTGAATGAAAATGGTTTACTTTTGATTAAATGAAAATACCATATACATACATATATACATATACATATATGTATTGCCTTATGTATCATAAAATGTATGTATTGCCAAATAACAAGGTTTAAAGATAAATTTAAGCCCTTTTTAGCATTTTGATTGGCAAGAAAATTTCTAAAAAACTTTAATAACTTTATTTATTTATTCAAATGCGTACATTTTTTACTTCGGAACTTCTGATTTAAAACAAAAGCTTTACATATAATTCAATGGGTTATTCCGAAACGGCTTAAACCAAAGTTCACTCCATTCGTAAGAAAGCTTTCTTCGTATTAATTGGCGTAGGCAACGCCATAGTCAAGTTAACAATATCGCGCTAGTCGTTTCGCCGTCAATTGGAGAAACGAAATGAAGACAAGGCCCTTCCAATATGAACTCTCCATTCTCTGCTTTCCTCAGAGTGGGTTAGAAAGAATGCTTTTAAGAGATTAAGCACGGTTTCAAAGCTTCAAGACATCGAAATTTTATTATCTTTCTAAGACATCTCGAGAATATTTTCCTAACTCTTGAGGTCGATCCGACGAATGCTCCGGAAATACATCCCAAATGGGAGGGTGCGCGCTCAAAGGCAGGTAAGCTCGGCTAAACTCTTTCTCGAAACTTTATTTTCAAAGTCCGTTGTCGAAATGAGGCTGCTAAAATTTTACACAGGTCTTAGAAATACAATTCACGAGAAATTGGACGAAGAGATGTTTTGTTTTTCCAATCATAAATCATGCTCAGTCCAAAATAGTACCTGTTGACACGGCGTGTTTATTTGTTGCATCTCTAGAGAGACGAAATGGCCTATAACTTCAAGTTGGCAACAGTGACGTGAGAGACCAGACGTTCTCTTGTCAGAGGCCTTGTTTAATACCCAAGAGGCCGTTACCGATTACGGCATTAGAGCAGCTCAAGGTGCATATCTGATTATTAATAAGATTCACACAACTTGTTACGGTGGGCTCTAATCACACAGTATTCTGGATAAGGCTTACATATTATATATGTAATTCAGAGAGTAAAACATCTTATGCTGCAACTACCCATCTCATATACCTTCCGTCCATAGTAACCTATCTTAAACAAGTTTGCAAGTACTGACTTGTTTAAACTAAGGAAATGCGTATTTTTTCAAAAGAAATGAGAAATAAAGTCGTGCTTAATTATTTATTACCATATAGATCATATATATTTGTTTGGCGTTTATATTCGAACATATAAATTATGTAATTTGTTGACGAAAATTTAAGATTTGTTCAAAAGTGTGCAAACACACTGACAGCTGGCAACATTTCGCCGCTCTCAGCAGCGTCGATAACTCCTGTATGTATATCGGTCTTCCAGTCGGCTGTTACGGACGGATGGTAAGTAAAATGGGTAGTGGCAGCATAATTTACCAACGCAGGCTCAGCGGTATGCGCACGATGATTCCACTACACTTCCACCGCATTCTCTTTTGGTGGATACTTTAACTATTTGATTAAATCGTCGATACATTTAAATTTACTTGGGCTCTTATTTTGGTAGAATATCATTCATATTAAAGTGTTAATATTATTTAAATTTTAAATCCATTATGTTTTGTTTCCAAAAATTCAATCATACGATCACAAATCAGCTGTTTTTTAAACTTGCTAGTTTTCTCACCACGAACTTGAAACTTCCACTCCAAAATAAACGTCAAAATTGCGGTCGCTCGTTTAACGATTGCCCAGCCGAATCACACATTCTGTTGTTATTGCATGCTTGAATTTAAATGAAGTTAAAGATATTTTCGCCTATTTTTGGATCCAAAATAAATAACATCAATTATGTCAGCTCTAAAGTTCAAGAAATAATTAAATTCCTCAAAGGTTTATTAAATTGTTGGTATAATTATTTATGTATTTAAATGCTGGTGATGCCTTACTTTCGCTATTTTTCTATTCATTTTTGAGCATACACACACATACGTGTATTCATCGATTGGCCCAACAGGTGTATGCAGTAAGTCAAAATTTGTTCGTCCTTAGATATATATGTATGTACATGTATATACATATGTAGATAAGTGTGCATTTGCAAATATTTACATCATACAAACAATTGAATCAACATTTAAGATTCTTTAGACCACATAAACTTTGCACGAAAAAAATTGAATGACATGACTGAGCTTAGCAGCCAAAACTGTTGTTGTATTGTTTTTTGCTTTTTCATTCTTTGTTTTGTCCGTTTGTAATGAATACATAAAGGGTACAATTGTAAGTATTTAATTGCTCGTTGTAGGCCAATGTAGTTGAAAGCAAACAAATGAGAAAATCTCGGATATACAACAATTATTCAGGCGCCTTTATAAAACGGAAAAATAAATACAAGTAGCCAACCATTCAAACAATAGAGAGGACAGCGCAGCGCGGCTATTGTCAGAGAATTTAACATTTTTAAATCCTTTTTTCACACACAAACACACACACAAACACATCCATATTGCATACACATGCATACATATATTTACTTACTTATAAATATTTTGCAGAAGTCGGAGAGTACAATAGACCACTGGTCGCGGTGCATATCATCCTTACTAATCTATCTATCTACTTATAAGTATGTCTGGAATGTACTAGAATTGGTTCTTGTTTGCCTGTTATTTATTAAATCTTAAATAAATGGATTTTTAACATGCATATGTACATATGTATGCAGTTTTGTATTTAATGGGAAAGTTAAGTTTCATAACCGAAATGCAAAGGCAAAAGGTGTACATTTCAGCCGTCAGCCAAGCAACATTATCAGCAATAATAAGTGAAATATCGTGCCGTTATAAAAGAAAATCAGTTCCGACCAGAAGTCCAGAGAAGTCATTGATTTACCGCGACTCTTGTTCAGGGAATACAAGTGACAAAGTTTATTTAAGCAAGGAAAGCAACCCTTGAAGACAAGCCGAGGCCGGGCAGGAGCATACGGCAGTTATGCAAGATCAGCCCAAAATGGTTGCCGAGAGTACTCACACCTGCCCAAAAAAACAACCACACGAACCTCAAGGCTCTCGAGGAAAAGAAATAAATGTGATTTTATAAATTTTACCATGTATAGACACATCAAGGCGAATTTGACGAGGTGTCGTAGTAACGCAGCAAATTCAAGTTTTTTCATTCATTGAACCAGTTCAGTTTGTAGATCTATTTGGCAAGAAATTTCAGTAAGAATTAGCCAGTAACGAAATGTCAAAATTTTACTTGGATTTCGCCTTACGGAAGGCCGATCAGTAAAAATGAATAATAATTGTTACTGCCCATCAGATCACGGTACAGGACTTAGGTTATGTTTGCTAGGATCTCATTTGATTTTCTATTTGTTATGATAAAAAAATTGATTTTGAAATTGTGGTTTGTGCAGAGTTTGTGAACTTTTAAAAGCCAATTAATTTTAAATGATTGTTGCCAACCGCTTCGCAAAATACAAAATACTTGGTTTTTGTGGTATGCATTTATTTGTTCTTTTGCTCTCACTCGAATTCGCCCTGATTGATACTAATTTCTTTTCTTAAACCCTCAAACAATAATAATTATTATTGTAGGCAAAAAAAGCTATGGATCAAACTCGGATATCTAGAGGCGATAAAAAGTTTTTACTAGCAGTAAAGTGGGCGGACTTCAAGTTGCTGGTAGGACTGTTAATGGGGTATTGCCATTTGACGTCACATACCTTTAATCTAGGTCTCATAGAGGACAACAAGTACAGGAAACGTGTATATTTGTTAAGTAAAGAAAAGTCCAAGAGAGGTATTTTCTCGACAGTTAGGAGCTCAAGGAGGTGGGGCAGTTATTAATTTAGTTTAGGGGCGCATATATTACAGTTAGTGTCATCTGTGGACTAATTGCATGTCAGAGTCGAATCTACACAAGTAGAAGTTTAATCTGCCATAATATGCAGACATTTAATCTTCGTCTACAGTATGTGATTTTGAATTTTAAAAACGCCATTCGCGTTGATGGAGTTAGAATGGTATTTATTGAATATCCCTGCGAATGGCAATTACAACCAGATCATGGAGGTAAAGCGTTCTAGAGTCCATACTATCGATTACAGATTTCCTGATGTTTTTAGAGGCAGCTATGCTTCCAGCAGGAGTCTGTAAGTATGATCCGCGCATAGGCATCCTAGTAGATCCTATTTAGTGTGGGCTTATACTCTTTGGGGAACAACCTAAGTCTTGCTGTTTCAATGATGTGTAGACGACAACAGTAGATTTCTTCTCATGGTTTGATTTTCTTCTGGATAGTGTAGTTTGTGAACTGTCATAGAGATCATTTTATTTACAGAATCCACATCACACAAAGTTTCTACCTTCTTAGCAGCTGTTTAAATGCGAATGCAATAATCTGCTATTTATGTAGATTATTTCGACGCATTACGATGTATACATTATGAATAACCAATAAATAGATTGTAGTATGCAAGAAGAAAATGACTGGTATTTAAAATAAATAGATATTCGTATTTGAGATAAAATGGTCTTATTTCGTATTTAAGATAAAATGGTCTTATTTGACCCACACGTTATATATACATATGTATATATGTATTTATGAGTAATTATTTTTAGTTTTCAAGATTTTTTTAGAAAGGTATTTATCAGAAGGTACTTACCATTGAACCCGCTGGATGTATCGAAGCGCAGACTTTTCCTTGTTTAAGTGTGTTATGACCAACTTAAGAGTCTTTTAAGATCTGTGTACAATATATTTTCCAATAAAGCGAATTCTTAGTCAATTCATATACTACACATACATACATATGTACTATATAAAGATACTTCATAATCCAATTTTAATTTAGTAACATACAAACATATGTATGCATGTCCATACGTATGCCATTAAATTCACACTTATTTATTTATTACCACTTTTTTCAAAATAAATTTGACTGATCACTAATTTGGACCTTTGAATACTCCATATTGACATAAGTAAGTAGGTAATCTACATACTAAGTAAAGAAGGATCTCATGTAAATATACATACATATGTGTAATAACAGTTTTTGTCTACGTTTATTGACTATTGAGTAAAACACAATTTTTATATACTATTATTGCTTTAATTCATATATTCATATGCAAGGAAAAATGAATATTGATCATATAAATAAGGCACATACATACATGTACTTATGTAGGTACATATTTACATTCTCATCACTTTGACCTTAAACGAGCACCATATCTTATTGTATTGAACCATTATAAACAACTTTAAACCTAAAATACATTTTATCACAAACGTGTATATTTAGCAATTCTATTTTGACTGGTGACACATTTCATTGAAAGTAGTAAAACAGAAATACATTACTTATTATTACGTATATATTCCATAGCAGTTTACTAAAGGTGTTGTTGGACTTTCTTACTTATGTTTGTACATTCGCAAAGTGGATTGTGACACCAACTCACACACGCACATAATTAAACCTTTGCATAAAAGGGCACAATATGAACACGTTCATCAAAGAAAAAATGATGCGGAAGGGACTGAGGTTGCTTTTCAACAAATGAATTAAATACAGTAATTATTATAGTGAGAATATTACAACAGTTTTTTTTTTTATTTTTCAAATACACTGCATCATTTCCCCAAATGCACTTGTTGTTTTCAAACATTTTTCCAAATTCGAAATAATGAAGCAGAAAAGGCGCATAAAACTCCATACTCAAATTTATATATATATATATAAATATACTATATGCTCTATATATATATTTATATATATACATATAGTATCATTTAGTACAAACGTATATATACATATGTATATAAAAATTCGTAGACATATATGTATTTATCAAGTTGTTTTCACATGTCTAACAACATTCTCATTTAAGTTATTGTATAGAGTTTAAATGTATTAAACACTTTATTTAAGTGCACAAAGACTCCGAAACATCTTCCACTTCTTTGGATGTAACGAAAAGGTTTATTATTATAATATTTTCACCTTTTCAATTCGAAGCAAACCAAAAGATACCAAGTGGTATCTCGATAATTGCCAAACCAGGCCGAGTGTATAAGAGTAACTCCACTATTGTTAAACTATTATATCAAACGAACTACAAGAAAATTCAATAATCTTCGTAGCTTTAAATTGAATGAGCAAGTTCTTTTTTTTTAAATCTAATAATTATTAGATAAAGGCGTATCTCCCCGTCGAAAATATACAATTTATCCCAAAACACACTTCACGAGAACTGACAAATGCGAAATGAAACAAAACTGGTTAAATATTTGCAAGGCGATCCACATTCAACTACATACACAAAATATCTGCGTTGCCACTATAAACTTAACTTATACTTTATTGCATATTGAGAACGGTTTAATTTTTCTTCAATTCTTTAGCAATGATCAAAGTATTCATTAGAACCGATGATTGACATTGAGAAGAAATGCATGGGGTAATCCAAATATTTTGGCACGAGATGAAAAATTTATGAAAAGACAAAAAGAAAAATCACTGGACGTAAGTTACTTTAGAACGCGAGCGAGAATTTCTAGCAAGTGATGTTGGAGAGCGTTTGTGAATTGTTTAGAAAAATAATCGATTAGATTTTAAAATGCGCATGCGCCAATTGGACACCTACCAAAAACAGCTGTTGTTGACATATATTGAAACCAGAGAACGTATAACATATATTTCTTCTGTAACAAACTTTGAATTCATCAATCTTGCGTTTTTCAGAAAATATATCATAATTTGAACATGTATTGAATAAGGTTATTCGCTCAAATAAATAGTAAAATGGAGTTTCGAAATGAAGAAAATGATCAAATTGTGAAGGTAAGAGGGTTATTTTCCATTCTAATATACTTATGTTTAATATATGTTATTTCTCAGCTTAAAAACAGTGTACATGAAAAGTTTGTTGAACTACGCGCAGCTCTAGAAATGAGAGAGAAGCTCTTGCTGAGGCAATTGGAAGTGGTTGCCTCAACAAAACAACACCTTTCTGAATGTGGAGCTGAAAGCAACCTCACAAAATCTACATCAAGTGAAGATGATATCAAAATTTTGTTTGAAGACGAGGTTGAATTATTACGTACAATTCGATCCTTTGGTCGGTTTCAGTTAGGGTCTATTGTGTTGGCCTTAAAGCATGAGGACTATATAACTCCGAATTGTGACCACGAAATAATGTACAAAAATATTCAATCTGATGATAAGCAAATCAACCAATTACCTCAGCAAAAACAAACGTCCGATTTTGTTGTAGTGGACTTGTCTAAGGACAAATGTCTGTTTGAGAATAATGCAAAGCATATAAATGATTCTATTGTTAATATTACACTTGAAGAAGCGAAGGAACTTATAAGAAAAACACGTTTGAAAAATAACACTAAAGTACCACCGTTGAATTTAGAAGAATTGGACGACGAGATGGAGTCGTCTATTGTTGAAGCCGTTTCCAATTTAAGCCGAGAGTCTTACAACAACAAATATAATCCAGGTACTAACAAATCATACAATGAGCGAAAAGAAAGTTCTGCAAAGAGAACAATGCTTGGTTGTTCTAAATCGAACGTTACCATTAACAATTGCAATGGTACTATTAATCTTCGTAATATATCGAGTGTTACAATAAATTGTGGTAACGACAATTGCGAACATCTAGGGGATATAAAAAAATACAGCATGTCGTCGGGCTTAAAAGTCTCTAATGCTACCGGGACCACATATGCGGGTGATTATAAATCAGAATCTTCCACCCCTACACCAAGCTCGGTTAATTCATGTTCAAATCATTCGAGTAACTCAAGTTCAAGATCTCATTCTAAAAAAGTACAAAAAGGCAATTTTAGTTCAGAGAGCCACAGTAAGCCAGATAAAGAATCTAAAGGCACTTCCTGTTTTGAAACCGAACCAAACACCGGATGTGATAATATAAATGCTGAATCTAAAAATATAACTTGTGATTTTTACAATCGTCTTATAAATGAAATCAAACGTAACTTAGATGAAAAGTCGTCACTTGATATTGGCTCATTAAAAAAATCGGTGCCCTCAAATGCAAGTAATTTAGAAGTTGAGCATTTAAAACCTAATTTAGTGTTTAAAAATTTTGAAAATCTTAATATTGTATTAAAAAATGATAGACAAGAAGAAGCTCTTCGTTCAGTCCATATAGAACATTGGCTATCAGAAATTATTAAAGATACCGATTTGGAGCCAATGCAAAACACAGAAATATTAGAGCACAGCAAATTAAAGGATTGAACGGTTACCAACTATTTCACCCGTAATACTTTTTAAATTCCAAACCTTTTTAAACATTCAGAAGGTACTTATATATATATATATAATATTATTCAAAGCTTAAGTCCTTAAGAAATCATTCATTCGTAAAATGAATATTTTTCAGATATGTACATATGTTAAGTACTATAATCCATACAACTAATTTAAGGTAATAATGTACGTACTTAATTTCAATAAGTGTAATTTTTAGTACAGTTTTGAAACATTTTTACGCATTTAAATTCACAAATAAATTGTCTTCATTGTATTTTGAATCGAATAGAGTTGATTATTCTATTATATGAAAGATTCCCTTTCATGTCAATCATTTTATTAGCATTCATTTAAGTTTTTACATTTATTATGAAATGAATACCATTTTAGGGTTTGATCGTGCGACTGACTAACGTAATCCACTATGAATGAGTTCGTTCTCAATTTAATGTGCATTGATGCGTTATGTTGTTAGCGTATTGGATATAAAAAACTCTTCCTGAACCACTCCTGGGTTTGATTCAAACTCATCTTATTATCTTCCTTATCTCCTCGAAATAAATTCTACACCTTGAAGTTCGTTACTGTTTTATTTTATTGGAAAATTTAGCTGTGCTCATTTTTATTTATCATAAGGCACCATTACCAAATTATAGTACGCTCTTATTGAAAACACTTTAAATTGTTTACCGAGACCAGAAAATTTTAAGTAGCTTCGGCAGATATAAATAATTACTTAAACATATGTATATAAAACAACAATTAATGTATTCACAAGACAACCATCTGAGTCTGAATGGTAGGAATCAACACATTTACAAACAAAACATTCAAAATAGATTTTGCGAGGGTCTAAGAAAAGTAGGTTACATACTTTAAAATCTGTCACCATATAAATAAAGGTAAGCTACAAAATGTAGAGTAACTATATTCTGCTCTTGCCCAAGATAGCCAAATATTGTTTGTAAAAACTGACGTCGGCAAAATTTTCCTTGTTGAGCAATGTTATTTCAACTCCAGTAAAATATCCAGCAGAGTTGGTGTGAAGTATGTTATGATGCAGTCAGCACCTGCGCGACGAAATCCTTTCATTGTCTCCATTAGAGCGTCTTTCAGATCAAATGCTCCGTTTTGAGCAGCAAAATAAAGCATAGAATATTCTCCGCTAACTTGGTATACGTATAGTGGATGACTAGGGTATGTGTCCTTTGTCTGACGTAATATATCCAGATATGGCATACCCGGTTTAACCATTAACATATCGGCTCCTTCCATAACATCTCTATGAACAGCCCTAATAGCCAGTCCTTTGGATCCACTTGGAAGTTGATAGCAACGCCGGTCTCCGAACGCCGGCGCAGACTTTGCAGCGTCACGGAAGGGACCATAAAAATTTGACGCAAATTTAGCCGAATATGACAATAATGATACTCTGTTTTCCAAATTTGCCGCTATTAATGCCTCTTTAATTGCACGAATGCGATTATCCATCATATCTGAAGGTGCAACAATATGCGCTCCAGCTCGTCCGTAAGAAACAGCTACCTCTGCCAACCGATCAATACTTTGGGCGTTCAAAAGTCCATTTTCACCAAGTATTCCACAATGACCATGTTTCATATATGGACATAAACATACATCACACGCAATCAAGAGATTTGGAAACCACTTCCTTAACAACGGCAAAGCTCTAATTACTGGATTTATAGCTGAATCAGCATTGGTAGCAAGATCATCCTTCAAGCTAGAATCTACAACGCCGAAGAGAAGTACTGAAGAAAGCCCTTTGCTTATTAATGGTTCGATAAATTTTCGCAATTGATTTACTCCCATACGCGATTGACCAGGCATGCTTTTTATAGGTTCGATTTCATCGTCTTCTCCAATCAAAAACACTGGATACATCAAATTATGTGGTGTTATTTCACAACCCGATTCCTGCAGCATACGCAAAGTAGGATGATGAATACCGCTATGTAATTTTCTTTCCATTTTGTACAGAAGGGTCCGCTTACGAATAACAAACAACCTAACTTTCCAAAGAGCCAAAAGCTTATTATTTTATTGATTATCTAAGCACAATGTCTGTATTGTATTGTGTGCACCATGCTTTAAAATTTTGATTTCAAATGGACGAATGCGTGACTTTGCAAACCGAATATATGTATGTATGTACGTATGTATGTTTGTGTATATAGTCGCTGATGGTGCTCCACATTCGCAATGACACAATATAACTAGAAGTGGGACAGATAATAAATCGATTACCAATATATCGATAAAAAGGAAAGTTGAAAATTATCACTTAAACTTACACTTGTTTGTAAAAAATTATAAAATTTTTGTAAAAAATTATAAAATTTTTGTAAAAAATTATAAAATTTTTGTAAAAAATTATAAAATTTTTGTATGTTATCAGAAGTATAGCTTTTAAAAAGTCTCTGTCGTACTGAATTTCAGATTTAATTATAATAAACATACACACATATAAATTAAAATATCGCGGTAGTCAAAAACAGACATTGAAGAGAAATAATTATTATCTTGCTACGAAAATATATCTTCGCCTTTCTTGAGTAAATTTCACCTTGTTGGCTATCACTTGTTAAAACGAAGTTCCATATGAAACACACTCCAATTAGATTCTGCATACGACTTTTGTCTTTATTTAATTTTAAGCAACTAAGTTACATTAAGTACTCAACAATTAATACCTTCATGGCTGTAATTTTTGAATTTTTGGTACAATTTGTATATTGCATATGTATTGTATTGAGGTAAGTAACTAGAATTATCAACATAGCCTTGTGTTTTAATTACAATTGAACTTAAATATATATAATAATCTTAATGAATATAAGGAAGCATCTCACAAACATTTTTCTGTTATTAGCAAAATAAGTATATTTCAACTATAATTAAAATATATTGGTAATCCATATTTGGTATGATTTGTAGCAGACACATTGGCATAACGAGCTACTTCTTCAGAGAACTAAGATATTCGTGAATGGTAAAGATGCTCTATTGGTAACAAATCCATTTTTTTTGAAAACAATGAATAGAAACTTCCAAGGTTAAATGGATTTTTAATTAAGTTATTGCGGTGATTGGGGATTCGTTTGTAACAACATAGCCGCTGCATTTGATAGCGTAACATACTAGTTGAATTGACCATCATTTGAGGCGGTCAAGCTAAAGATACTTGGTAAAAGAGCCATTCTTCCATAAAGGAAGGAACGAATGCCTTAGATGTAGTAAATTTGACTTTTGGTCGCAGCAATCGTAATTGGTCTTCAAATAATTCCAAAGATTCCGTGCAAGCGGTACCGTTTCCATGCGTCAAATATTTTCCATCTGACTTTAATATTTTAAAAGAATGTTCTAGAATTGTACGTATAAAATCCCATATTTCGCCAACTGGTGCCCCAGATATTGGAATATCGGTGAGATCACCAAAGACATAATCGAATTTGCGATCTTCGGAAATGAATTTCTTCATATAATCCACACAATCACCAACTACAATTTCATAATTATCACCCTTGCGTTTCTCAAGTACATCACCACAAATAGTATTTAAATATTTATTGCATGCTTGCATCACTAATTCATCAATTTCAAGCATCACCACGAATTTTGGTTTCTCTTTCAGCAATTCATATAGCAATGCACCATCGCCACCACCAAGTATACATATCTCTTTGCCTTCATAATTTTCTTTTCCGCGGCCCATCAGCGTTTCAGTATAGATAAGATCAGATTCGGCAATATCTAAATCAACAGAGAGCATCAAAAATGTTTATATAACTTGAAAAAAATATAAAGGTGCATTTACAGATGAATGCATATTTACTTCTATTTTTACTCACTTTGTAACTCATCCAAAATCAACATATTTCCCAGAGTTTTTGAGTGTAATATTTGAATTTTTTGAAACGGTGAACGTTCCTCAAATACCAATGCGTCGATGTCATACTCGATGATTCGTTCATCTAAAATTCAAAATTTTTAAATTTACAGCAAATCATTCGTGCATATACATACATGCGTACATATACATACAAGTAACTAATTATTTATAAAAAATTGCATCTTTTACAATGAGGAATATAAATATTTTATATATGTACATATGTATATATGTATATAAGTATTTTAAAGTTAAATCTAAATATATATAGTATATCCATTTCTCCTGAAAATCAAAAGGGATCACTCATGTACATTACGGAAAAATTCGTATTGCCTCGAAACATTGATAAAATGCAGAGTGCCCAACATTATGGCAATATTTTAATTAAATATTTTTTATTGCAAGAGCCTATTATATAGAATTTTTAAAGTTAGGGCTTTACAAGTAATAGCTCTGTAAGATGAGAAACGTGAACGTTCAATAAACTGTTAACAGAACTAATGTGAGTTCAGGAATGTTGATGTTCAGAAAAAATAATCTATAGAAAATTTTCAGACGAAATTCATATCTTTCTTGTTAAAATTCTATTTGTCGTTTTCTTAGTACCATATTCCTGACTTTGATTACGGTGTATCCTGTATTAGCATAAATTTCAAATTGAAGAAATACCTCTATCAATTTTCCTACGTAAAAAATAAGAAGATATTTTTTCCTATCTACATACCGAGTTACAGTTACATAAACTTTAATTATATTTGTAAATGGCATAGACAAAAGTATCTTATTATACATCTACACAATATTTCTGTATTCGTAAGTCATAACCGCCAATTCGAGTTATGAAGAAAACAGACTTAGAAAATCTCAATGGGCTGAGATTTTTCTTATTCGTAATCTCTTATAAAACTTTAAAAACTGCTCCGCTAAAAATTGTAATTGTAAACGGAGGCGCTTATGTCTTACGAAGACAGGAAAAATAAATTTCATTACAATTAAAAAAAGAAACATGTAGTCACTTATTGATATAGTAATTAAAATTAAATTAAGTTTTTAAAGGAAATCATTACCTGATGATGGAAAATACCTAGCGACATCTCCACGTTTCAAAGTGGGTAATACTTGTCCGGAATGAACTTTCAATTTCTTGGCTAGGATATTTTCTAGGCGTTTGGATGACTATTAAATTTTGCGTTCGGATTTTATCGAAGTGGAAGAAGTAGTGGTGGTGGTGATGATGGTAATTGTGGTAGATGGTGGGTGGCGTTTTTATGAGTTGATGTCGTAAGAGATTCAAATATGAAAATAAAAGAAAATAGTTTTGTTTAAAATAAAATTATAAATTATTATTCAATTGTATGATTGGTGAATACGGAGTTTTTATAATACATTCATACATTCATGTACACAATGCATACTACACCAAAAAAATGTATTTCGTTTAGGATTGTCCAGAGTATTCAAAAAAGGATTTTAAAGTTGCTTGTTCGCATTTTAGAGCCCAATTAGAGCAATTTTAACCTATTTTTAATATAAAAGATAAAATGTATTCTGATTAAGAACGTCAACAATATAGCAAAGAGGGGATTATTGTGTTTTGTTTTTCTTCGAAAAATTAAAAATAAAATCAATATAATGATCCGATCATTAATATATCTCGACCAATATTAGTCTATTAATTTTCTAGATTTTAATAAAAAATTATTATATAAATATAAATATTTTAAATACCGCATTTGAACAATGTAGTGTATATAACTATTTTTCTATACTGTTCGAAAAATGTATGTACATACATATGTGTTTCGCGTCTAGTTAAGTAGTTGTAACTAGATTTATAAAACTTTCGTTACCGCTTTTTTTAATGTAACAAAATTCTTGAAAAGGTAGTTAAGAAAATAAAAGGAAATAAAACAATATGTTTAAAGGCTTTCATAGAGGGCTTGTTTAGAATGAGAATGACTCTATAGTGTGCCCGTGCAGAAATGTATGCAAAGTTTAATTCAGTAATAATGACGAATTACTTATTCGTTAATGGAAACTGTTTTGATGGTATAACCAGATCTACTTTAATATAACTAGATTATACATTTATGTTCAATCTTAAGCTGACCTGAACTAGTCATGTATATGTCAATATATCCACCACGTTTTATCGGCGGTAAATACTTGGAACGATCAGAATGTAATTTTTGTCGTAGTATTAACTCCATTGTGCGCATTGTCTGCAATTGCAAAGTTTATATCATACAAATACATAAAATATTTATACATATACATAAAATATATATACACAATAAAAAGTAAAATTCAATTCATTTAATGTAAACCTACACACATTCACACAAAATAAAAAATCAAACACCATTTCGAAATAAGCTAACTGCAAAAATCACATTTAGAACTAACTCATATCGACACATTTAAAATATTTTAACATTTAAAAAGATTTTGACACCTTTTGATCTAAAATCTCTCAACTATTTGAAAATTTTTGTTGTATTGATACATTCATACAAAATAAAGAATGAACTACCGGCTACTTGTTTTATACCTGACATACATACATATAAACAATTATTTCTTATAAATCAAAAAAAATGGAATTTTAAATTCATATTTGTAACAATATTTAAGTGTACATTCTGAATGTATAAATACATACAAATGGTAAAATAAATCCAATGAAAAATGTTATACTTTTAATATCAGTAAAATGTTTGCGTATAAAAAAATATTATGTAATGTAAATGATGTGCCAATCCAATTGAAGTTTTCTGATGAATAAATTCAAAACGAATTCTAAAACTTCGATTCATAGCGACATCAGAACTTAAAAATAATTAAAACATCGACGTTTGAACAAAAATTAAAACATCGATTCTTTCGATTAATCGTCGACGCATTTGTAGATTTAACTACTGGTCATCGCTTATAATGAACATTCATAGAAGTTACGTTATTTTAATATGATTGCACCTAAATTCATTACTAATGATATATAAAGAAAATGTATAATTACATCGAAGGACATCAGCGGCTCTTTTCCATCTTCCAAATAATATTCAATATTCATTGTAACGAGTCCCTGTTGGAAAATGCGCAGAGTTATCATTGTCTCCTTGTTTTCCGTGAACACACAAAAGAAACCATCCTCCATGGTCATTTGGTACGCAAGTTCGATTTGTGGAAATATATTTTCCACTTCTCCTCTCACTATTTTAGCGATTTCTTGACGCTGTTTGGAATCAGAAGTCTTTTCTGAATCCACCGAAAAATCGAATAGAATAGTTTGAGCAGTCATTATCTTCAACTCAATTGATATCAGTCCCTCTTATTCCCCTTTTTATTAATAATTTTCACAGACTAAAAACTCTAAAATTAGAATCTACACCGTCTACACTTCGCGGCATGAAATTTCCACGCGAAATTTGCCAATTGTCAAAAAGAACAGAACTATTGATTTTGTTTTGATTTGCCTGCAAGTACAGCGACACCTTCTGGCTATTAAAAAACTATACATGTCAATTTTTGCTCGCGTTGCCATACTTTACATTTTGTTATATCATCAAGGGAAGTCTCCTAAACCTTATGCTGCAACAACCCAACTCACGTAGCAGCCGTCCATAGTAATCCCTGCGGGTTAGGGGCTCAAGAATTTACCCGTGGTAAGGCATGTCTGTCGTAAGAGGCGACTAAAATCCAACAGTTCCCGCGACAGTTAGGTCTTTATACCGGAACGACCCGGATTTTTATTCGGCCAAGGACTGTCATTCCCGCAATATTCCCCGAAAACCAATTCGGGGAATAATTTGCGCTTACAACAACAACACCATCCTACCGAGAGTATTTCTGTGATTAATTATAAAGTTGCTCATAATAATCTGTCGGCTGTTCGAAGGGCTTATATTATTAAGACCCCTCCATTTGTTGGAAACAATAGACGCACACGGGAAAACAGAGTAGCTCGACGCTTTGTAAACCACTGAAGCGACTTTCGGTCGAGTTCCGATGCGTGTTTACATGCATATACATACAAGTATGAGATGTCAGCTGTAAAAAAATATTTTTTGTTGTCAATACTTTACTTTACGTTGTCCGTACAAAAAATGTTCTTTCATTTTATTAAAAATCCAAGATAAACAATAATGATCCGAGTATATATTTGGTTTATTTTGAACGTGTTCACAATGCAAAAATCTATCTACAAAAACATCGGATTTTTTAATAAATGAAATTAAATTTCCATTAATCAAAATTTTAAGTAATCGTTTGAGTAGTATAATCAATCTGTAATTAAATAAGAACGAAATTCAAATAATCGCTAACTAGTATTGTGCATTTGTAAGTATTTAGATAGCAAAATCTTGTAGCTTTTAGGGTTTAAATAAAATTTCCGAATAAATATTACATTATATATATATGTATGACATTGATATGCTGTATTCCAAATTAAATTAATTAATTACGAGTCATAATATTTATACGTTGAGCAACTCATAGTATGGTACATTTAATATATGTATGTACTTATTATAAGCATAAGGCATATTCGATTTGGGTTAATTATTTTACAATAACGACTGAATACAAGTTTTAGTACTATTTCTTAACATTTCTTTTTAGATTTTTGATGTTTTCTGGATGATAAGAAAATTACTTTATCAAAGATTTGGGTCTTATTTCTTAAGGCCGTTAAAGCGAGCTTTTTAGAGTTTTCACAAACTTTAATAAATTCAATTATAGTTACATTTGCATATTACAGGTAAAATATTCGCATCGCATAAGTAGCCGGTTTCGGTGTGATTATTAGAACTAATGTTCCCTGTTCAAAGTAATTCGTTTTTAACACTCTTCTTTCTTTTTAAATAAATTCTGTGAACCAATTTTATATATACTTTATCGTCGGTAACGCCCAAGATATGCTTTGCAATTTGGACATGTGTGATGTACATCCATACAATCGTCTATGCAACATGGTATTAGGCAACAACCAAGCCAGCAACTATATTTAGACAAAAATAAAAAGTACGATAGTTAATTTTAAAATTACAAACAATATTTTTTTAATTACCCTAAAAGAGCTATTATAAATCCTGACAGATAGGCGATCATACCAGGTTCAGTGCGTGTTGTGGTTTCGATTTCCACATGGCAAGAAGGGCATATCATATGAGTTGCGGATCGACCAATGGGCACAACAGTAGTTACAATGGTATTATTAACTGATGGTGCTACAGGAGGCGAAATTGGGGTAAAAGGACCAACCGGTTTAACTCCCCCAACCGCTTCCTGATAAGATGGTGGTGCTGATGGTGGCGGGACGTATGTATACTGTGGTGGTGTAGCTCCATTTGATTTACTCATTTTATGTACGTGTAGATTTACGGAAATAAAATCTAAACAATATGAAAAGCTTTGAATTATTTAATAAGTACATAGAGCTTATTCTTAGGGAATTGTTTGTTTTTCCTTTAATATACTTTAATTTTATTTTAAATTACAATAGTAAGCTAATGTCGAAAATTATTTAAAAGAATTAGTAATATTAAAATTTTAGCCTAGCATGGTACATATGTATGTACATACATACATACATACATATGTAGAAATAGATGTCAACAAACATATATCTATACATACATAAATCAAATATAAACATTAGGCCAATATGCGTAATAAAGCTAATACACATGTGTATGCTTTCCATAAATTGTTCAATGTGATATATTTTTGGCTTTCTTTTTGAATTGTATCATTTTTTACCAAACGATAGAATCTTTATAATGGAATGCATTTTGAACAATGACGTCATTACCAGCATCATGATACATCTCTTTACTAAAGGATTGTCATAAGTCAATACAAATGTTTTTGAAAGTAAACGATTTAGGATTATTTGAAATATCGTGTTGTGTATTACGCAAGTTCCCACATCATTCTGTTGAGTTATTGGATCTTTAGAATATAATACACTTTTCTAATTAATGCCTGGACAATTTCTAATGCGTTTTATTCATAATTGTATTTTTTGAGTTACGTCTTATAGACATTAAGAGATGTACACATATGCATTCACATTGCTTTCTTCCTGTATTTTTCTCAATCATCGTTTTAATTTTATTTTTTCTGATGTAACTATTAATAGGTGTTAAACAAATGTAATTAAATAAGTCTCACCACAAAAGTTTAGATTTTTCAAGAACTCAAACTTGTGCTAGATATGGATGCTTGACAAAATAAAATCGAATATGAAAGTTGTTTCCACATTAACATTTGTGGATCTCAGGTGCTCATTTTAGAGAACGTATATTAATTTACGTTCTCTGCTCATATCTATTTTCATCGATAAGCGTGTGAAATTAACCCTTAGTGCAAATTCATATGCACTACAAACGCAGTAAAAATATTTTTGTTGCTTGAAATTTCTAGTTTTGTCAGAAAAGCGAAACCGCTTATGCTATGAAACAACGAATGCAGTTATCTGACTTGAACATTTCAAAGCAAAGTGTGTATGTACAAGCACTTGTATATCTTCACAAAAACTATGCAATAATTTCTTAAATCTATCGTTTTTATTGCATTGTAAACATTTCCCAAATTCCTTTGGAGTAGGTTCTTCCCATTGCAACAAAAATACTAAAAAACGGCTAAAAATAAATTTCGCTATCTCCCCAAATCTAAGAGATATAGCCCATATAAAATTTAACAAAATAAAGTTTTTATATTTTTTTTATAAACTAATTAACTTCAGTTTTAGGCGATGTCGGTCCGGCACAGGGTTACAAAGCACCAATTATATATAATTCACTTAAGAATTTTGTGTAAGGCGAAGCCGTTGTGTCATCCTATCCCAAAAATGCCATTATTCACTTCTAAATAAAAAAAAACGTAAATGGATTCATTCATGATTTATAAAAACACGGATTTTACTTAAAGTCAAAAAAAAATTTATATCATTACCATCAGAAAAAGGGTGACTACGCGCATTACTTCCGTTCTGCTCCTAAGAAGTTTAGGAACTGGAACTTGACACTTCTCATTGATGTGTTCCATTTTTAAAACTGCTGGAAAATAAAACCAATAAAAACTGACCATGGCTAATACTTCATTGCAACACTGTCTTCCAACTTGCTTTGTGTTTATCTTTATTAAAATTATTCTTTTATGTTCTGCTAAAAATAGAAATTGAACAATATAGAGAGAAGTGAAATCTCCGAGAGGAATTTTAATAAATTTTTAAAATAATTGTACGCTTTCGTTTTGATTATTATTAAAAAAGCTCCCGTGCTTGTTTGTTTCAATCTTTTGCCATTATTCTTGCGTTTTTGCTTACTTTGGAAATAATCTCTTACTTTTATTAGAACGTGAGCTTCGCCCTGGTTATTTCGGACACAAGGTATTATTCATTCGTTTTGACGCGTTGGAGTAATTAAGATTGCTATTTAAATTCGAAAAGGGAGTGAACAAAAAGATATCCGTAAAATATCTAAAAATATATGTGTGTTATATTGTAAATCGTATTAATTTAATATATTAAAAAGTGAATATATATATAATGGATCTAAAATACTATGGTATAAATGTATATCTAGTGTATTTTTTTTTGTTATTGACTGATTAAGAAGCATGGTATACATCAAAACTAATTTAATGTGAATGCATATCTTCTCCCAAATAGATCAGTGCGAGTTCCAAACACATTTACCATTTCAATAAGCAAAATTGCCTGCTTAAAAAAACATCTGCTACACTGGAAGATAAGCAATTCCGTTGAGTTGCAAATATTTGAATACGGAGGCGAAATATGTACATGTATTAGCACAGATTTTCAGTAAGCAACTTACGTCATCGCTATTCGTTTTCACTTTAAGCGTTCTTGAAAACATTGGTTACATATATATTTTTTATTTTAGATTCTGCTTCATAAAGGGAGAATAATATTTGTTGATATCATTTATATAAATTTACGTTCCGATCTTCAAACACAAGAGCAATGATTCATGTCGGAGAGAATTCTTGGAATCTTCGGATTTTTATCACCGATCTACGTATTGAGAAAACTTTGCGAGTTCGAGGTGATCAACACATTGGAGGTATTATGCTGCAACTTGTTGAACCAGAAAATCCGAAAGATTGGTCAGATCACGCCCTCTGGTGGCCAGCGAAAAATGTATGGTTGACGAGAACCCGGTCAACTTTGGATCAGGTGGGTGTACAAGCTGATTGTATACTACACTTCACACCAATGCATAAAACTCTTCGAGTTCAATTACCAGACTTACGATATTTGGACTGTAGGGTCGATTTTTCAATCAAAACCTTTGCTTCAATAGTCAATCTCTGTAAAGCACTTGATATTCGATATCCCGAGGAATTGTCCTTTTGTAAACCAATTGAGTCCGAGCATTTAAAAAAAAATTTTTCAAAACTACCGCAAAAGGCAATACCTGTGGCAGACTTAGATGGGACAACATATCTACAACCCGCTCCAGACACAAATTCTTTCATCCCCATTAATTCTGCATTCAATGGTAGTAATGGTAGTCTTGATAAGCATCAGAACGAAAATTTTTTGTGCGCACCGGTATCGCCTTATGCATCGACACCGCGACGTGGACCCAGTGGAACTGCCCCAAGTACGCCTATCAGCTCACCTACAGGTACTTGGAAACAAAGCAATAATGGATACACCACAATAGATTCGTCTTCTAGTCTAGGCGACATTCAAGAAAATTTAGCATGTTCTCCTAGGTCACCAAGTCCAGATGTCCGTGCGAGGCTTTTACGTCCGCGGTCTTTAATAGAAAAAGCTCGTATGAATGTGGGATGGCTGGATTCCTCACTTTCAATAATGGAACAAGGTATTCGTGAATACGATACCCTTTGTTTGCGCTTCAAGTATTATACATTTTTCGACATCAATCCAAAATATGATCAAATACGTATAAATCAGTTATATGAACAAGCCAAATGGTCGATATTAAATGAGGAGATCGAGTGCACTGAAGAAGAATCACTTATGTTTGCTGCACTCCAATTTCAAATAAATTATCAAGCAGATTCTCATTCTTCGAAACTGGATGTAGTAGACTCTGGTAATGGCGAAAATGGAACGTACGATGATATTGACACTGCGCTAAATGAATTGCAGATTACATTGGAAGGCCCAAATGCCACTACAGAAGTCAGCAACATAACAAAAATTCCCGAACTTTCAGACTATTTGAGATTTCTGAAACCTCGTAAATTTACATTAAGAGGATATAAAAGATATTTCTTTGCATATCGGGATCTTCATCTTCATTTGTACAAAACTGCTGAAGATTCTCGTCGCGGAGCACCAGAGATTACCATCAACCTACGTGGATGCGAAGTAACCCCCGATGTTAATTTAACTCAAGGAAAATTCTCCATTCGTTTGGAAGTCTCTCCAGAAGGTCACAGTGGGCCGAACAGTGAAGTGTGGGTACGTTGCGATACAGAAGAACAATATGCAAGATGGATGGCTGCTTGTCGATTAGCATCCAAAGGGCGTTCCCTTGCCGACAGCTCATACGAAAGTGAGGTGGCCAGTATTCGCTCTTTTCTGAGTATGCAGAAACCAGTTCAAGGTGTTGCGGTTAACGTAGATCCACGAAGTATTGATGCTAATGACTACTTGTCGCCGAGAATGTTACGTAAAATGTCGAATAAAGCAGCACAAAGGATTTTGGAAGCTCATGCAAACGTACGTAAGCTGGGATTAATAGAGGCAAAGCTTAAATATATAGAGGCATGGCAATCATTGCCTGATTTTGGCGTAACACTATTTGTTATTAAATTTGACGGACATAAAAAGGAAGAACTTCTTGGGGTAGCACATAATCGTATTATGCGAATGGACCTTAACACAGGAGACCATATTAAAACATGGCGCTACAATACTATGAAGGCCTGGAATGTAAACTGGGGTATAAAATGCATGATGATTCAGTTTCATGATGAAACTGTAGTCTTTTCGGTTCAATCTGCTGATTGTAAAGTCGTTCACGAATTTATCGGAGGGTATATATTTATGTCCATGCGTTCAAAGGAAAATAATCAAACATTAAATGAAGAATTGTTCCATAAATTGACTGGAGGATGGGCATAAAATAAAATATGTAGTCGTCATCCAGTATTTCGTATACATGATATTTTGTACATACATTTTTACATATGCTAACAAATATATGACTTATATAATAAGTCATTTGGTGACTCTAAATAAGCAAACATTGTAAATTACAGCGTTTCGGTTTTTCTCAAACGCCATATTACTTTTTTTTATATAGACAAATGTCTAATATTCACTTCATTTTCTGGAAAAATAAATAGCACATTTAAACAAATTGGTAAACAAATCTACATACAGTATAGTATAGAATATCGCATTCGTTCTACTGGATTACACTGCATTTATATATGGTAGAAAAGAATGTCTGCTGCGGAAACGACGTTCAAAATGGTTATAAAATAAGATACAAAGCCAAACTAATTTAACTTGTTTATTTCTGAGGTGCCTAAGTCGTATTTTTCTACTTGAGGCTATTAAACCTCACGCATTAATTATAACTACCATTAACATTATACCAGTTCAAAAATGTTGTACCTTTCGAAAAAGCGCATACATAAATGCAAACGAATAATTTTATTAATACCCTCTTAACATAAAAATGTTAAATTTAAAATTACTGAATGTATGTATGTTTTTAATAACAAATTTCTATGTGTATTATTAACACTACGGTGCCTTGCTCAGTAGTAGCCTTAAAATGGTTGACGATGAAACGAGGAACGCACAATATTGTCGCTAATACTTATAACTCATAATAGGTTACCCCTTAAAGAGTAACTTTCACTACAATAAATGTTGAGTCATAAACTTTATAATATTAATTAGAATGCAAATACCACAGTTTATGGAAATACATATACGAGTACACACGTATAATTTTTAATAAAAGTTTGACCTTAAATATGACAAATTGTATCAGTGGTTTGAAATATATGTGTGTATATATGTACATGGATCACTTGGCTTATGAGTATATATACTGCCATAGCGTAACAAAAGCAGATACATGTATATATATACATATGTATAGTCATGTGTATATATGTAAGTAAAAAAGCGAATATGTCCAATTAAATACTAATAACAATTTATAGTGCATACCTTAGAAATGGAAAAAGTATAACTTCATAAAATAAAAAAACCGTAGTATCGTACTAGTACATACATATATGTATGAACGATATCCACATTTCCGATAATCACGATTTAAATGTAAGCAATCAAAACCTCTGTTTATGACTCGACTATTCAACATTTTCAATGTCTAACATTTCCATTTTAAATAAACCATACGTGAAACAGAATCAATAAACAATAAATTACAGAATACTTATATTATTAGTTATACACAATAATTTATATACATCGTATACATATGTTTATTTACTACCAATTTGTGCATTAACAAATAAAATAAATTTAAAAAAAAAAATAAAAATATCTTGTTTGTTCAATTAAAGAAAATGTTACCAATATTTATTTAAAAAATATATAATTAATTATTAATTACAAATACCAGGTTAAGCTTATCTTGTCCAAATTCGAATGTGCAAAGTTAATACATACATCTTAAGGGGAATAGCAAAGTTGGATTGTGTGTATCTTTTCTAAGTCCGCCTATCTTAGCAATGATGGGAAATTGCTTTGCCACATAGAATCCGTAACAAAATGTGATTTTCGGCCTAAAACTTCTGTTTTCGCCATATGTTACCTCTCAAATAAAAGCATCGATATTCAGTTTCACTGACACCACTAGAATATTCACGTTCGATTAGAAGCTGTAAAAATCTGTGAGCCTCCAAGCAAATATGGTTTACACAGCATAACATTATACTCCTATGAAAGTGGTGTAAGCGCAACATGAAAAGGTTGAACATTGTGGTTGCGAACAACGTTTCTTTACTTTCATTTAGGTTTATTTACTATCCTCTACGAACGGCTGCTCCTCGTCCTCATACAAATGTACATAAAAGCTGTCAGATATGTCAATGAAAACAGTAAAAGTCGGTGCGAACACTCTTGAGCCCACAATCCATAAATCTCGTTTTGAAAGTGTTTTCGATGTCGATGCGAACAAGGTATTTATTAAAATGTAATAAAATTTTTGAGACAATATACGAGTAAGTGGCAGCATTGCAGCATGCGTTAAAGGGCTGCCATGTCTTGATATTCATAAGTGCCAAAATAGTATAGCGCCGAAGCAAAAAACGTTATGAACAACATGGGCATTGCCGGTGGAGGACTTATATGACTTAGAGCCCCATTACGGTTTCGGGAATGAAAGTAACTGAGCGAGGCAGCAGAGAACGTGAAACAACTCTGGGGGCTGTTTCATGCTCTGGCCGGTCGGATGGTTCCTTGGTGGGGTTTCGTTTACTCCTCGCATATATATATATTGTATCGAATTCAATTGAAATCGTATCAAAACAAACCAGGCCCCTTTTTGTATGAGGAATAGAATAAATTCTGTTAATGGCGAAGTACCAAATGGAATGTGAATTTTCGCAAAATTATGTAAGGAAAATGTTTAATTTTTAAATATTACGTATGAAAACTAAATAACAAATAAACAAAAATTATCATAACTCTGAAAGTTAACGTGTCTATTATGACGGACTCTGGATTCGTTTAAAATTGGTTCAAGACTTAAAGCGAGCAAAGCGCGCCAGAGTTGGGCTGTTACCTTAATATTTGTTGTATTTCTTAGTCAGCTGAGTAATTTCTTAAGCATCTGATTATCACTCGTTAAGTTAAAATAATTCTATTAGATATTAAAATGATTGTTGATATTGAAAAAAGAAAATTTGTACATAATTTAAATTGACAGCAGAATATTTATAGTACTCAAGATGTAAAATAGAGCAAAAGACATAGTTACATTTCATGACCTTCTAATCATAAGCGTGAAAAAGGTAAAAATATAAATTATTAAATCCTTTGGAAATACTAAGTTGAATTCGTTTTAGGTTGATTAACTAATGATGTCGGTGGAGTCCCGTAAGCGATGGCAAAAGTGTCTATATGAGAATGCAGAATACGATGATAATTACACGGATCCTAGTTTTTTAAAAGATTTAAAAACAAATTTGAACGTTCGCTTCTTCACTTTTGAGGAGGCTATTAAGGGCATCACTCGGCTAAATAATCAAATTTCATGTATAACCATATTCTTGGTTATTTTTTATATGCTTTATAGTGAGTTGGTTACACCATCTGACGTTTTGGTAGTAACTGGCTTGTTCACATCAGTGGGGTACATATTTTACCGTGGCCAGAAACTTTTCGAAGTTCAATACCTTTTAGAGGATTCAAAAACACTATTGGCTGTGTTGGTATTCGGGTATCTCTTCGCACCTTTACTACATCGTCTTACCAATGCTATAAGCACTGACACAATATTTTCGATGACGTTCTTTGTTCTACTTCTCAATCTGATTTTCTGTGATTACGGACTATCAGCGGCATTGGTATCAAAAGCGTTATCATTGAATGCAGCAATATTTGCATCCATTTGCCTCGCGTCTCGACTTTCAACCGCATTCCATGCATTTGTTTTGCTTGTAGAATCATCTGTATTTTTTGTGCTCTATCCTATTTTTACAACTCTATACTGGCGTTGGTACTTTCTCTTGCCAATTTTTTTGCTTTGTTGTCATTTACTGTATAACATTTCATTTAATATTTTCATTATTTACGCTCTTTTTACTGGGTTTATTAATATTGTTTGTCCATGTATTTTTGTGGCCCAACAACGATATAAATACAATATTCATGGCCCATGGGATGAAGCTATCGTTGAGGAAAATACGGACAATACGATTAATGATAAGTTATAGTGAATTTATTTCAATCTAAATGGCATTGCAATAAAAAACAGATTTAATTCAGAACTTAAAAAAAGTCTTAGTATTTTTTATGCGGCCGCTGCAGGCGAGTGCGTGGTTTCGGCCCAAATATAAAAAAATATAGAAAATTTATTTAAATAAAAAGTTAAACTAAATTTTCTAATTGCGGTCGCCCTTCGGCAGGGGATGTCAACCCCTCCGATTGTATTTCTGATATGAAATAAGGTTCCTCATAAAAAAACCATCAGCCGTTCAAATAATAACAAGACAACGAACCTTTGTGGGTATCCGTTTTGTGAAAAATTTATTATAAATATGTATGTATGTATTTACAACGAAGTTTTAAATTCAAATGTCACAAAAGTAAACATTTTTATATTTCTTAAATCTAAAGTTTACGCACACGTTTATATAATATTATATATATACATACATCCATATATGTATGTATATCTACTGTAGAACTACCAATATCTAATCCTTAATAGAAGCAATTTTGTTCTCATTTAAGAATAGTCTAATAATGTAACGATGAATACTTAATTGAAATAGAATGAATAAACAATTTATAATTCTTCTACTAAATTTAGATGAAGGTTCTTTTAACATTCACTAATTGCACCTATCCAATTCTGGCTATTACTTTAACATAGTACTAACTTAGTCGTTTTTGTATACATGTAATGCTTGCTTATAAGTGTGTACGAATTCATATACATACATATCATTAAAAAGTAAATGCTGCTTTTTAATCTATGCGATTTGATGTTTTTTCAATCTTTGGTTCGATAATATGAAAACGAATTCGTTACAAGATAATAGCACTAATACAATAAGAAAATTTTAATGATGGATAAATTGCCAATACTTCAAAGATATTGAACAATAATAAAGGCGAAATGTAAATAAAAAACATAAATCTTTCAGTAATGAATCCGTCTTGGATAACATTATCACATTATACGGATTTGCAGCCATAAACATTAATTGTAGCGTAGATATAACAAAAATGATGTTTTTTTGTGTGCGATGTGGACTTCCCTTTTGTTCTGTTATTTTCATCATATGTTTGAAAAATGGGGATGTCACACTACTTCTCCATTTACGGTTTGATCTTTTTCCGAATTTCCATTATTGACGGAATTCGACGTGCTAGCTAAGCACTCCAAAAGCGATGAACCTTATAAAGTAAATATAATAAACTTTTAATCAACAAGCACACATCTATGTACATATATGTGTTAGTGAAAGAGCTTCAATTTTGAATTGGCAGGCTAAAAGTTTATGTATATTTGTACCTGCTTCTAAGTCATTCGGATTTTTCGAGGAATTCCTTTGGCGACAGGTGTAAGGGGAATTTGTAGGTGAGGGCACTTGATTCTGCAAAAGGTTTTTGATAAATGCTATTAGTATATTTGGTTATATGTATGCACATGTGAAAGCACATACTAGTTTGCTGTTATTCTGGCAACATGTCGCTTTAACACAACCCTCTGCCGTACTGGGACAATCTAATGCGCAATCAGAGCCACTCATATTTATACTAGACGTGCCATCCGACATGTTACAACCTTCTATTTCGACAAATTCGGGCTGTATTGTGGTTGAGTGTATACCTTCATTGTGAAAAAATTCTTTGACCTTTTCAGCAATTTTCATATATTCCGAAAGGTTGCGACATCTGCAATAATCAATATTATAGTTTTACATATATAAATTTTACATGATTTTTTTAAGTGGGTATTATACTTATATGATTAGTTTTTTGTTACCTTATGTGAGCTGAGGCGATTATGCGATCTCCAGCTAATTGCCAAACATGAAACTCATGGACAGCCAAAACACCATCTACTTTTTCTAAAAGCCTTTTCTGAATTGCATCGACCTAAAATAAACCACAATTCGCACACCATTGATTTAACCCCATATTAAAAATAAAAGCATTTACCTGAATGTGAGTTGGTACAGTTTGCAATAGAATTAGTGCTGATTCGCGTAAAAGTGGCCAAACAGAGTGTAAAATTAAGCAAACTAACACGACGGAAAGTGCAGGATCCATATAATACCTATATTTCCAATCCGTCAACCAAACCACCTAATATACAATACAGGCAAACGGTAATATTTATTATCATATGAACCGAAATATATGTTTGTGTGTCATACCAAAGCGCTTATCACTACAATTATGCTACCTAATGCATCACTTAACACGTGCAAAAATGCACCACGCATGTTCATATGGCCGGCATCGTGGCTATGTCCATGATTTAATTTCTTCATTGGCTTTTTCTATAAGTTTGGCAATTGTTAAACTTTTTTTGGCTTATGTACATATATATATATTTATTATGACATTAATACCTCTTTCTCATAAGCAAAGTCATTGGCTTCACCTTCTCCATCGTCTATATTTGCTAGTTCTGTAAGTCTACTATGATTTCTTGTAAGTCCACCACCGTGCGAATGACCATGATGACCACCATGCTCTACGATTGAAATTGTAACCGTATAAAATATGTTAACATAAGATTTTTGAAAATCTTACTTACCGTAAAGCAAACACAATCCTATGACATTTACCAACAAACCTAAACAACCAACTATCACCAAAAGTTTTGGCTCATGTATTTCCTCTTCCTCTATAAACCTGCAAAATGAGCGTATGTTTATGTTTTGAAACGATATAAATGCAAATAATATGAAATATGCTATGTCGCTTTTCATACAAATGAGGAAATATTTTACCTTTTGCAAGCCTCTATGGTTATGCTAAAACACAAAGCAACTAAAAATACTGCGTTTACAAGAGCACCTAAGACTTCTGCTCGTGCCCATCCGAATGTATTTTTTGACCACTTTTTTGGAGACATCTAAATGAGATAAATACATGTAAACTAATAACATGGCTAATTATTTTATATCGGTGAATACTTACTTTTACTGAGAGGAATGATATGACAAGGGCGGCGATATCACCTAACATGTGAAAACTATCTGCCACCAGTGCCATCGAATTTGTTACATAGCCGACTACAATTTCCACAAAAAAGAAAAATGCAGTAAGCCACATCATTGAAAGTAAACGGCATTTTTTTCCTGTATATTTAGACATTTTTTACGCTGCAGAGGAAGAAAAATATAGGAAAAAAATAAAAACATTAGTCCTATATTCTACATAGACTTGTCTTTGAAAACGAATTGGATTCAAAAGCTATGCAGGCTTACGAACGTACTTGTGTATATATTTATATGCATTCAAGGAGTTTAAAAAAAGAGCAATTGAGCTCTTTCAAATACCAAATGAAATTATAATACTTTATTTAATTAATAACATATAAATTGGACAAGGTTTATATACTATTATTTTCAAAAGCCGTTGAATAAACCCATTTACCGCAAGGTGGTCTATTTCAACTGACTAACCTAAATAGCAGTTGGGAAGCCAATCACTATTATCATAATATTATCAAATATAACCCACTTTCGTTTCCAAAATACATATTTACAAGCATTTGTGTACACGTGCATACACATCTTTGTATGTATGTATATATGTATATATGTATGTATATATATGTGTGTGTATGTACATACATTGCATACGGCAATTAAGACGAATGTGACCTGTAAGAATTTGAGTACTTATTGCTTTGTTTTTCATTCGAAGGAAAAAGTTGCTTTGTTTGAATTAACAACCTGGTGTGGGCTATTAAGAACATAAACAATATATGAGAAGGAAGAACTGTTTATGAAATTTAAGCTAAAGTAATTTGTATTTGCCACTTACATACATATTTTCCTTCTCAAAAGCCAATTTCAGGAATGCTGAAAATGAAAGCCAACATTTTAACACTTAAACAATTTTATTAGTTAATCACACATGTCTTAAAATTCATATTGAACTGTTTGAAATTCGTGCAAAGTTATTAAAAAATATCATGTGTTTTATGCTTCACATGGCATAGATATATGCAAAGGTTTAATATACATATGTACATACATACATAAAAGTATACTGTCGTATCATTTTGCAACTAGTATTACAAATGATGTTATAGTAAAAGAGATTAGACATGTTTTATTACGTTCATATCGAGAATGCGTAAAGATAAAAAGATAAACGATCAACAGGGTAAGTCTTCTTATCAGTAAAAGACTTCAAACTGTCAACAGATGACTAAATCATATGTCCAAGTAAGGACTTAATATATTTTTGAAGTACAATAAATACAAGCGTTAATTGTTGTACTGCATGTCCGCTATCAAAGTCTTATGTAGATAGTAATTCCCTTTAGCAACTAACTGAATAGGTATTGTATTTTAGTAAAGAACAAATAAAACCATTAAAAATGGTATGAATATTATACCTTTTCAGGAACTGAAAACATTGTATACTCAATATTGAATCATGTAGATTTTTTATTTACATACGTACGATGTCCTTTGTTTAGAATATAGAAAAGTAAAGTCGATATATTGTAATAAACAAAAAGTAAAAATTTTCCTGTCAAAATAAATGTATAAGGCAATGACCTAATAATATAGAATTTATTGATCTGAAATAAGTTGCAAGCTAAATCCCTGAAAACGGTGCAAAATCTTTTTTTGCACTTATATATCTTAATATACAATAGAGCTTGTTAATAATTACACAGTACATTGTAGTGTTCTGGGTGATTAACCGCTTGGAATGTTGTTTGATCACCCCCCACACCACTTATTTAAAGTCAATTTCAGCCCTTTGAGTAATGACAAAAAATGCCTGTATATCATTTCAAAGTACCTGAGGGTCTACACCTGAAGCATTCATTACCATTTTTCAAAGTAGTAATGGTGGTCGTTGCAGTAAGTATATATGTGTAGCTCAATACCACATTATTAGTTAGAAATACAACTTTTGCAACGTTATTTTATAGCTAATTCAAAATTCACTTGTAACAACTTAAACACAGGTGAAAATATTCAATTAAGTACATCTTAATACCAAAAACAAAACTCACTAATATTTCAGACAATTTCTCCGTCTTAATTTGAAATGTAGGTTGAAAAGCAGTAGTAGTTTATTTTCATAGATCGTAGTCTTACTTAATATTCATCACTCGTCGCTTTCAACAACAAATAAATACTTAAAATTAAGTATGAAAACTTTGACCATCAACTCGACAAAAACGAAATATCTACATGCCAAATAAAATCTAAAATCTGTCAATAACGATATGTCAAATATTTAAACGCCAAAATCATCGTGTAATGATTAGAGTTACCGAAACTAGAGGAATTTATAAAGTTCTTAAAAAGTTATACTTAATCAAAAAGTTTCTTATGTTAAGATGTGCTAGAGCGTAACCACAGGCGAAAGAGATGGCTATTTTGACAGATAATTTTCAGAAATTTAATTGCCATTTTTTAAATGTGGGAACTTTGATTTCTTAACATAATCATTTGTAGCGCGACGCCATCAAGCTATGCAGATGGAATTTTAGGGGATTATTCATGAACCACGAGACCATGTTTTATGTCTTCTGGGATCCCTGACTTCCTTCATGTAGCCAAAAGTAATATTTCCTTTGAACTCACACTCCCTAATTCTTTTTGTTTTCTGCAACATATTTATTAAAAAAATATTTAGTTTTGAGTGAATAACATATATGATTTATTGTATACTAAGTAAGCTGATTAGTGCTAGTTTATTAACGATTAAAAAATCAGTAAAAGCAGTCTATCAACTTAGAATAAATATTTATTTCATCGGAAGTAAGCTACGTTACTTTGATTTTACCTTCTCACCTTGTGGATGAGGCTATAGCGAAGCATCTAAACCGACCTGAGCGATGCTCCTCAGAGGAACCTTAGAGGAACCTTTATAGGCTTTTTTGTGTTTCTTTTTCAATACTATTTTCATTATAAATTAATTTTTCGAATAAGTACAAAATAATAAAAGGAATCTATTAGGTTTAATACGGCAATTCCACGACATCCCAATCACATATTTCGCTCTCTCAATCGTAATTCACGATGCATTCTATTCTGAAACAGCTGATAAATACGTCTATGTCACGACGTGGTGGTGAATGCAACACTTTTAATCGATTATAGATAATAGAAATCGATGGTTTCAGATCTAAAAAAACGATGTTCTCCAGTAAATTTTGATTTGTTTTGTTTTTTCTTCTGTGCCTCATTTAAAGTTTTGAATAATAAAATTCATTGACATTTAAAATTGGTTTATGTTAAATTAAAATGGGTGAACTCGGTGAATCGTCAATTGATAGAATTCCATACATCGCTCTTTCAGTACAACTTGAAGCAATTGAAAAAGAATTGAAAGCAGCGAACGTGTTGCCTAAAAAGTCTTTGCCTGCGTTAAAAGTTTCCCTAATAAGACATGCAACCGAAATTGAATTGAAAAATGGTGCTACGTTGGATATTGGTGAATACTTTGAACACTTACTTAAATTGTACAACCAAGACGAATTTTCTTTGAAGTACATTGCGCAGGTTATTTATAACATAGTAAAAACGTTGTCGAAAAATTTGTCATCAGGTGCTTCTAATTTCGAATTAACTTCTAGATGGTCAGAAGTACTATTGGATTTGCTTTTTTCCCGTACATGGGGCAAAGTATTACTTTCAGATATGCTACTTTGTCTGAAGATATATTCAAAGTCTTATAGCGATTTTAAAATTGTGGAAAAAATGCGGAGGAAACTTCTAAGTAGTATCAACAAATCCGAGAATATTACGCTCAACGTAACTTACGTGCTAATTCACTTTTTTGATGATTTAATAAATGAAAATGATCTCGAAATTTCCGAAAATGTGGAAAGACTGGCCTACAAGCTTTTGAAATCTGAGGTCATTGAGGAGCGTAAGGCTGCTTTGTATTTAATGAAGAAAATGAAAAGAAGTGGTGATTTGGATGTAAATAATTTTTGGATGTCCTATATAACAATATTAGAAAATTTGGAAGAAAATCAATCACATTTAATAATACCATGTTTGAAAAATATTAAGCAAAAGTATTTTAAAAACAATGACTTTAAAAAATGGCAAGATACTCTATATATAAAAATTTTATCACATCAAAATATCGTGGTCTCCCGATGGGCTATTTATTATATTCTAAATACGTTTACATGCTCTGATTTAAGTGCAGACGTATTGCTCGAATTTGTGAACGCACTTAATAACACATGTCTATATAATTGGGATGAGTTTTGTCTACCATTGAATACTATTAAAAAATTTTTGGACGACGATGTTTGCCGGTTTATGGAAAGCATGGCTGAGGTGAATTTAAGAAGCGTTCCTTTGCACTTTTGGCTAGCTCGTATTTATACATATAAACCAAACATCAATTTCCGCTCGAAAGAACTTCTTTTAAAATTAGCAGCAAGAATCCGTGGTTTGCAAAATCCATTGATGAGGATAAAAATCATTAAGTTGTGTGAGGACATCTTTTGTGAAGTTATAAACTGTATGCGGTTGTCCGAATATATAGTTTTAATTGAAACTTTATATAATGTAACGGATCCTTTCAACAATTTTCGTACATTTTGTGAAAAACTTAAAATTTCCATAGAAAACGGTTATTCATTTTCAATAAGCCAAAGATTTTATGAAATCGTTACAAATAATTTGAATGATGATTTCACTTATTTTGAGCCAGACCTAAAATGTGCGAATACCAATGATGGTAAGGAATTTTATGCGAATGTAAAACAATCATTATTCTTATATGAAATAGTTGGTTATCTAAAGGATATAAATAGAGCCGAGAAAGGAAATTTCAAATGGATATCTTTAATGATTGTATTTGAGTCAGAAAATAAGAAAGATGTGCGAAATACTTGCCAGATGTTTTGGGACCTGGATTTGGACAATTTCATCGATATTCCTTACAAGAAAATATATGATAAAATCATGTCAAAATTTGCCGACGATGAAATTACCGCAGCATTTATTCGCAAAAAGTTTCCAGACTTTTTTATCAAAGAGTACATAAAAACATTTTCGGATTTATACAAGTATATGACAAAAATAGAAGACATTTTAACCACTGTATCGAGTAAAACACTCGAGAAACTTTCTGAACTAGTAGCTAATACTACCGACATTATTGATTTTAGTATTATTGACACATTTTTAAAAGTACTCAAAACATGTTCCCGTATGCAATCACTTTGTTACAGTGTGTATGTAAAATATAATTACGGAAAGCTATAGAAATACAACACAACTTTACATTATTAAAAATGTTTAAATATTTTACAGGACCACCAATTTAATAAAATATCTGAAGTTTCGATGCTCGTCAAGTCAGTTAGAGGATTATGCGAACAAAATGATTTGCTCTGATAATGAGAATATTGGGATTTGCACAGCAGTTTTGAATTCTGATATAGTTTTGCAAGAAAAAACTTATATTGAAGGCATTTTAATGGGAGATGTGAACTTTGGGGATGCGAGGTACAAAAAAAGTTACTTAATTTAAATTTGTTGTACTGCTTAGACTCATTATTAATTTTTTTTCTTTTTAAGAATTGAGGAATTATATTTGCTGAAAACAGATGAGAAGCAGTGTCCTCGTTTGCAACAAATGCGAGTGAAGTTCGCATCATCGGTACCATTGCAATACACAATGGCCATATTATCCCAACTTTTTAATAAACTTAAAGCTTTAAGTTTAAAAAAGCCAAGATATTTCGAGAACTCTGTGGAACATCGGATGAAGATGAGACTATTAAGAGCAATAATTTCTTTAATGCCGCATGCGAGGGTTTCCAACGAAGAAATATATGATTTATTATTAAATTATAATAATCAACTGAATATTACTTATATGTTCGAGATACTTGTGGCGTTGGCGACATGCGATTCTGACGATGATACTATTTTGGGGAAGCTTAACAATGTAAGAAAAGCACAGCATATTTGTATGAAGTTCATTTATATATATATAATTTGAGCTTTGTAACCGCTGAAACGGTTTTTCGGCCGAGCTTCTCCTCCAATTTGTGGTTTTGCGTCTTGATGTTTTTCCAATTTACTAAGCCGCCTCAACGGCTGATAATTCTTTTTACAGGTTTTGTCTTTTCATATAGAATATATTACGACTTTTAGACTTATGTATATTTCCGTTATGAAATATAATCTCTTCATAAAAATTCGCCCACAGTTCGGAGGCAGCTTAGTATAAACTTTAGGCCCCTCCATTTCTTGGTAAAGCTAATTGACGGAGGAGCTCGGCCGATTATCGCAAAACGTTACTTATATATACTATACAGTTACGTTTGTGTTAATATATACACCTATAAACATATTATATATATTCAAAGATAAGCAATTATACACCAAGCCAACAAGTGTCACTTATCAGCATAGTTCACTGTTACACTGTTCTGCATCGGAGGACACTTTGCGATGAAAAGTTTGATGCAATAATACAAAAACTTCTTTCGCTTACTATGGGACCTCATTTCCAGACTCGTTTATATGCTCAGCTCGTTCTTTATAAAATTATACAAAATAATCGCGGGTATGAAGTAAATAGTTTATGAGTATTTTCAAACTCCACTTTTTTATTTTACTAAATAGTTTTTATTGTACAGCAACACTGACCATGTAACTAATTATCGAGATTATTTGCGAGAGGCAATTGGTAGTGCTCTTTCCCCACGACGTGATGAATTGCTTGATGATGTACGCGTGATGCTGCCATATATATATTTAAGCAATCCTGAAAACTTTTTTAATGTTATAATGTTCATTACAATGGCTCCAGCCGAAGAGTACATGTCAAATCTTGATTACGAAAAATACAAAAGTTCACAACATATATTTGAAAAGAAAATAAGGAGAGTTATAGAGGAAACGATTTCATTAGATCAATTAAAATGCGATAAAAGTAAATTGATTAACATGCAGCGGAAAATGAATCCGGAGCAGGACCTTTACGCAATGAGTAGCATTACAGACGTCGACATTTCTGAAAATTCTCGGGTAATAGTATTTAATTAACAAAACTGATGAACTTACATACATATGTGCTATAGATACATAATAATTTAAATTCTTTAGATGTTTGTCGTGGCAAGTCTTATAGATAAAATACCTAATTTAGGAGGCATTGCGCGAACATGTGAGGTGCTTGGCATACGAAATTTGGTTTTAAGCTCAAAAAAACTAACTGAGAATCAGGATTTTAAAAGTGTGAGGTTGGTAATAATATGAAGTAGATTAATCTACTGTCCTTTTTGAATATCAATAATATATAATTTTTTTTATTATATATTACAGTATGACTGCTGAAAAAAATCTAAATATTATTGAAGTAACACCATCAAATCTGGAGGAATTCCTAAAAGAGAAACAAGCCGAAGGTTTCGAAATAGTGGGAGCAGAGCAGACAGTTGATAGCAAGAATTTGATTAAATTTTCGTTTCCTCGAAAGTGTATAATGATTTTGGGGTGAGTGTCAATTTACGATATTATTTATAAATGAACTTAAATATATACATGCATACATAAATAAAAGTACAAAATTTTTTCAGACATGAAAAGGAAGGCATACCAAGCAACATTTTGGGTTTCCTGGATCATACAATAGAGATACCTCAGTTTGGACTATTGCGGTCTCTAAATGTGCACGTAACTGGCGCTTTATTTATGTGGGAATATTGCAAACAACACATCGTGGGAGGTTCTACTCAAACATGAAATATTTACTTGGCTGAAAATGTTATTTGCAAGAAAATTGAACTTTCAGCTTTATCAAACGAGGCTAAGCTCTCAATAAAATATTATTGTTCTCAGGTTGAATTCATAGAATCGAAAACAGAGAAACATTTTCATATTATATTAAATTTTTTTAATTTTCAAGTAATAAATATTTTTGTTTGGTATTATGTGGTAGTGGTATTATGACATTTTTTTGCAGCTCAAGAATTCTTATCACTTCTAACTCTGTCAATAGACTTAGCACGTATGTCACCACAGCTTTGGTAATTAAAAAAAAAAACTTGTTGCCCCAGTTTCGTGAAGTTTAAACTCAAAACACCGTCGGATTTACTAGGTTGAATCTAAAAATTAAAAGCGTATAAATAAAGAAACTCAATTTGAACACTTGAGATTCATGCAAGATCACCCAAGGATATTCAACCTTTCGCCTGATATAAATAAGATATTTGTCTCGATACGCGAAGAGTTTGCCCGAATGAAAAATTCTTTTCATTCCGTGGTTCATCAACCGGAACGAAGCCGTAACTTTAGTCTTTCAGCACCATATATAAGAACCGCTGGACTGATCGACATATCGACGGGATTTAGACGAAGTTCACCAAGAGTAACTCAACATCTTGACCATCTTTAACTAGCCTTGCCTGCTACTAAGCGGGGTAAGATAGTTACTACGGTTACCCGGTTTACCTGATATTAAGACTACAATATTACTATTGCCGACAATCCATACACCTGGAATATCTCGACAAGGTATCTTCTAAATTTCCAGTGAAAAGTTTTTCCTAAATGCGCTCGTTCCTCGGCAGAAAAAGTCAATTACTCAGAGTCTATCTCTGAGATAAAATAAAAGCTGTTCTTGAAAGTCCTTACCATCGGCCATTTGGAGGCGACTTAACACTTAAGCTCCCTCTATGAGCAGAAAAATCGCCAAGACGCACACTACAAGCTTTTAACTTTTATCAAGCGCTAATCATATAAATATATATTTATAACCGAACTTAGCCTTCCATATTCAATTCTTCAATCAATGAAACTAGTTAAACAAGGCAATGTTTCATGCTTAAATAAATATTTAAAAATACATATACACATACATATATATCTACAAACAATTTACATAGCCGCAGTCTTATTCTCATTTAAAGTCAACTGCTTAACAAGACTCAAAGTTTTTAACTTTCCACATAATTAGATTGAACAGACGAAGGAGTTGGTCTTTGTAATGGCACCTGGCTCACTACCGGATACAGGTTGGAAACATTTGTCAAGTCGTCAACATCCGTAATATGAGGCTTTAATGTGTCACTGGCGTTTGACTTCGTGAGCTGATAAAAAGCTGTGTTGCTATGCGTTATGTTAACGATAGTCCCGGTTAGTGGCAGTGTTTGTAAAAGATCCGCTGGATTACTAAACGCTCCAATATTGACGGGTGCAATCCCAGTTAGCACTTGTCCGGAAATATTCGTTTGAATCGGTAGCGGCACATTTCCCAGATTTATATGGCTTTGATTGGAGTGAGCATCGTAGAAGGTTAAATCAACACGTTCTTCGCTGAAAATAGATTCGTTTGTGAAATGGTGATACATTTGCGTACACTGTTATATAACGAGTATTTTTACCTTTCGAAACTGGTCTCATTATCATCGACTTCCGTTAAAATGCCGATTTCATAAACAACAGCCTTAACAACATATCTATACACGAAAGGAATGACGGTCAGAAAGATTTCTAGAAATTATAATAAAAAGATTTCTTTTTAGTTTTATATTTATTGCTTACAGATTCTTTGGTGTATCATTGACATTAGTCTGCAATTCTTCCAGCGTTGCATTATCGAAGCCTGTTGACACATCCTCCTCATCTAATAAGGGCATTGCTATGGTGCCAGCGAAGCATAAAGCCGCTATAATGGACAGTAAAGTACTGGTTCTAGGAAACATTTTGACTCCTCTTGCACTCTTCAACCGCTACACTGTTCCTTTCCCGTCACCTGACTTATGCTTAAAGGTGGACTTGTTCTGAACCGCACTACTGCCTAGTTAAATGACGACTTAGCCAAAGCGAACTTTGTTTCATAATTTACGCTGTTTTTATATCAGACTCATTTAACTGGAATCGATGTTTGTTTATATTTGCGGAGCTTTCGCAATTCTCTTTAATTAACATCAACTGTTAATTGTCGATGGCGAGGTGTTAATTTGGTACGCTGTGGAGGAAGTGGGGAATACGTTATTAGCTCTAATTAATTTAACGCGTTTCGAAATACTGTAGTCAAAACTCAGAGCCTCCAAAAGAAGCTTATTTGCTTGTGATCTGGCTTCTGAGTTTCCTTAACGGTTTTATGTCTATTTTCAGCTTTATATAAAAACATACACAAACACACACATATTGTTTTGAATGTACCTACGTGTATGTATATATTTGTAGCAATGTTTTTGAAAATGGTCACAAGACTCTTCCTCAGACATACACTCGCACATACATATCAGAGTTGTGAAAAGTGCATTAATTCTCAATTGCATTGATGACACCTTAATGATAATTATTAAAAAATATAAGTGCATTAAACCGAACATTTCAATGCAGCAGTAGCCGAGTGGTTAGAGTACAAGGGCTGCCATACGGAGGTTCATGAGTTCGAGTCCTGGCCAGACCAGTATTTAAAAAACATTCTATTTGGGGTCATCTCTCGGCTGGCGATATCAACAGAGTGTATTTTTGACATGAAATGAAAAACTCCTTAGCCGTTCGGGAGCGACTTAGAAAAGATAGGTCTTACCAAATTAAAGGAGGATTTTAGTCGAAATGACGTCAGCGAGTATAAATATAATTCCTTATACAATCTTAATGCTTTACTTGTGGTCTATAATAGAAAAACAAATCAGAATATTACAGATGAAATTCATTTCTCCTTTTCGTTGTTTAGAGCGAACTGGTCGCTGTTCTCCTGATCCTCTGTAGTATTGGGTGTTGCCAATGCGGAACGGACCAAAAAACCTCCTCAAAACCTTTCTCCTGAAAACTGTTTTAGTTGCTGATGAGTTCTGTCAGAAAGCTTTTACATTTTTACATGTCGTAGCTCACGTTTCCGGAGAGCGTGACGTGGATGCAGGAATAGGAAATGTATATAGCTTTACGACACTAACTGCATACCCATATTAAGACTACGACATATAATTAAAACTAATGAAAAACGCATGCAAACCAGTCCAACCATCCTGCGAAATTCGCGGACTCTGAACGAGCGATCAGCTTCATAGAGGAAATACTGTCTGCCGAAGCCCTTCCGACAGCTGATGGAGTCCTTTTTTTACAGTGCTTCACATTCGGTTTAACCTTGGGGTTAAGTTCAAAACTCCTGGACACCACTGTGACGTTAAAAGTCGTTGCATATGCTGAGGCGTCCGTATGAGTAATACAAATATTAGTGAATTATATACTCGTACTTACATCTACATGTATATATGTATATTATAATATATTAGTATATCTAATATTGTACATAAATCTTGAAATAGCGGTACTTTTACAGTACAGTCGAAACCAAATAAAAATTACTTTCAAAATAAAAAAGATTTGCAGCATTTTTTAAGATTCAGTTTCCAGTCTTGAAAGGTACAAAGACTTCGGCATGCCCAATGACAGCTCTTCCATCTTGTTTTCTATTCATTCTATAATTCTTCGAATGCGTTCATCTTCTAATATTGATAATTAGCGATATTTTTTTTTGTGTAATAATTAAATTAAAATTAATTTCTCATTGCCGTCATTGGTTTTATGAACTTGATTTTCATGCCTGTTTTAGAAATCAAAGAAACACGCTCAAGTCAAAAAAAAACGCTTTGGTGAATAATATATAACAGCATGTACGATTCCAAAAAGAAAAGAATATAATATGATAATTATATTTCTGTTATATTGTGTTAAATAACTCAGATTAAAATTAAATTAAATTTAGTTATGAAGCGCATTTTTGTTTTATAAAACTTTTCAAGTTTTTATAAAGGGTTGTTTTTACAACAATTTAAAAGGTTTCAGCATTTTTCTAGCTGCTGAGCCTCAAAATCCAAATAACTTTGAAACGTTTTTTCTATGAAAGACTGACAATGAAAATAATTTAATACTAATTAAAGGTACATACATACCACATGTTATAGTTGTTTTATGTATTTTGTTTAATTAAGTGACATAATTGGTATTATGGATGAGTGCATAAGTTCGTGCCCGATTTCAAGTGCAAACTAAAATTGAAATTTTTTGAAAAAAGCGCTTTTATTAATCAATGGATTCGCCAACATGTCCGGCAATCTACTCCCAACGTTCAACCATTTTACGGATGCCTGATTCATAGAAATCGCGCGGTTTCTCGATGAAAAAGGTGTCAAGGTTGTTTTTTGACGTCTTCCACATTTTTAAATTTTTTTCCATTCAAATTGAACTGCAGCGATCGAAACAAATGATAATCAGAAGGTGCAATGTCGGGTGAATATGGGGGATGCGGCATGATTTCCCAATTCATCTACTTCAGTTTGGCCAGGGGCGGTTTTGCAACATGTGGCCTGGCGTTGTCATGGTGGAAAAGAACTCCTTTGCGATTGGCCAAAATCGGACGTTTTTCATCAATTGCTTTCTTTAATTCGACCAATTCATAGATCACGCCTCGGATATTCCACCAAATGCACAGCAGTACCTTCATCGGATGCAATCCACCTTTCGACACCGGTTCCGCCCCTTCGTGTGCCTGTTTCCATGTTCTTTTGCGTTGAACATTGTTGTACAGGATCCATTTTTCATCACCAGTCACGAGCCGATCCAAAAAAGGTTCGTTTTTGATCCGTCGAAGCAAAGAAATTGCTGTTGACATAGGGTCCACTTTGTTTTTTTCACTCAACTAATGTGACACCCATGTATCGAGCTTCAAAGTGTACCCAACTTTTTTTAAACGACGAAACGCAGTTGATTTGTTGACGTTCAATTCACTGGCACCTCTTCCGTCGAAATACGTGAGTTATTCGCAACTAAAGTCCTTAGAACATCGTCATCAAGCTCAGAAGGCCGTCCACTGCGAGGTTGATCTTCGAGGTTAAAATCTCCAGAACGAAATTTCGCGAACCATTTCTTTACTGTGCGGAGTGCTGGAGCACGGTCCAAATAAACTTCGCGAATATCTTTAGTTGCAGCGCCTACTGTTTTTCCTTTGCGGAATTCGTATAACATAATATGACGCATATGATCTTTTTCGTTGTCCATCTTCCATGCGTCTTTTCACTAAGCAACTCAAATCAAAATGAAGTTATTTTATGCTTGATTTACAGTTCGAACTGTCACCTTTCCAACGATATATAATATGTATATATTTCTTTCACGAGCGCCACTATCAAACGATTCGAACGGCATCCAGCGGAATCGGGCACGAACTAATGCACTCATCGATAATAGCCAAAGATTAACAAAAACTCTTAATTAAACTTGAACTAATGCAAAAAATCAAATTTCCCATTGCAAATATAATATGATTGATCTAGTTATGCACATATATATACGAGTATGTATGTTTGTACATAAGTACTTTTATAGTTTATCATTCAAATATGACTACCTCGAAGTAAGCCACTCACCATTTGAAAGCAAAGTTCTCTATGTGTTACAATCTAAATAAAAAGTACGGATTCTGAAGCTAATCGAGTCTGGTCTATTTCCGGGAAATAAATGTACTATTTGGATTTGAATCCGGTGCAGCCAAAAATCAAAATGAGAGTGTGTTAGTGAGAGGAGATCGAATGTTCTAAAACCTTAATTATATTTATTAAATTCATTTGAAAATTAATTTTTATTGAATACTCGTCGGCAATTTTTTATCTTCAAAAAACAATAAACATTTCTTTCATACCGTTAAATTTGTTAAAATAATGAAATGCCTCCGAAGGATATAAAACTTGTGACCTGCGATGGCACAAAAAAAACTGACAAAGAAAACTACAAAAACTCAACCAAACTCAACCATAAACATAATTTTATTGATTTCTTTTTGTTTCAAAAAGATGGTTATCGGGTCCTGGGTCCACTTCACAGAATAAATGTTAGTGTTGATGTTCAACTAAACATAAAGCTAGCTGCCTGCCCTATTTGAAGGAAATCGAATTCAAGATAGGATTTCTTCGAAAAGCTTGGTCCCTGATTCACATCCTGGATTTTAAGAAGTGTCTATCTTTACTCTTCGGCCTGCATTGCTTGTGTAAGTAACATAGGAGTTTTTTAGGTACACCTTTAAAAAATCAAACATCGCTAACAGTAAAGCTCGTGGCTCCGCCGGTAATGTTAGTTGAACCCAATATTTCAGTCTTTGTCGTCGATAAATATACTCGATAGTCTATGAAATCGGTGAAAAGCACCCTTAATGAAGGTCTTAAAAAATATTTAAAAACGTCAGTGACTGAGATAAACTGAAACCAGACGCCAAATCAATTAACACCTTCACGTATGCAAGTACATACATATTTATATATGTATGTGAGTTCGTATGCTTTTCGTGAAAAAGCTTTTCTGCTGAACCAAGAGCAGCATGTGTCCAAAGCTTTAAAATGCTTAACGCTAAGAAAATGTGTTTCTAAAAGAAATTGGGTTTGAGGAAAGCAGTCGCATACCAATCCCCAATTCACACTTCAAACGGACATACTCGTAGATCAGTTCGATGGCGTGGAAAGCAGCATATTTTGTGGTAAGCCGTTGCCTTATATATTTTGTAGCTGCAATTTCCATTGAAAATTGTGTAAATTGAATTTCAGTTGTTAAGCACATTATGCGTCGCGACATTGGCTCGTCCCACACAGCTGGATGATATTTTTGAAGGATATTTAAAAAATGTGAATCTCTATAATCCTGAAAAGCAATCGCCGGTACTCAAACGCCGCATCTACGAGGATAATCAAGACGCAGGTCTAAAGAAGGTGTCACTACAATCGCTAATTGGTGATTTAGAGCAGAATTTCTTCAGATCAGCCTCTAATGCCGGCAGCTCTGTACTTCAAACCACAGAAACACCCGACGTCTCTACTAACCCCAACGACAGTCATCCAGTACTCAAACGAAAAACGGAAAATGATGATATTAAGAAAACTAATGTGCAATACAAAAAAGAGAGCGTTGAGGAAACGACAAGTGCTGATTCGGTGGAAACAACAACAGAGAAGTTTTCGAGTGAGGAAACTGGCACCAGCCGTCTACAAGTCGAGCACATTTCTGTGCAACCGCACTTCGGCGATCTACCCATTATACCCACGTTCCAGGTTCATCACACAAAAGTTATATCGGCTACTTTCAAGGATACAAGTCCCGGCCCAACCCAAATAACTATAACAAAGACAAATATTCACAAAGCGCCTGTAAGTCACAATGAGCAGGGAGATGTAGTCAAAGAAGAAGCAACTACAGTGGAGCCCAAAGATCACACGGAGAAAGCTATTGTTTCCAATGAACCTGAATCTGCACCAACTGAGCCCATCTTGCCAAACAAAACGAAGAAAACTGTGTCGGAATTAAAGGAGACTGAAGCAGAACTTAAGGAAAAAGTCGCGGAAATTGAAGCAGAGCCAATTATACTATCCGCAAGAGTTTAAATTTGTGCACTTGAAGTAAAAGAAAAATTTTATATACCATCATATAAGTATGTATATACATATAAATATCTATATAGATACTAATATATTGACGTGTATGAATTATTGAATTATATACAGTGAATATGAAAATACTCTTTTTTTTGTTATTAAAGAAAGTTTACATTGGTGCGATTTCCAATCATGAGACTTTTTCAAGCTTAACAGAGAAGAAAGAAAAAAAAACACTTATGAAGTGGGCTCAAATTACAAAATCAAACAGCGACTAAGTATATTTGGAAATATATACATACATATATACATACGTGTATATGCATACTTTGCACAATTTATTCATAAATCTCACAACTTTCAAGCAAACAATGGTTGCACATTTCCCAGTTCCCAACATTGTGAAAATCGATTTTAAATTTGAATATAATTTTGCCTTTTACCAGTTTTCGATATGCATAATATCTATATTATAGGTTACAATATATAATACATACATAAATATATTTACATATATACAAATTAACATAAAACAATGAATTCGTAAGTATGTTCTATATATTTATGTACGATTGTTGAATTGCTGAAATGCGCTATTAGCTGAAAAGCCTTAAAGTAACTGAAATGGAGAAATGCATTAAGTGACTTTTTCATTTTTAACTGACATTCTTTACCGCGAGCAGAGCTGATGAACTGATATATATAAGTTTTCCTTTACTCACAAAGACAGATTGTAACAAAGCTAATGACTATGTGAACTGATGCTGGACGTACCTAGACGTTATGTTAGAATGGGATGGGACCCCTAGGCCTTTCTATTGTACGCCTTCCTTAACAGAACGTTAGGTATACCCGTGTAGAGCTAAGTTGAGAAGGTATACATTTTCAAGCATAAAATAGTAAATAATGCAGATGGCATTGGCCTGAATAACTGTACCTGTTAAGGGTGTACCGAAAGATTTGAAAGCTTACTTATGGGCTTATTCGGAGAGAAAAACAGTCAAACCATTCATTGTCTGATATATGTACACACATTTGAAAAAGAATTGATGAATTTTGCAAAGGAAAATATTCATAGATGCGCCATTGTGGGGAAATTTCTGATTACCCCTCCCCCCCAGAAAAGGGTCGCCCGCGTTAATTTAAGAATTATAAGTTTTCGTATGCTTTCAGATTTAACATGCATATTAGATATGTTCAGCTAACGGTTACATAGTGACTTCGTCCGCATATAATTTCAAAACGGGCCTAATAAGATAAAAAATATAGTGTAGAGATTGAAATGAAAATGAAAATAAAATAAAATCCCAATGTTAATTTAGGCAAAGAGCTTCGCTTGTACCGAATTTCATGTAAGTGGGACGGTTTTTTCGAATAGACTGAACCGAGGTTTACTTCCTGGGAAATCTTTTCCTATCGAATGTTTACGTCACACGCAGACAACATACTCCAAGTTTCAGGTCTCTATGATCAGTGGCTTAGGCTGTGGATTGATTCATCAGTCATTCTAGACAAAACCATATATTTATATACGTACATATAGAATGGAATATATATATTTAAAGGAATCAATTTAACTCATTCTGTCTGTCCGTATGTGTACTCGATATCTCGAGGAAAAGTTGACATTTCTCGAAAGTACGAGTATCCATCGTTCCGTTCCAACCGAGCTTAGTCTTCATAACTTGTTTTGCTTTGTCTTCTTGCGAATATTACCTCACGTGCTTATAAATAGTAATGCTTTTCTTTGATAATTTCAATAACTATAAGCTTTTGTGGTTTTGCTTCTCAGTTCCTCCAAATTGTATTATATTATATAGGGTGTTTTTTTTGAGTATGATTTCCAATGACTCAATAGCTTTTTCGGAGTTTATTTTCGTTCGTGCGACGCATCGCGTGCTGTGTTCAATATTTAGTCAACATAATCCCGAGCGAGTTCATCCGCCATAGCGCGCAACAATTGGAGCTGTGCTCATTTACTTTATACAAGATTTGCGGGAGGATCTTGGTTTGTGATCTTACAAACTTAAATTAAATATGTATTTTATTTTTCTTGAAAGCCAAAAGCCTAAAAAGCACCCTGTATATATATAATAAGTTGTGTTGTTGTTGTTTCAGAATAGACCTGTGTAATACATTTATTATCGAGGAAAATAATGATGTAAAGTATGTAGCTTGATAAGGGACTGATAAAGCCCATTGCTTATGGGTGAGTACACGGAGTTTTGCAAATATTTTTGTATTCAAAAACAAATGAGTGCGTGATGCTCTTACATCGTATTTAAGAATTCCCCGGCCAGTGTATAATTGAAAACGCCAAAAGCAATTACTTTGATAAGATATCGAATTGAGCGGCGGATGATAAACGACCATACCAATACTTCCTCATCAAATCAAATTTTCGTCAATGCCTGCAAGAGTTAAGCAGCTAACGCTATCGCTATTATCGCCGTGGTTTTCTTCTTTCGCAGCCATTGCGATCACCCAAAGTCACAAGCAAACGAAAATTAAAATTATAAAGTGAAAAGATCCCAAAAAAAAAAGGGTTGAAGCCCCTATGATCACTACTATTTATCTCAAAATACTCCCGGGAAAGCAATATAGCCATTATGGCATCATCTAATGTTAATACAGGCTTTGCCAAGTGTTTCATTTCATTTATGGCGCTGGTGATATTGGTAAATATGTATATGAGCTTCCTGAGCTTCATGAGCTTCCTCGTATTGCGTGCGAAATTATACCTGAATTGATGTTTGATTTGTGTTGTTTTCAATTCATGTTTGCAAGTAACTAAGAATAAATGTTTTTCAAATAGTTCAAGTGTTGAGATAATGCGACCATGAGGTGTAACAGTACTTTGTGCGGAATGTGTTAGAGAAAACAAATTTTTATTTTAATACACAAATTAAAATGGCATAAGAAACAATAAGTTTTATAATAAATTATCTATGCATATAATTTTGAATTGCTATGGATATATATAAAAATATATATAAACATACACATATGTATATGTACATAAATACACACATTTGTGGAAGTTTGCATGAGTCACTTAACTATATTTTTTTTTACGCTCATTAATAGTCATTACCAAATAAATTTCTACATTTTCAGCTGCAAGGATGTGTGTATCTTGCTTTAGCAATATACGGAATAACCCAGGAAAGCTGCCACAATAATGGAGTATCTGACATAACTGAAAATCCCTTCGAATTCATAATGCGCTTGATTTACTTTCAAAGTATGTGTGTATGTATGTTTCGTATGTGTCAAACTTTTAAGTGTCATTTAATATAATAATTTCAATAACTCACATGAAATTGGCAAGAGAGTAGATATGTTTAAGAGAAAATGTTAACAGAAGTCATCAGTTTCGGTTGGTTGGTAAAATACCGTAAAACTGTCATCTGTTATGTGTTTGTTAAGAATTATTATACCTTTCATGTACTCGGATATGAAATTATACATTTGCTGTTAACTTTCGTCCGAAGTAGTACCACAAGGAAAAGAAGAGTTAGACAATCAAAATATAATATTATACCGATCGGAGCAGAATGTGGTATTATGCGAACATGTAGTGAATTACACATTTGTGCTGGAAATTATTCGAAAACGAATGACTATAACCTACGAGTATATGTAGCTGCAATAAACCGATTTTTTCGGATTAGAGGCTTTGGTTAAAACTCCGTTCTCCCATGCAACAGATTTGTTCGGATATGAAGTTTTTAATCACAAACTCAAATACCTCAACGCTGTCACATTTTAAAAAGTATAACTTTTATTTATACAAATACTAGGCCGCCACCGGAAGGCTGATGGTTTTTATGAGGAGCTTTTAAATGCACTGGAAGGGCTTGACATTCAATGAAAGTTTAACTTAATTTTCTATAACTTTTTTCGATGTTGGTCGGACAATTACTCTAACCCTGGCCTTCCGAATGACAGTAAGCAACACCAACCCCTCGGCTATCTTGTAAATTGTAGTGTGCGACTGCTCTTAAAATCATCTTTCGAAAATTCTTCTTTCGGATAACAGTTTACGTGTGAAACTAAGGAATTACTAGGATAATTTCGCCTATTCAGGAACCAGTATTAACCCCGACAACTATATCAGCCTTGAAATTTGAAGCAGGAGCTACTTTGGATTGTAGACCAAGCTCTACAAGCCTCTCATGATTCCCATCCTGCTAATACAGCTACAAAAAACGAACAAAAGCAGTCAATGGCTTTAATCCCGGAAGCGGTGTCTACGACAGTAAACAAGAAGAATTAACGGTTTTCGGTTTTTTAAATTATATATCTAATATAAGTTTAAAAATTTGTCTGGCCAGGGTTGGAGCCCAAGATAATTGGCATGGTATTACGTACTAATATCCACTCGGCAGTGCTCGGCCCAAACTCGCTTTAGCGGTTTAAATACCGCTCACAAACAAATGGTTGTTGTAGAAAATCTGAAAACAAACACAACAGCACTAGAATGAGCAATATCAAACGTGCAGTTTTTCAGTAATCGGTATTCAAATACGTGGTTGGGTTAAAATTTAATGTTTAAAGATTATATCGCATGAGAAAGACTATATACAGATGTATGTATGCACATACATACATAAATTTAATGGGAGAATCAGTAAAATAAATATCAAAACACAAGGGCTCAATAACAGGAATAATATAATTTTTAGCGGAAAATTTGCACATACATAGATATACATATTAGCAGTAATATTTACTTTAAAATATTTAATTCTTTTTTTCTTAGAGGAAAGTTGTGGAAATCCAAAAGTGACAGCACAAGATTTGCCAAACGAAATTGTAGTTGATATGAATTGGTCCAAATCCTTTGCAATTACAAATCGAACATTCATTTTCTTAATCACCTATGCTGCGGTTAGTGCATTGTGGATAGCGACCTCGGTACTAGTTTTGGGTAAGTTTCTCGTAACTCTCAATTCAACTTCGATTCGATTGAGTTTTTTTTTTTTGACATTCTAGCATCCATCTGTGGGCGTGTTACACGATTTGTAGCGGCAATTTCATTTTGGCCATGGTTTTTGATCGTAATTGGCGGAAGCATTCTCGATGGAGTAGCAACAGGTTATTTTGTAGACGACATCATACATACAACTGTAAGTAGTTTTGATTTAAAAAAAAGTATATTTACGTCTGTATGTGCCGATTTTTTTATGAATACTACTTAGTTTTTAAATTTTATTTTAGTTTTTTTTGCAAACCGAAAAATAAAATGAACAAATGAAATAGAAGAAAATAATACAAATTAAAATATAATATAACATAATATAATAAAACACGATAAAATAAAAAATATATATCTCTTCGTTCTTATCCGATACTAGAGCTCTAAATACCACGGTATCAAACATTGCGAGAAGATCGAAATTCGACTATACTCGTTCGTTACTCAATTACTCAATGAGTTTCATGTATTGCAAAATAAGATTAAAGTAATAGAAGAAAGTTCTCTCATAAAAACCCTTGTCTCTGTTGGCAAAAAATTGGGACAATTGAACTTCAGAGGCTTATCTTGAACCCAAAACCTTCGCCGTAGTCAGAAACAGATGGTAATCACTTGGCGGGAGGTCTGAACTATAAAGTGGATGCATGAGAAACTTCCAACCAAACTTCTGGCTAGTCACTATCGATGTGTGTGGTCTTGCATAGCATAATGAGACACAATTCCCCTCCTCTTGCCCAGAGCTGGGCGCTTGTGGGTGACTGCTTTCTTCAGACGGTCCAATTGCTGACAGAAGAGGTCCGAATTAAGATATCGGTGAGGGAGTAACTCACAGTTGATAATTCCTTGCCAATACCACCAAACACACAAAAAAACCTTCTTGGCCTTTAATCCCAGCTTGCAAACCGTTTGTGCCGGCTCACTGCCGTTCGAACATGACCTTATTCATTTCACGTTACTGTAAGTGAACCACTTTTTATCAACAGTCACCGTCCGCTTCATAAATGGGTTGATTTTGTTACAATTCGGAAGCGATTCGTAGATGGAAATTCGATCAAAAGGGGTTTTCTCATTATCTCATGCTCCAGTCTTTTTCAAGTGGTTCCAAACTGTTTGGTTTTCTTGCAATGTTTAGCTCTCGGGAAATCTGGAGCTCGCATAATGGTCAGGCTCGACGATTTGGATTATTTTAACGACATTTTCGACAATTCTCATCCAAATAATTAACAGATATTAAAATCTAGTAAAATAATCTATACATTAAGTGTGCGCATATACATGAAGATTAACATACATACATACATACATACATATGTTAACGATCGCTAATGGAAAAGGGTTTCAATTTTAGACCGGAAGCGACACATTTGGATATATCGGAGCAGATACGACAAACACCGAGTTGATGAGTGTCCTGGAAAAGTTCGATGCCTACTTTATAACACCTGCTGTTGTAATGGTTTGCTTGAGTTCGCGTCTAGTGCTAATATGGCTGCTTAATATTTTTGGGACCGGATTTTGTTTGTCATTATCTCACGTTTTGGCAAAAAATGTAAGTTTTTTAAATGTAATATTTGTATTTAAATTAAATATATATTTTTTTTTACAGAATTCTACTTCATCTCTAAATGAAGGTCTTTCTAATTCATCTCCTACGCAAGCTATTTCAGAGGCAAGCACTTTCAATGCTCAATCAGAGATTAAACTCCAACAACCTGAAGTAAGGCCCAACCAATCCAGTTTGAATCCACAAACGTCAGTTATCGAACAAATAAGAATTCATCAGCAAACTTCAATTAATTCACATGGTAATACACCGCCTACACCTTTAATAGATCCACCAAAGATTCGTCGTCTTTCCTCCATTTCAACGTCAAGAGACAGCGAACAATTGAATCCGGCTCAAAACAATGTAACATACCGCAACACCGACACACATCCAGATCGCCTTGATTATCCGGCCGTAAGGACTAGACCGATTTCACCTGAATTGCCTATGGAGCAGGTGTCGCAACTGTCCGTAGAGACGCCGTTAAATAGTCGTTATTCGATAATTGATGGTTCGCAGCAGCCAAATGCCCGAGTTAATGCAGAACTGCGAAGCCAGTTGCCTTGGTCATACACCAATATATTAGGTAATCCTCAGGTGCCACTTAAGCCACAGAGGCCAATTTACCCAGATATACCAAAGCCTGACTACAATTCATAAAATCCTTAGGAGAATAAAAAAGTTTTAAAATGTCAGCGTTAATTTGTACACATACTTATGTATTCGTATATGTGCATATGTACTATGTATATATATGAAAGTTTCCTTTTTTTAATTTTAAACCACTTGTAGTTCACTAATAGAATAACAAATGAATTGGGACAAAATAAAATTTTTTGGAATTTATTATCGCCAAAAAAACCCTGTTAACCTACCCTAACTACCCCTACTAACCCTACATAGCTCCACATGAAGTCACCGAAAAAGTTAATGGTAACACGTAATCAGAGTTAGTTTCGCGCCCCAACTATTTCTTATATGAGCCCTTTATGCGAGGACTCATTTCAAGCAGATCATGATTTGGGTATTGGAATATTGGAACTAAGTCGACTACAACATTCAGTGCTTAATTGTACCACTCTTACTAGGCGATCATGAAGTTGTCGACGGACTTTCGGTGGATGGCACTTAAAGTATGTTGGTATGCCAACCTGTCCAGGGGTTTTTGTATATGGAGCTGTAGAGAGCTATCGACTATCGCGACACCCAGTTCTACCCAGCGGAGTTGACCCGGATATTATACGGTTACATATATTTTCTGTAGCGCGCCTAAAAACAGCACACTTTGAATAACGATGCTCTCAATACTCTCAAGAATTTATATAATTTAATTTTCGTTAATAGCATCTTTGTAATGTTCATCTTTGAATCAGGGAAATTTAGGCAAGCGTTATCTAGTTTTTGTTGTTGTTGCAACCGAAAACTATTCCCGGAATTGATTTTCGGGGAATATTGCGGGAGTGACAGTCCTTGGCCGGATAAAAATCCGGGTCGTTCCGGTATAAAGACCCGACTGCCGTGGGAACTATTGGATTTTAGTCACCACTACGACAGGCATGCCTTACCACGGGTAAATTCTTAAGCCCCTAACCCGCAGGGGTTACTCGTATCACCACTACACACACATGTTTGGGAGTGATCCCAAAAAATTAGCTGGAAATTGGATTTCAGAAGTTGTCTCGCGGAATCTACTGCTAGCTCAGAATATAACCCCAATAACATCAATGTATTAGATAGCCAGGCGTTAATTAAAGGAAGAGCAGGGAAGTAGTGGATAGAACGGATACGGTGAAGCAAATTGTTATCTTTTGATTCTCAGCCCAAAAGACCATTTAAGACAAAAATTAATAAGATTGTTAAAAGTGTTATTCGTCTAGCGATGGAATCGGTACAGGAAATATCCAAAACACTAGAGTTTATACAGATCAGGACGAGATTGAACGGTTTAACGACCTGCAAGCCAACTTGTTCCTAAGCGGAGTTGGCGAACCGTTATTACAACTAAAACTACAACAGGATTCCCAGAAGCAGAAAGTATCAAAGCCAGATGTCAGAGCGTTCGCATACTTCACAAAAGACATTGACATCCTTTACGACGAGTTTGACTGAATATCGGAAATTCCTGCTGGGAATTTTCAAAAACATGTATACATACATACATGTATTATATATCTAATTCGCTTTGCGATTATTATACATTGAATATTTATTTGACATAAGTCGTTTTACATTGTTGCAAAGATATACACTTTGTAATGATTTCTAATTAATATTACAATTAATATATCTGCTGTGTATATAGAAGGTTTTAAAATTTTTAAGAAAAGGTCGTCATTCAATTAATTCATTAGCAAATCCCATGCAGCGTCTTCTTCTGTGGCTTTTCCATTATTACCGCTTTTATTTGGCACGCTTTTGACATCGAGACTGTTGAAACCTTCACTTAGTTTTTGGGAAGTCGTTTGAAGCTTTGTATTCTTGCGTACTGCAGTTGAACTCGAACTATCACCAGATGTGTTCGTTTGTTGGTAAGAATTTTGATATCCAACAGATTCATAACCTGTCCAGTTATCATTCATTTCACCCAATTGATGATGATATGAACTAGACTGAGCTAAAGGTGATTTGGACGCACCATTTCCCCAATCCCAATCACCGTCACCTGCACAGTATTTCAAAGTGTATATGTCAGATAGTGAAGCCAGCTTCGAAAAATATGTACATATACATACCTCCAATGGAATGCGATCGTTGGTAAGAGTTATCATTGTTTGCATTGTTGTTTCCACCAGCGTTATATTGATTTGATGCTACATTATTTCCACCAATATTATTCCAACCTCTTTTACCAATATCTGTCACCTAAAGTAATTTAAATAAGTCAAAGGAATATACATATGTATATTCACATAATAAAAACAAAAAATAAATAAAACTGATACGAACCTTGTAAGCTACATCGGATACATGACCTTGGACAGTTTCTAATAAACCGCCTTCTTTAATCTAAAAAATTATAATCAAAATAAAATACTGAACAAAAATCTACTTAACTACCTTGTAAATACGGCATTATTTTAAATGAAAATAGTATAAAATAAAAAATATATGTATACAAATAATGAAACTTTATGATATGGCAAATAATTGTTCATTTTGAGAAAAATTAAAAGAAGCAATTAAAGTATAAAGTCTGACCTTTGAAGAAGCCAGGCTAACAGTTGTGGCAGCCTTCTCTTTCGCCGTATTAGCAATTTTGGATGCACCTGCAGAAAGTAAGCTCCAACCCTGTACACGAACAATAAAAAATGTTATTTTTTCAAAGAACCAAATGCTTCTTTTTAATCATAAAAATCTACCGAAGCTAAAGATGAGAGCGTGGTGTCAATGATTTCTTGAGATTGAGTTTTAGTCGGCGGATCTCGGGAATATCCGAAGCCAGAATATTTTCCCCCTTGGCTAGGCGGCAAGTGACTGAAAGAGTTTAATAATGCTTATATATAAAACTGCGAAGTAAAAAAAAAAACAATTTATAGGAAATGAAACACCTACTCAGGCCTTGACGCATTTTCCATTTTTCGGCGCTCAAAAAATTCTTCTTTTTGCTCCTTGAATTCAGCTGTATTAAATTGCTGATAATTGTTTGTAGTACAAGCGCTTCCTTTGTTAGCTTCCGACTGGTAGCCTCCTTCAGAACTAATGCTCTTTGAATAACTTGTATTATTAAAAGAACTGCCGCCAAGTCTATTAGAGTTGGAAATGCGATTTTTTGCTTCCACTAAGTCCCATGATTTTCCCTGTGCTAAAGAAGATATTTTATCTCGGTATAATGCAGCGGCTTTAGAATTGTAACGCTGTGCGATGGGAGCACGTTCGTCCCAATCATCTTGGTCTTCGAAAAATTCTCTAGCTTTAGCGTTACCACCGACCTTCATTTTTTCCAATTCAATATCTTTCCATTTATCCATTGTTACTGAACGCACAAATGATATGTGCACTCCTAGGCCTCGGTGCTTGCCTGAACATTCTAAACAAATCCAAATACCGTACGTCACCGAAACCCATTGTGGATTATGTGTACCACACTCAAAGCATTTCTACACGTTGTAACATGGAAGATATAACCATTTCTAATCATCAGTAATATTAATATTTGATAAGGAAGTAAAACAAACCGAATTTTCGTCCTTGGGTTTTAACTCTTGAAGAACGCGGCGAGTACGTGGGCTTGCCATTATTATATATGATTATTACTTATAATACAATTAACATATATTTGCAATAAAGATTTTAACTTAACATTTTTCAGCAATGATTTTTTGTATTGTCAAGTACGAGGGATCGAAGAAAGAACAAGAAATGATTTGTTGACGTGTGATTTTCAGTGTGCTTCATTTCTGAGTTTTTCCCTTTTTTTTGACAGCCAGTTTAAAGCTCTACTAAATATATACAAATTTAGTGTTTTTCTATTATATTGCATTTCTTTACTTAAAATTTCAAATTTTTTAGTTGTATTTAATAAAGTTTGTAATTTTTGAGATATTGTATATGTATGGTCATCTTGTAGGAGGCTCAGGAATCGTGTTGTTTCGAGGGGATGGTACCAAAAGTAGAGGGGGTGAAATGAGTCGGTTCAAAGGGGCATGTGAAGAGGTGGTTAGTATCGTGCGGAGACTTTTCACATGCAGGGCATATGTTGGAATGCACCCAGTTTTTGCATTTACTGTGTCCAGGTATTAAATTGTCAAAAAACTAGGCCGCTTATTTTGACAAGAAGTCAGCTGATTTAAGATAAACAATTTTTTTGTTTTTGTTTATTTCTTCTGCTGTTATGATTGAGCCTTGCGTTTGGCTGTAAAACAAAAAAATTATTAATGGATAAAAATTATGATACAATTTTATTAACAGGACCACCAGGTATGAAATCTAAATGTATTTTAGAAATTTCGTTAATTATAGATGTTATTTGAAGGAGTGGGTAAAACAACACTAGTGAAAAAAATATGTGATGAACTGCGAATGTCACACAAGGTCTATGGTTTTATAACAGAGGAAGTAAGAAGCGAACAGGCATTCACACGCATTGGTTTTGATGTTGTTACACTATCTGGTGCGCGCTGCATATTGGCAAGGTTTGCATCCTTTTGTTGTGTTGAAAAGTTTTTTTTTATATTTTCAACATTTTTAGGGAGCAATCAAGAATGAATGACCGTATGCCAATAGTGGGGAAGTATTCTGTTAATGTTAGTGATTTTGAAAATCTGATTGTGCCATTGCTTTGTCCGAAATCCAAGAAGGATCTTTTGGTTATTGACGAGATCGGTACAATGGAACTAAAAAGTAAAAGATTTGAAAAAGCTTTAAATGATGTAATCCACAAAACTCCTATTTTTGCGACTATACCCTGCCATTCTCATAGAAAAAACACTATATTGGAACACATTAAAAGTTCCCCAGCAACTCGCATTTTCGAAATTACAAAAAATAACCGAAATATTGTTCAAAATGATATTGTGAATTGCATTAAAAACATGTTGAGAAAAAATTAGTTCAAAAATTAAAACTTAATTTTTTTTAATTCATGCATATTAGCATGTACACTATGTATATTTGTTTTTGTAGTTGAATTATATAGTTCTTATGTACGTACGTGAACAACGTATGTGAATATTAGAGGAAAACGCATCCTCAAGAGGACTCTCTTTGAGGAGATTGTGCGGGCTGAAGTCTGCTTTCACGAATCGATCGTTTTCGAGAACGTTTTGGCGATTTTTCAAAGTCCATCTCATTATAAGTTTGTTCTGTTGCTCTCCAAACCATTTCTTGTCTTTGTAAAAGCTCGGGATATCTTTGCTCAAACTCTTTGTTGGGTGTGAGTAACAATTCCCATTTTTTTTCAGAATTCAAACGAGCGACAGAATGCAGAACCTCAGCAGCTTCGTCAGGAGGCAGCTGTGTAGCCGTAATGACTTGCCTCCGATATAAATATTTTACTCGGGAAAATCTGAAAAGCTATTATGAAGAAATATATCAGGTGAGAAAAGTTAAGGTTGTTTTGAAATGTTACCACGTAGTCTCGGGCACGTATCATTAATTCAGAAGAGACTCCATTGGAGTTGGACAACATATCAGCAGGATAAATGATATCAGACTGGGGAACCCAATTTCCATGAATGAGGACCCCAACTTGGGGTAAAGCTCGAAGAACTTTTTCACTTGATATGCTCGAATCATTGCATTCTTGTAGTATTGAAAATATATCCTCAAAGGTTAGCATTCGTGCTGCAAATGATATTTGTTATTTCACAAGTTAGTTTTCACTTCAGTAACTCTTACCATCTTTTAGAACTACTTTAAGTTGATCTACCAGAGACATTGACTTCAAACGAGCTTTGCTTATAACCTTGGGTGGTAGCACCGCATCTATTCCCTGATCCTTGCCATCGTCAGGCAGTAGTTTTCTAACATATTTGTGTGAATCCAATTCTAATGCTAAATTTAATTGTTGGTTTGTAGCAAATAACTTCTGTCTCTCAAGTTCTGCGGTGGGTGATTTTCGGGGATGCCAATATGTCTCACACCAGGATTCTTCATTACTCCGTTTTATAAAATTCGCATATCCCTGCTTTTCCTTTGTTTTCAATTTTTTGTTGCCAACTCCAGCTTTTGCAAACTTTACAGTCACTTGCTGCAGCTCTTCTTCGTCGTCTTCATCATTGAGTGCCTTCTCTTCTGCTTTTATACGTTTATCCTCCTTGTCGAAATGAGATAAAGATGGTCGTAACTGTAATATATTTGCCAACGGCGTCAAATGAAGCTCCTTGTCAGAGAAAATACCGACTACATATTTATCTACATCGTCCAATGAGCGAGTGCTGATAAAAGCCTGCTTGTCCATAATACCACGCTTATATGTGGGGCGTTCACCTTTAGCTTGAGTTTTACCATCAGAAGCCAAAGCGAATTTCTCTCCTTTGAAGCGATCATAAAAATTCGATTCTGTATTTAATGCAAAATCAACTTTTACTTCTTGGTTCAAAGGCTTTACACAGCAATTTATCACGTTTGAATTATCAAAGTTGCTTATTTGGGTTTTAGTCGGATATTGGAAAAGATACAAGTTCTCCTGAAGATTTTTAGATAGGAAAACCGGAATCTATAAAACATTAAAACATACAAAAATCAAAAATCAAATTCCTCAGCACTAAATATCGTTTACAAACCTCTTCCACGACAATGTCATCATCTGTGCACTGGTTCGACATTTTGATAGAAACCTTCACTACAAACAGATATGTATGAATATATCTGCACAAATCTCTTAACTTTTATGTTATTTATTTAAACCTTTGACTTTCAAACATTGCACATCTAAGCTAGAAAAAAGCATGGTAAATATTTATGGCGATAAGACAACAATGTTGCCTTCGATTATTTAGTGAGCCCGTCGATATTATTCGACTTTAAGGTAATAGCAGACAAAAGTTTATATTTTTTCATGACATTCCAAAATGTCTATAATGTAAAATTTCCAAAAAAAAATTACAATATTTTTAATTAGGTTTAGCATTAAACTGTTTCTCACTTCAAATATGCACTGTACTGTGTAAATTATTAGTATATGTAACTGCAAATGTCTAATGTGTTATGTTCATACTCTTAAGTTGTAACGTAAATGTATATCAAGCAGTTTTGAATTTTATTAATTCGTGCCTACTTTTTTAATTAAAATATCTTTTCCTTCTTATTTATATTTTAAGCATTATTATATAATATAATGGTCGCTTTGTAACCCCTGAGGCGATTTTCGGCCGAGCTCCTCTTCCAATTCGTGCTAGATAGCCTCCGAATGGCAGGTGAATTTTTATGAGGTGCTTTTATTTAATGTCAGAACCACACTTTTAGGGCTTGGCATTACCTGATCATTGCGGTCGCAATAATACTACCACTCGTCTTTTTAGGACAAATTCTGCCGAAGAAGTTGTTATAATCGTCAACGAGATCGCAGAAGCTGTTTTGCTAGCTGCTGAGTAGACCAACGAGAACAACTTTCGTTCGGCGAATATTCGGTTTGGAATGAATATTTCCTTTGAATAATAGAAATAGCAACTTTCCAAATATTGTTTGATATCGCGGCTGATGTAGAGCCGATATATACGTTCCACGCGGCACCAAAATGTGTCGAGCTCGTTCCTCATGGATATTTTAAAAACTTTGATTTTATTCGGTGATTAGAGCTTGATTTGTAAGGTGCATCCTAATGTTGGTAATATCTGCCAAGGAAAGTCAGTCCTTAGATTTTTTTTAAGCATTTAACCCTATCGAAAAGGTGTAAGCGAGAATGGAGAACCTCTTTTGTCGGAGGAAAGTACTGAAACCGGTTCTAACTTTAAGTCCAATACATTGTTTTAAAAGGAGAAAACTTCAATGTGTATGGTTGCCAGGTTCAAATGACCCATAGTGAATCACGAAATTTCAAATATCATCCCTTTGTGAAGTTGTATTTGCAGTAATAAAAAAAGGTTTTTTAAAGTCATGTATCTTTGACTTGATTTTCTCTCGAAAAATCTTTATTTGTACTATTCGCAATATTATCGTTTTAATGGTATCATGTAGAATTTAGAAAGCTTCCTTTCGCAAAACGTAGTCTTTTCTTTTTGGGTATAATCTGCTCGACTACATTTTGTTTTTGAATACTATTTTCCAATGAATAAATCCTCTGAACCAGATGCCACAAAGTTTTCAGGCCCTTAAAACGTATGAATTTGATTGCAAAACACATCACGTACCATAGAAGCAAAAGATAGAATATTTGGTCGAAAAAGAGAATAATTGCTAGAATCACTTCCAAAGAATTCATTGTCGCTTTATAGTCATCCAGCCATTTATCGGTGTTTTCGTTACTTCTTGAAGCTATTAGTTTTGATTTGAAACATATAATGTACATGTATGTATATGTATGCACATAAGTATGTACTCTTATTTCATCTGTACTTACTTTGAAGACTACCTAACTCTATAGTTGAGTTCACATCGATTTTAAGGCAATTAAAGACATCATCCCATTTCCGTTCCGCTGACAGCTTGTCCAAATCTCTACAAGCATTTAACATTATTTACAGATTATCCTTTAAAAAAAAAAATGTTTTTTCTTTTTGTTGTGTCATGGATTCATGACTTAAAAATTTAAAAAACGAAAAATCACAAATCAAGTTTATGGATAAAGTAAGTTATATTGTTCGGTTATATCGAATGAAGGGTGCTAAATACCACAGGTTCAAATGTGCTTAAATCACGTATGTGGTCTTCTTAACTGACGTCACTACTCGCTTGGAAAAAATATCTCATATCTGGATACAAACACCATGTACGGAGAGCTTTTCCGCGACCCTCTCATCTAGCCTCCACTCGGCTTTTAATTCTAAGAACTTCAAAGAGTTTCATGTAACTGGAATGACGTGGGCGCTGATTGTATTAAAGGTGAAGACTACGTGGAATAAAGTATGCTTGATTAAAATGACCTTTGCTGTAATACCCTCAAGATAGTCGTAGATATTTTACAACAACAATTAGCAGAATACGAAGACTCTCTGATTGTGGGATTCTTAACTCCATAGTAGGCATCGAGTTTAGTTTTACTCGGGTCATGTCGAGTTCAACCAGTGTTGCAACTTCTTCTTGCTTTTTGGCTAGATGCGCGCACCACGTTCTTCGACATTCCACCAGGCTAAATCGTTTTTATATGGCTTTGTGGTGGACTGTAAAGTATCTGAGTGTATGAGTCATCGGTAAAATTCCAAGCTTTTTTTTAGCTTCTATAATACGTTTCTTGGACTTCTCGTTAGATAGCCAAGATCGGGTCTTGCCTGCTCATAAGCAGTGTTGGACACCCACTATAACAACATAGATGTGGAAATTGAAGCTAGATTAGATTCGTCTAGTGAACGGCAAAGATCTAACGTCATTTGAATTCAACTGCCTTCAGCAGTAAAGGTCGGGGAGCGAAGCTGTTTATGGATCCAACAGATCCACAAACGTAGACATAATTTCAAAATAACAGTTGGGCATGTTTTTTTGGTAACTTCATTAAAAAATGTTTTTTACATATTAAAATAAATGAGCTGTATTTATTTCAAAATAAAAAAGTTATAAAGAGTAAACTAAATCGTCAGACACATGCATATGTGTGCATGCATTCGCATGGTTTTAGTTCAGCGTCGTTTGCAGTATCAAATGGTCCGTTTGTATGAGTAATTACTTTTTTACCTTGCACTAGCTTGGTATTTATGGTAATAGATAGGAAGGTGTTCAAAAAAAACTTTAAGCAACTGCAATCATGCAACATGACAGTAAACTTTTTGCTAAAATCCGTTACAGTTAATTTACAATAGAGACCATATGAAATCATTTTAGCTGCATAATATTCGTATTCATTTACATGTATTTTTTTTTTTAATAAAAAAAAAAACATAAGAATCTAAAAGGTCGAGTCTCTTTTATGGAAAATATTCAGATGAATAAAAATAGATATACAATGAGAAATCACTTTATATAATTACAATATTTTACCACGATTATAAATACTTTTTATATTATTTTAACACATCTCTTTTCATATTTTTTAATTATTTCTGTTCAAAAAAAAAAATCTATGTATTATTGAAAAAAATATTTCGCAGCGTCCATCATCATTTATTAGAATATGTATTAAGAACCGAACTTGAAAGATGATGGAACGGTTTGTTGTGGGAATGCGAAACCTCCACGCTTTTCAATAAGTTTTGATTCTTTAGCTGCTTTTCTCTGATCGGCGGTAATTGCGATCTCTTGGAGAGCTTTCGTCTGTTCAGTGGTAAGGCCTGATGTTAATAGTGCATACCAAGCTTGATCTTGGGTAGAGAGTGCTAAAGAATACAAACATGAATGTTTAACTTTCAAATGCTAAATCGACTATAATTTAAATTACCGGAGAGAACTTCCTTGAATGTAACATATTCATCAACTGCAGATTCCTCTTCTTCGTCATCGATTGGTGTGGTAAAGCCTTCTAAAGCAGTTTCATTAAGATCATCAACAGATTCCTCTTCTTCATCGTCCGAATCTTCATCATCCTTTATTTCAGCCTTCATTTCGAAACCTGCCTCAGCGCCCTTTGCTTTGGATATCTCTGCAATTTGTTCCAAGTAGTTGGACGCAAATTCGTCAATTTCATCTTCGTCGCTAGACAAGGCTTCTATTAAGTATATAATTAATTTATTGTTATATGTTTTTTATTCTTCCAAACGACTTATTCATTCATTTCTTACCTTCGCCATCATCATCATCTTCTTCGTCCTCCTCCTCTTCCTCTTCTTGTGCACGTGATTCATATGCGCGTTTAAGTCCATCGAAAAGGAGTATAAGATTGGGCATGATTTTACCGGCTACCTCACTAAGAACCGGTGGTTTGGCGTCGCCTAATGAAATCAGTGTACATAAACCAAGTACACACAATTTTCGATCATGGATACTGTAAATATTAAAAAAGACCACATTAAATAATGTAAAACGGAATTAAAATATCATCTATGCAATACTAACCCCAAAAAGCAGTCTGTATCGTGAAGCCATTGCTTAATGAAATGTGATGAAATAGATTCATTATTTGGTTGGGACATTTTTTCCAAAATTGTTAACAAAAGTTGTGGATTATAATAGAGAGCCGCTATAACAACCTGTAAAAATAAATGCATTAAAATTGTTTTCCATTTCGAAAACAGTTTTACAATTTACCTGTAAGCACATTGTACGAAGTTCAGATGATTGTACTTCGCGTGTTAAACGCGACAATGCCAATTCAACAAACATTGGGATTACTGAGTCTATTTGGCCCTTACATTGCAAAATTATAACTTCAAGCAACTTCGCGGCGTGACATTCAGGGTCCTCGCCAGGATTAGTTGTTAACATCTAAAATTACAAAAAAAAAAAAATACATTAATAAAATATAAAATTTAAAAGAAAAAAATGTAAATATAAAAAAAAAATTATAAATATAAATAAAAAAAATATATAACTATAAATAAAAAAAAAATTATAAATATAAATAAAAAAAAAATTATAAATATAAATAAAAAAAAAAAATTATAAATGTAAATAAAAAAAAAACTATAAATATAAATTTAAAAAAAATTATTAATATAAATAAAAATATGTACTTACAGTTTTACACATGTCGAACATAGCTAAAAGTCGGTTGGGATTGGAGAGGAAAGCTGGCGTATCCACAGTAACGTAATTATGCAAAGCTGGCATTATATCAATAAAATAATCAACACCATCCTTCTTGAAAACTTGATAAATAAGCTCCATCATCTGCCACATTTCTGGCGATATTGCTTTTGATGTAAGATCAAAAACTAATGAAAATGTTTCTTCATAAAAATCTATAAAAAAGTACAAGTTAATCGCTATAAATTCAGAAATGATATTTAAGTGATATTTTACCAGTAATATTATTTTGGAATATGTGGCCAACTACATTAATTACAATGGGATGTAGATTTAATAAAACATCGGGATGATCCTCCATAACAGTTAAAAGAGTTTCAATTGTATTCAATAAACCCATGGCGGTTATCGCTTTCTCGTCGGAACTTTCATCAGCTTCAAGTACTTGGCTAAAAGTCGTCGCCAAATGCTGACATATTTCCATTGCAACAGGTAGAAGTTGAGTGGTAAATGTACACATTATTTTTTGCATAACATTCGTTAGATCCTCATTTTCGGTTTCACGTATAATAGTGAGCAGTTCTTTTGTAATTTCCTTTATTTGACTTTCCACATATGGCGCTGCATCATCATTCGAAGTTAAGAACATTTGTAAACCAATTGCGGCTTCAACTTTAACCGGCAGCTCTTTGTCATTGAGCAAAGCGTGTACGTTCAAACGCATAATTTCTGCCAATACCTGAGGATTTTTCAATTGAATGTCACAAAAATAGTGAAGTACCCAACACGCTCGAGCACGCATATGACCAGCCGGATTTTGGAATTCAGGGAAAACATATGTAGTCAACATTGTTTCTACTTGATCACGGTAAACACGTTTTTTAAGCAGAACATCAGCTAAAGTGCCAATCATATGCAGGGCACCGTCCTTTTGTTTATTGTCTGCATTTGGTGATGTTATAATCTATTAAAAAAGTATAATAAATTTAATCATCATAAATAAGTCTTTAGAAATTAAATAGTAATGACATTTAACATAAATATAATTTACATTCAGGCAAGTCAAAGACAGTATGCTTCACGTTTTTAACTTTCTGCTTATAGTTATATGTTACCTGCATTATTATATTCATAGCTTTCGGTAATATTCCTTTTCGCTTCTTACAAACGGTATGTAACAATGATTGGGCTGCTGGAACTGGTGTTGCGTAGTCCTCAAATATATCTACGTTACAAAAATAATAATTAGTCTAGATTGCAGAATTAAACACCAAAAATGAACTCACCGAATTTCAATCTTAAATACTCGTGTGGATCCGTTTCCCATAGTTCTTGATCAGCATCAGTGAAAGACATAATAGGAAATAGCACATCTTGTACAATAGCGACCATGTGAGGCTTTATTAATTTCCAGGAATATGCGTGGCTTACGCTGTAAAATATTTACGATATTAATATTGAAATATGCTTCTTATGTTATATGTTTTCTTCGTTTTCACATTCTGTGTATGTAATAAAATAATGTATTACTTACGCATTTTTCAAGTAAGCCAAAATATCAGTGAGAATACGTGGTGATACGTAAATATGATTTCTATATTGGTCTAGAATCTTTAGCATGACATCCAAAATACCTGATGAAAATGTGGGAAGATACCATTCCGCAAATTTTTGATACTTTTCACTTATTACATTACGCGGACTTCCGTATCTGTGAGATTGCAAGCATATATAAAGCATATAATTTTTATTTTAAAATATAACTAAAACATACCGTTCAAACATTCGTACTATTATATGCAGAGCCCACTTTTTTACCTTCCACCATGGGAATTCGGGTTTCTCTTCGTCATCTATATGTGAACAGTCTGGTATTGGCCTTTCGGCAATTTGCCGGCATATTTCCATCCACTGCGCGAAGATTTCTTTTGTAATAAGATCCAATGGCAGTGTGTACTGAGTTAAGGCGTAATATATCTTTAAAATTTGTTTCTGTAGTAAGATTGACTGCTCAGACTGATCATTCATTAGATTAAGCATGAGTTGATAAATCATTGGAAGTAATAGATTCATTGCTTCATTGAGAGGAACACGCTCCTCTGAACGTTTGTATTCATAAGTTTTAACCAACTGATACATAGTAACCAGAGCACCATTCCAACCATTTACATCTATGTTAAAGATTAAAATATTTTTAAATATATATATAGTATTTTATTTAACGAGTAAAAATATTACCAGGATTTTGTAGATAAATGCTAATGTTGTCAACAACTTGTGGCCAACGTCCCGGAAAATCATTTCTAATGACATGATTTACACATACTGCCAATTGAACTCTATTGAAATAGGAAAATATCTTTAGATAAAGACCATAAAATAAAATCTTTTAACATACTTTATGATATCCGGAGCGTGTACAATAGCATCCACAATCGATCCACGTATCATAGCACGATCTTGCTCATGAATGGTAAAAGGTATAGGCTCACCCGGTTTAGCCTCACAATCCGACCAGCTGTTTGTTATGAGATTTTTAAGGTAAATAGCTCCAGCTTGCCGCACTGGTTGATCTACATTGTTTTGCATAACAATTTGCAATATTGTTGGCACAAATCCGATTATTTTGTGTATCTGTAAATATAATACGATAAATAATAGGTGTGTGTCAAAAACATTCTTTATTCAAGCAATATTTCTTAAAAATATAGTAATAATAAATGAATTCTTAACCTTTTGAATTGAAAATTTTCAAGTAATGTATATGATTTTGGGGAAAAATATAGGGGATTTGTGCAATTAATCTGGCACCTCTGATTTGTGTTAAAGACGTCATGCTGCCTTTTCTATTAATGCAAATTTTGTATTGGCCAAAATATCTTGAGATTTACAAAAAAAAGAAAACTGTGATCCCACCAAATTGAGAATTCTTCATTTCCCCATCAATTATTTTTACGTATGACTAACCACAATCCTCGAATGGTATTAAAAACTTACTACCGACAAGTAAACACGTGCTACACAGAATCAAATTTTTTAGAAAACCATTGAAAGTACATTACAAAATATCGCAAGCACACGGTTTATAATCAGATTTTGAGAAATGTAAGCAAGTTTACAATGCATATCTCCAAGTGAGAAAATAAATTATTCCAATATCGCGTACATCAAAAATAACCTCAATTTTTTAACCAAACTTACTTGTGCCAGTTGCTCCTCAGCCGCTTCTCTCTGCTCATGATTTGGCTCGATAGTAGCACGTAGCAATTCAGTAAGTTTCTGAACATCCATTTCAAAATTGGGGTTTAGTAAAATAATTCACTCGCGATTTTATGCAAAAACCTTATACAAAACAAAGAAATATGATTGCGACAACGACAAATTAATGGAGCAGTGAACGAAGGAAGCGCACCACCCCTGCCGACGTCAAATCAATGCGATTTAAGAGCGCAAAAAAGAACACTGCAATTATTCCAAACGCCAAATCGTTTTTGACACTAGTCAAAAGAGTTACCAGCCCCTTTTATCACATATGTTACTTTTCCCTTAAGTTAATCTTCAAGACGATGGCAGATAGAATTTTAAAAACGTGCGTGACAGATTGTCTTTGACGGTTACGACTAATAAATTCCGGTGTACTAAATTTCCCTGCAACGCTGGCGCCAAAGCAATGCCAAAAGTGGGTCAGAGAGTTTAATTTCCATTTATTTTCTTATTTCTTTCGCTAGTTTCAACGGACTCAAATGCACAACTTAAAAAATGTTCAATAATTAATTATTTATTTAATATGAAATCATTGCACATGCATAGAAAAAATACAAGAGTCATTAGTAACCAAGGCTGTCCATCTTACTTGTATATTAGAAAAAAATGAATACGAAGCCATACAATAACAATATCCGTAGTATATGGCAAACTTTCTGGTCCTGAAATTCAAAAAGGTACCCTCGTACGTGAGTTAAAGGTCGAGTTATAATTATTTACTAAGTAGCTACCAATATAAGCCGCTTTATATTCAGAACGAATTGTAATCATATTGTTACGATTTTACTAAATCAACCTCGATGATTTCCTAAATCCTTCGGGTACGATCTCTGGATTGTTAAATAAAACTCGCCAACTTAATTTGCAGTTTCTTTCGTTATAAAGATTTTATCTAATGTCCTTTATTTACTCCGTAATACACAATTCA